AAAATATCAAATAATGATTTATGATTGTTTTTAGAAATAAGTCTAACTTCGAGAGCTAAACAATTATTGGCCTAATTGTTGGTATGTCTATTATAGGCAATGCATACATATATTCGGCGTCAGAATCCGTTTATTGTTGTAACATAAAATTAAAGCGACAATTCTTATAATTTTTAATAATCAATCAATTTCGGAGTCTCTCACTTTTATCGAGCTTTTTTGCATCATTATTTGTTTGAGATGTTGTTGAAATAGCAAAGTTGAATGAACTTAGATTCTTCCATAACTTTTTATTATAATTTTTAATGTTTACAGTTGTCATTAATCGGCTATTACGATATTTCCCATTTTCAACATCTTTGTCTTTGTCAAACTTCCTAAGCTATCACTTCACTATGTTATTTCTCGACACCTCACATTATTGTTATAACTTAATCTCAATTAAAAAAATGATTAAATAGATTTAGAAATTATCTTTGTAATTAATAATAAAATTGAAAAACTTCAATCGCTAAAATCTTTGTAATATTTTATGTAAACAAAAATGTCGATATTAATTTCGACATTTCATATTAAGAAGCTATTTGGAAAAAAGTTTTCTCAATCTGAAATATAATCTATGAAAGAGAAATAAAATTAATTGCTTAAAATGAGAAAAAACAAATATGCAAAAGAGCAAAATAATCAATATGTGGGAAGCCGATTGGGTGAAAGTTTTAAAAAAATTATCCATCGGTTCCATTATAAATCGTTTTCCCTTTATGTTTTCTTTAAGTTTTGAAATGCTAAAACTTTGCTATCAAAAAATATCTAAATATAACAAAAAATAAAGGACAAAAAAACCAAATTGTATTTTCCGTATAGTTTGGGTTAACATTATTAATTCGTTGTAATATCCAATCAGTTTTTACTTCCGGAAAAACTATCATTAATTCTTTTGGTCACTGATAAATTTTCATCAATTAAATCATTCACGATTAAATCCTCGCTCAATATTAGATTATCTGTTTGATTCGAATATAAATCATCGTATATTATCATCGACAAAGAATGTAATGATGATTTTTGGGTTATCATATCGGACATGTTACTACATCAGTAATTCAACAATAGAAGCACTGATAATAAACTTCTTCCGGTTGTTATATTCATCACTTTTCCTGAATTTTAGTCATAATACTAAATTTTTTTTAGAAATTATAGGTATATTTTTTAGAAAAAGAAGTTGAAAAAGAAATAAACCAATTAATAATATTTGTTTGTCCTTAGGTTTAAGAGCAATTTATATAAATTTATTCTGTGTAGAAAAATGTTAGTAAATCAAACAATAATTGAAGAAAAAATTCTCGAGATTTCTCGAGATCATTGAGATTTTTCCATTCATTCTCAATACTTTTTTATTTCAGGTGAGAAATTAGTGAAGTTCAAGAAATGAAATTTGAAAGTAAAAAGGGAAATTGAATGATTATTTATGTGAATTAAAATATTCATGAGATTGGTCATACGGTTTTTCTTTCAAGCCAGTGATGCTATGCTATTCGGTCTTCTCGATGCGACCAACCAACCAATCACTTCCTTTTCCAATTCTTCATTCATTAATAAATCTGAGAGAAAAAACAAATAATTGCATAAAAACAAAAACAATGAAAAAGAAAAATGATTAAAAAAGTGACAAAATGAAAAAATTTTTAAAAACAAAAGAAATTAAAAAAATTAAGGAAAATTCAAAAAACAATAAAAGGACGAATATTATTAATGAAAAGGTTCTATTTAACCATTTTATACCTTCAAATGCTCTCATTTTTATTATTATAATTAATATCAAGAAATTTATCTTTTGCATTGTTACATTGATATTATTTGAAATTTTTGTTCTTTATTAGTCATTCTTATTTATGTCTTTTGTTTTAGTCTTTCACGTTACTTATCACTTCTTTTGCTTACTATTTTAACTCTTTTTTTTTCTTGATATTTTTGTTGCCAACATGCAGTGGCTGGTTGTTAATATGTATGGTTGTAAGAAGGTAACGATGAATATAACTTTTATAGTTATTCAAAATCCATCATTACAAATTTTTCATGTGATAAAGCATGATAAAGTATAATAATATATAAAAATGCAGGAAAAAATTTTTTTGATAACAAACGAAACGATAAAGTAAGAATTAATCCATTTCTACCCATATCTATAATATGAAACTTTCATTGAAGAAGTGCGGAGACAGTCAGGTAACCGGAAATTATTGCATGAACAAATTATTTTAACAGTTATTTGAAGAATTGGTTATTATCGCTGATAAAATAATTATTGCTATTGAATATGCGCTTTAAATTATCACTTTTAGCTGTGGACTTAATAGTAATATTCAGGTTGCAATATCCGATAGAGATATAATATAAGTTATATCGATGGTGATAGTTATAATAAGTATATTATAGCAATTTCAATCAATGCAGAAATTACCATTTGAGATTTATGCCGATTTTCCGAAATTCATTAAATCTTATTATATAAAATTACGGATCCATTAAATCTTCTTTTTTTCGAAGTTTAAGTCTAATTGTACTTTGGAGAGTAATGTTAATAGAATTATCATATACAGTTAATTAACAAAATGAAATTAAAACAAAGTACAGAAAAAGTTATTGTTGACACGATGTCAATTTCTTGCCACATTATACAATTTTATATTTCTCATTTCAAATTTTCACATTTTTTATCAGAATTCTGATTTTGATTTCATATATATTATATCAGCAAAATCGTACCTTATACCTTTAACAAATACAAATAACAAATTAAATTGTTGGTGTCATTGAAATAAATCATTTAATCTATTTCGGCAATCCAATTCAAACGAAAATTTTATAAAACTAGAAAAGACACGAGAATAAAGAATTAAAATGATGAATCATTTGCCATATACCAAATAATCTGTCGACAAATCTCATCAATCCAATGGAAGATCTCGGACAATATCTGAGAGGAATTATGCAATAAATGATCTTTGTTTTTCATCGATTAGAATGGATAAAATCTGATTACATTTAAAATGTCAGCTACTAAGATAAACAGTAAATATCGATTAATTCATTTAGTTTGATTTCATTTAATTTACTTTATTTGAAAGCGAGAAGAGAAGTAATGGTAAAGATTTTATTTTCCATCGAATGATAAGTATATTTTTCATAAAAATATCAACAAGTATGATTAATTGCTATGAATTGCATTTCAATGATAATCCAACATCTTATTCTATTCTCGAAATAAATCACATTGGAAGGTGTAATGTGTTCAGTTGATAACCAATAACTTGAATACAATAACAACAATAACTTATATCATTCAGTGATGAAAGTATTGAAGTGATATTTCTGATAAACTCAATACATTATCAGTACATGATAATTTATGCAAGCATTTTACCCAAAAATCTTTAAGATTTTTGATTTGCCAAAAACTCTCATGATAATCATACATGTTCAAAAAGCTCAAAAAAACAATTCAAGGATTAATTTTAGTTGCTTTAAAATCAAGAAAAATTTGACAGATTAACGAGGTTTTAGAATTTCAGATGAAAATTTAAATCCACAATAATAATATAACGAAATATCAAATTCAGCTGTCATCAACCACTTATTTAAAAGATATACTAGAAAAAAAATATCCAACGAGTGAGTTTGAAACTATAAGATTTTTACTAATAAATTCGCACATTATAAACTAATTTTAGTTGTAAATCCGAGTAGAAATTAATTCACTTCAAAGACAAAATAGTTTGCGAATTTACATAAAGCAGAAAATGATTATTTAAAGGTTTGTTAATTTCAGTCTGAAATGAGTCTGAAAATACTGAAATGAAAAAAAATGAATGAAATACTTAGTATTTCAGTATTTTTGCAAAATAGTATCAAATTTTTTGAATGAATATCAGCATCCATATATATATATATATATTGTAATAGATCAAAATAATTCCTCACTGAAAATACAGAAATCGATGCAATCCTACAAAATTGAACAAAAATCAATAGCTGGAAGCACTTTGACAATTCGACGCAGGTTCAAAACAAATAGTTATATGAAGTATTAAAACTGAACAAACAATAAACAGAATGTGATATCTGCACCTATCTCAATTATCAGTAAACCGCGCTAGTCCCACAGCACATCGCTAAATAAACAATAGACTTAGCAGCAAACTAAATATTTAATAATTAAATTGATTCAAAAGAAGGAACTATTAATGTAATAAAAATAATTATTATTGCCGAAATGAATAATTTGAACGGGAATTGATGATTAATATATGAAGTAATAATATCTGTGATTATTCTTAATCATCGCAGCAAACCGATAATTCATTTGTTAATATGAATTTTTAGTTTAAAAAAGTTCTATTCAAACTTTTATTATTTGCATGACCAAATTATTGAAGTCTGCGCAATATGAAGGGTAGGAAAAGAAAGGAATGAAAACGATCCATTTATTTTTAAATAAATCAAACAGTGTCATACTCTCTAAATATATTTCATTTATCTATTAAATATATCCTTAACTAATTTCTGATAAAAATATTCAATGTTATAATATTATTAGCAATACTTGTTCTATCATAATCTTTGTTTCAATTTTTTATTTCAATTTATTCAAAAATTTGTACATTAACATACATATATGTGCTTCAAATAATTTCCTATAAATTTTTTCATTTGCATAGCTTGCTGAAATGAGTAGCTTATCTTAGACTTATCTAAAGCCAATTTCGAATTTAAACCCTTACCTACAAATCTACCAAATTTAGTTTTGACATTAATAAAGCGAAAAGAAATTTCTTGTCAAATTTGATTAATGACTAAGTTAAGGTTATGCAAATACCAACATCTTTAAATATTCAAATTTCCACTATTAATGAAAGCGACTGATATTTATGAAAATAATTTGATATTTTACTAACAAATATCGATCACCTCTTTTATTCATATTATTATTATTATACTCAATTAATTGATCTTACCGACACACTAACAATTTCGTTCTGATCTGGATGCCAACTGCAATCGTACACTTCGCGATAATTTGCAGCGAATTCTCGAACAGGTTCACCCGTTATAACATCAAAAACTATAAATAAATATTTTGATATTTATGATTTTTTTGTAAATAAATAGATATAATCAAATATTTTGCAAACTTACTGCTAATGCGTCCAATATTGCTACCACAATAAACGTAACGATGTCCAGTTCTCCGTGGTGAAAATTTAACTTGCCAGAAAATTGCTGATAGATTATCTTTTTCGGCTGTCATTGCTAACAGTAAAATATTATCAATTTAAATGTATTTATCAATTTCATAGTGATATTTTAAAAATAATAAAAAGTGAAAACAAATTAAGTCCCACGTCGAAATTTCTCTGCAAAATTAAAGTAATTTCGCTGCATAGGAACTCATGTATAATGACGACCTTTATCGAAGTATGAAATTTCATCCAATAAATTTGTTCTCTGCCGCTGTTGCATATTAAATGAGATATTCTGGAAAGGAATTATTCCGTGAGATATAGAATGCGATAAGAAAAAAGCGAATCGTTTCATAGGAAGTCAATATTTGCATAACAAATGATATAATGTTATGCAAAAAGTTTATTAAAATAAAATCATTTAAATGCCAAATATAGCAAGCTGTTACAAATGATTGTATCGACAGTCTATTTCATAACATTACAATCATTCTAAAATGTTCCAACTTTTCCTTTTTTAATCTCAAATTTCGATCGCGAATTTACCATGATAATTAGAATTTTCAAGAATATATCTATAATTTCATATTAATGCTTCAATATTTGAACAAGAAAACAATCCTTATTATATGATAAGATTTAAGTACCTCAGAAAATCGTCGCACATCCCATATATTAAATTTCACTCTACCAGAAGTTGTTACAATATATCTATCATAGCTGTCACTATCGATATGTGTAATGCTATAATCATTTCCAGTGGATGTTGCAAGAGGAATGCAATTATTCGGCGTGCGGTAATCCCACATCTAAATATGACATTGCATTTGATAATAACTGTCTTATTTCAATCTTAAATCAACCAGTTATTAATAAACTAATATATTTACGTAATAGGCTTTATCTACTTATTCATACAATTATTATTTTATTATTGCTGAACTCTTAATAGATTTTCGATTATCGAACACGTAATTTAATTCGACAAGTTCTATACTATAAAAAAATTTGTTTTTCTGCAATTAATTATTTAATTTATTTACCTTGCAAAAACCATTACTACATCCGCTATAAAAAATGCTCGGATTAACCTTAGAGCAACAAATAGCTTTAATGTCATTTTCATGAGCCTCAAACTGCAATAACAAATTTGAAAAAATTACTGTTAATTTCATTTCAACTATTTTGGTACCTTATATTATTGTATCTAAAAATTATGAATAGAAGCAAAATTTCAGCAAACTAATAAAATTTAGGACATCACCCAATGCTACCATGAATGATGAGGAAATTTAAATTAAAGAAGAAATATACTGAATAATGAGTAGGTTCATCTGTACCAACAATGCTTATATAACCGCCTGCTCTTCCAATTACAAAATGTTGATCATCCATAGTGTAACTAATAGAAAAATATGCTTCTCTAAAATTTTCGCCATCAAAAAATTGATCCTTTATTACAAATAAAAAATTCTCATCAATACTTTTAGAACTTAATATTATCTTTCAAATATCTGCCTAAAATATGCGTAAAGAAGCCACCGTCTTCTTAATAAAGTTCCTCGTTCGGGTTGAAGTCTATGCCATTGCAATATTCCTTCGTCAATTTCATCAAGAGAACAGTAAAAAACTATAATAACAAATTATAATAATTTGTTCACATGTTTTTGAAAATTAAAATTCCTGAGAAAATGTCAAACCAATTAGGAGAATTCAAAAATTAACTTCTTGTAGAAACTGTCCCGTTATTATAAAGCTAAAAACTAAACATTAATATTCCATCTCACGCAAGAAGCAGTGATAAAATAAATTAATTACAAAAACTAAGAATGAAATTTTATCATTACTAGAAGATTGAAATAAGCAGCGACTGAGAAAAGATTACCATTTGAGGCGGATCTATGACCAAGTGGACCGCTTCTTGAACTGTGAGCTAAATTATTGCATTTCGAAATTAATAATGAACAAAGTTGACCTTTGGACGAAATGGAATTTATCGCAGGAAGATAGTACGACTAAGTAACGGCAGCATAATGATATTTATATAACGATAATGATAATGCTAGTAACTGATGATAATGATGACTAATAATAATAATAATATATTAATAATAATAATTTAATAATAATAGTTAATAGCAACAATAATTAATAATAATTAATAATAATAATAATAATAACAATAATAATAAATAACAATTAACAACAATAATTAATAATAACAATAATAATTATAATAATAAGTATAATAATAAATAATAAATAATAATTAATAATAATAATAATAATAATAAAGGAAACAATACCATATACATCAGAGATAGTATAAGCCAATTGATCACCTCTTGCATTACAAACAAAATCCGTAATAAACCCATCATCCGGAACATGAGTTTCATACGAAAATTTATAGTATGGTGGCCGACGGACATAAAGGCGTAAATTTTTTTCTGAAATAATTAAGAAATTGGTCATTAGAAGAGAAAGTAATTTAAAGTTATTTTACATACGAAAGTAACTTAATGATGTTTAAATCAATGACGAAGTTTTCAGATTGGAAGTTTTTAAAATTTTCAATTTCAGACAATGATAGGTGTGGATCTCAGATTTGAAAGCGATTTTTCTCATGATCTGTGATCTTCGGCATAAAAGTGTTATGTGATTCATAGTGATAACTTCTTACTGATCTTTAAGTACAAGGAAAACTTTTTTATCGAATTACAATGCAAGAGAACAGGAAGAAACATTTCAATGAATGATATTTACCTTGGCCTATACCAATAAGCTTCTCGTCAGGCAAATGTATGCAACGGAATAATCCCGAATTAAGCCGATCGATATCTATCCATTTGTTAGGAAGAAATCAGAAATTGAAAATGATATTATTAAAATTTAAGCAAATGTAAAATATCCTCCACTTAATTATAGGGGAACGATCTCTAGCAGTAGCATGCTATATTCTGATTGAATCTAATATGGTAATATAACAATAATATTATGGCGCCCATTATTAATGGGTTGTTGGTTTCTCTTCCTATGGTTGTTTTAACTGAACTTCAGATGAACTACTGACCTATTGACAAGGTTAGCTTTCTCACTCAGTGTGAAAGCAGCGGATGTATTTGGCATAGACGATGCGTGATAACTTATTGGGCATTCAGAAGCACTGGATGTATTTGGCATAGAGGACAATAGGCGATGACTTGCTGGCCTTCCACGTCTACCTATTTCACGGTTTTTCAGCATATTCTTAATGGAAATCTTCGGTAAGGAAGCTCCAGACAGAGTAGTTGTCCATCGTCTTAAATCTAACGCTGCCTGAAAGTTAATCTTAAAACATTTTGAGAAATTTCAGCTAAAAGAATAATTGAAATGTCATGAAATGCAAGAATAGATGTATGAACGTATAAACTTACTGCAATTGTGTTCGGATTATCCGCTGCCATTTAATTAAAGAATTATTGGATTTGTTTTTTTGGTTCTGCCAATTCGTTGGCCGTTAGAGATGAAATGGTTGAGATCGAATTAACAGACGGCTAGGACTTAACAATTTATAAGCATTGTTTATTATTTAACTTGACATATTCAAATATCAGATTCTTTATAACAACATAACCATAACGATACCACCGAAAGAATCTTCCACATAATTTCTGTTTGATCAAAGAGTTAAAAATTGAAACAGATGTGTGTGATTATAGAATGGAGCAGACAGAATGAATTACGAGAATTCGATCTTTTTTCTTACCTCCTCCAGTTTTTAAGTCTTTCTCCCTCTTCTTGCTACTGTGGTCCTTTGGCTAAGAGATTATCAATACTGAGGTATGTCTTCAAGAAAGTATCAACAATTATTCTCAGGAAAGAAAGATTTAAAGAGCTGAACAGCATGTACGTACCGTTGCGATCGAGAAAGAAACAAACATTAAAATCGCCATTGTTCGTTACACCTATGCATTTGCTTTCACCTAAAAAGTAATTCGAATGGGTCAATCGATCTCTGTCAAACAATATCTCCCGCTCTATCGTCACTTTATTTTGGATAATGGATCATTCGCAGAAATTTGCATAAACTGCCTAAATGAATACTGGTAAAAATCTGCATGATTGTTTGTTGTATAATTGTTTTTGAAACGCATTTCTAGGAGATCGACTGGTAAGAATTATAAGCTATTACGAATAAAAATTGTTCCAAACATTAGATATTTTCAGCAACTGAAATAAAAGAAGTACCCGTGAAAAACTGGACGGACAGTTTCGCAGTTTTCCTTAACTGCCCGGAATTATTGAATGTCGAATGCGGCCGAATATAAACTCTGCCATATGTATATGTGTAATTAAAAATCTTCCCACAATTTATTTTAATTCACTTACAAAGGCAGTTCATTCGTTTCTATTTATGAACTAAAGAACTGATTCGGATGTCTTCCACGAAAACGAAAATTACTCTTTGCATATATCAAGCTGCAAATGAATATTGGGATGGAATACTATCAATGAAAGAGAAATCGATTTTTCCCTGGTCAAATTTTTAGGCAGCCTAACTTCATTTCTTTCAATAGAACCCAGTACCTCAAGGAAATTTTTAACTAATGAATGCACTCGTGACTACAAAAATTATTCAACGGGACAGTATAATATTTCCGATCTCACATAATGCATGTGGTAAAGCAGAACTGACCCAAAATTGTAACGGGAATGCATCTCTTCCTCACAAGAAGCGTTAACAATTTGAATCCTTCTCCAGACAGATCATCTGAACAACTTACAATCCCTTCATTTTTGTTCAGGTGCAAAATACTAGAAAAAACAAAAAGTTTCATTACAAACTAAACTGAAATGATGAAATAACTAACATTAGAAACGGAATGAAAGCAAAAATATTTTCAGTACAATAATGAAGGTGGGAACATAACATAAAATATACAATTATAGATGAATAATTTGAGAGGAAAAAATATCGCATGGTTGAAAAATCACAGTTCAATCCATTTGTTGATAAAAGCGGCTAACTTCAATCCATGCAATTAAAGTCTCATTTCTGAAAGCCCGCAGTATTTCTGGAAGAGGCCACTCATTTTTGAGTCAAAGATATTTACTAAGATAATAAGCATCCAGCAACCCTTTACTTTGGAACACGGCGGATTTCATTTGAAAGCCAGAAAGCAGATGTTATTGCAGCCATCGATACATTTTGATGCAAGGCAGCCAAATGGACCGGAACATAGTACACCTGAAACTCGCAATTCACTTGTAGCTGCGGATCATGAACTTACATAGATTGCTTTTGCATCATAATCTCAAAATTATCAGATGAATCTTAGAAACCTAAGTCGGATCGAAACATGAAAGAAGTGATTATTGATGAGTTAAGAAAATGGTTTATTACGTAATTCATAATCTATTTCTCCCGCATAATTTTACACCAGCATGAAACTTCTCCCAGTACTTTCGCAAAATGAAAAACGCCTTACACTTGCACCATTACATCTAAATCCTTGAAAATCCAAGAAAACGAATTCGATTACGTCTTAAAAACAAAGAGGACCAAATAAACTTGAACAATCTAATATATTTTACCAAAGCAGCTATTCCTAGAAGGGCTTGCACGTATATCACGCCCATCAACGAATGCAATGCAATTTTGGCACGCCGACTAAGAAGCATACGACGTCCAACAAGCCATGTGAGCGTTACCGAAAGCAATGTTAAGTAAGCCTATAAATAAAAAGTTGAAAAGATTAACAAGAAATTTCTAGCGAATAATGAAGCAACAGTTTACTTTAAAAGTATAGAGAACTTTGAGTCAGAAAAGTTATATGAAATCTTAATCTGTATTTGTTGATAGCAAGAAAAATACCTTCCAATCGAAGTTATAGGAGGTCTAAAAAATTAACCATATTTCGATGCATGAATTGGGCAGTTGCTGGGTTTTCAAAAACGTTTCGCCACTTCGGATCTTTAAGCCATAAATCTTCTGGAAGCCAACTTCCTGCATATTTCGGCCATGAATTGTAAACTAATCCAGCATCTAAGCCAGCAACAAAAGCGCCTGCAATTAAAGTGTTACATAAAAAATAAATCCTTTACCTAATCTGAAACCATAGTGTTAAATAATCACAACTTCTATAATGTTTCATTCTTTGTTGAAGAATAAGCAAAATTAACCCATTACTGCAGTCAAAATTATCATCGTTTTCGAAAGATGTGTCATGCCGCGTAACCGACCAATTTTGCTAATATTTGTATGCTGAAAAAACCTATTGGTTATGCATAGCACAAAATTTATAAAGAAAAACCAAACGAGAGGAACAGCACTAACTTTCGGTTTCTCTTAATAAGACAAGATTCGATCCTTAACAGATATGTCGAATTCTAGATAATGTCACAAAGATGCAATACATTGTGCTAATCTTCCTCTTAGAGTTACCCGCATACTGGAAAACTTCAAAGAACTTTATAACCAACTTTTATTCATGGGAAAAAAAGCAACGGTGCAGAGTCTCTTTCAATTAAATTTTTCTTTTCTCACAAAAATCAGTTCTTATCAACTTTGATTTTAAAATCAAAGAGAGTGAGTTTTTCCCTCAATTAAGAAAAGTGTTAAAAAGATTTTCACACTTATACTTTTCTTAAAGAACACGAATAGTAAGAAAAAGATTTAAAAAACATCAGAATCTTTGACTGTAATGCAGCCATGATAAAATAAAATTTAAGACGACTATCAAGCGAATATAAAGCTTACATTAAAGTTATCTTCGCATAAAATTAAAATTATCTTCGCTCAATCATTTCAAATTTAAAAGAAGAAAAACAAACATCATAGGGTGTAAAAATATGTGAAAGACCACTCCACACAAAAATGGTGTATAAAACAAAAGCTAATGTCAGATGGGTGGCTAAACGATATTCTGAAACCCGAGGTATTTCTTTGTTAGAATTGTTCTTCGGATCCAATCCTGACTTCACCATCCACCAACCAATGAGTCCCTGAAATGAACACAAATAATGGGATGCTGGAAAATTATTTTAGACGAGGAGTTTACCAAAGTTACATGAACCTTCAATATAGAACTTGCCGTTATTTGGACTAAACAATCGCCTTGATATCTTGATATAAACAAAATAACTTGCCTGGATGCAAATTAGAGCACCGGCAATAAACATTCGTTTCTTCATTGCAGGAGAGAAAAGACCTTTTGTCCAGAAAAATGCACAAGGAACTAGGAAAACGACACCCAGTGTCCGTCCCCACATTCGATGAATATATTCCACTGCCCAAATAAATTTGAATTGTGCCAATGTCATCTCTTCGTTACTACTTTTGCTATAAAAATTCTTATTCGACGGTCTTAAATTTTTCTATGAGCTGACTCCAACTTATCAAAAAATTTTTTTTCCATATTACCAAAAATCATGTTTAATTTAAACAGATTTTGAAAAACCTATCACCAAAATTATTTCTCATTAAATGGTAGTAGAAACTACTTATGAGTAAACATACAATTTATACTCTGGAAACTGCCTGTAATGTTCAAATTCAGCTTCCCACTCATCCTCACTCCATGGAGGTTTCATCGTACGAAACAAATCCCAATTGACCATACTAAGCCCTGATTCTGTCAGTCTGAAAGCAGATATCTGATCAATTAAGACACTACTAAAGGACTTGGCCAGGTGGTTCTTACTTTTGATTAGTCAAACAGATAAAGAAACTGGAAAGAACTTTTAGAGATTTAAATCATAACTTGTGACACCACCCAAAGCAACTGCTCCATAAACCATTCCGGCACATCCCAACAACCATGCTCCGATTGTTCGACGTTGTGCTGACGTTAAGTGATGTGATAGTGACACTCCAAGTACTATACGCCTTTTTATAGCATTCGTTCTGAAATTTTAATATGACTTCACAGATGGATGAATGTCGGTTAATAGATCCGTCACAAATATCACAACATAGTACAATCTCAAAGTATCAGCTACCATCTGATCGTCAAACTTCCAATCAATCAAAAGGAACTGACAATCGCAAAATTTTGAGAGAAGCGAACGTTCCCTTCATGTTGCTACTGAATGCCGGACCAGTGAGAACTGACGACTTTCTAATTATATTATTGGATGCTCGCCCAGTAAGAAGGCGTGCCAGCAACGACATCCTGAAATGCAGTCCTTTTTTTGGGTAATGTAACAAAATTATTGTACTAATATGTAACGATAAGAAATTTATGCCTAGATAAAGCAACATCCCCTTCCTACAACAAAAAAAACCATACTCCTCACATATGCAAGACAACATAGAATCCCATACATGGTTAGTAATAAATTATTCAGCATCTACCAAATAACCGTTTTATATAGATAGTCTTTACAAATTTGACAGAGATAACATATGATCAAATTCACTGCAACGATAAACACCGTTTACTTTTATTGCAATACAACAATCCCTTTCTTACAATGTCATACAACATTCCACATATTCATTACGGCAGAATTTGTTTCCTGTGGATTACCTCAAGCACAATTAAGACAACAAAGTTGTTAACGTTACTAACACAATCTATTTGGTTGATTATAAATTAATGGTTAGGCTATTTAACATGACATATGAGCTAATCTCAATAACAAATTTCGAGAAGTTTGTTCTATCAGATAAAGTTTTAATAAACAAAAGACAAAAGGATATCAAGAAAGCATAGTCAAAATGAGAGGATGGACAAGCTTAATCCAAATGTTACTAATTAATTAAATTAAATAAGTAACTTAAATGTGAACAATACAAAGCAACATCGTTGGACTAGAACAACATCAAAATCAAACCAAATTTTAAAAAGCATTTTGAACTTGAAATGTTTCAAGTTAACAACGAGGTATGTTAAGGTTAATTTTTGCGTCTGGAAAGAATAATGAAGCACGAGTGAAAAATAAACCATGACAAAGAGACAAAGACTTAGTTTTGCAAAGAGATATAATACAGTCAACTAACCTAATTATACATAAGAACTAATTAATCAAAAGTACTCTAAGTAGAACGTACTTCCATAAATGACATCTTCCTTAAGATATTATTTAATTTCTCTATCATGAGATAATTACTTCCACACTAGGAAACTTACTGTTTATCACACAAAATACATTACAAACATCAATTATATTCATTTAATAGAAGGAAATCGTATGTTGGAACAAAGACCCTGGTTATCGTTACAAGTAGGGAAGAAAATTTTCCAGTACCGTATATACTTTGAGTATAAAAAATCTTTGCAATGTTTTAAAAGACAGAACTTGGCACCGTAAGTTCTAAAAAATTTAAGCCTACCATTCACTCATCAAAACAAATTTTTTTCCTTTGAATGGATGCGTCATAAGTTTAGAACTTTCAAATCTCATGAAAAGTCTTAGTTGTTTTAGAAAAGCATCTAGTATCCGGAATCGGATTAAGGATTTTGTTTCTTCTCGTATAAGGGCAATTTTGGAGTAATACCCAACGTTTCAAATTTGAAACGCCAATACGCAACAACCATCCGATCCCACACATTCCCCAAATCCGTGAATGCTGGTCGAACATCTAATATAGTGAATAACTTCGATTTCGGATCAACGGCACCACCATCATAAAAATCAATTATATATTGAACCTGAAATTGATTTCCACTGTCATCCAGTGACATAATTAAAAGTTTTATAAGTTCAAAAAGCATTAAAAAAATCTTCCCTATTATACAAAACAGTGTTTACAGAAACTATTACATCCATTTCTTCACATAATAGATAAATTTGGAACGGCTAGCATTCTCCTTTTTTTACACTTCTTGTTCGATAATTATTCGTTAAACACCACTAATCAAATATATATTGGTAATTTCATGTTCGTTTTCTTCTCGTATAAAAAAAATAGAAAAACAAACATCCTTTTGCCCACATCGATCTATTGTCCAATCATGCCGATCAAACGGTAAATCATATCTGAAAAAGATCTCTTTATATGATTTCACTTTCACAAAGTAAATAAGTGTAAAAATTCTGGTGAACAGTTGATGATAATAATGCAAAATGAAAACTCTCAGTAACACCACCAATTTTAAAAACAGAAACAAAACAAACCCCAGTAACTGTCTCATTCGAGCTCGCGGAGAAATCTTTTGAGCATTGCCATGGAAATTTTTCAACTTTGGACAAGTGCATTCGCTGCAACTTATCATTTGGTAAACAAAGAAAAAATACAGGCAAGAAACGGTACCAGTTTATGATTCTTATTGCTGACAAGAGCATAAGTTACCAAAAAATTCCTTAAATTACAGTTTTTCAGTTTTTATAAATTAATTCAGCTAATCAATGAAGAGCAAACTAATTAGAGTTGAATCGATAGTCGTAAATCTTCTTTACCAAATCTCTAAATGAAGACAAATTCCTACCGGAAAAAATGGACTTTATTTTTGGAAATTGAGATATACCAGAATTACTACTCCCTTTTAAGTGAAAATGTATGACATGTAACGAAATAAAGCTGATGAAATATTAGGAAAGGAATTTTTCTTTTTCAAAAAACTTACGGATGTAAAAGCATTTCCCACTTCAAAATTTCACGCCATACTTCCTCGTTATTTGCATTATGAATTTTGATAATTTTGTTCATATCTTTTGCACTAATCTGATCATCCTTCCACTGCCATCCTGAAAACATCGATATAGATGTTCTAACAATGATGAACATCAATTTATGATATCAATCCACAAATCAACACACCTTTTCTTAGCATAGCATTCCAAAACATTTGTTCCGACGGATATTCCCAATAACCATCCTCTGTAGCCTTCGGAATCGTAGATCGTTGTCGTTCGATACTTAATGGAAATGGCTGGCCAGGAGAAGGTTTTTGATTAGGCGGAGGCATCTGTAATATTTCATTTGCCGGTGGAAAACTTTCATTAAGGACACATTTATTTTTGACTTGAACGGTTGAATATAATAAAACCAAATTTCAAACAACTTACAGCATTTAACGTATTGAATTCAGATTTCGAAGTACATCCACTTTGCTCACTCTTTTCTCTGTCTTGATGTCTTGGGCATTCAGAAGCTATTGATTTAGTCACATCCTCTTTCTTTGTTCCATTAGATTGATCTTTAATCGGCTGATATGGACAATTGAATTTTGATGCCTGGAATTTAGGAAAGAGCAGAGAGATCAGAAAATGGACTAACATGATTAGTAAAAGACATTATAAGCTAAATTAGACGAGCTAAAAGTAGGAAGTATTACCTCAGGTTGAGAAGTTTCATGTGCCAGCTGCGACGACTGCCAACTGCCCATTTTGGTCGTTCCTTGAAACTCTTGACAGAAGGAAAACTATGGTAAAGACCCTCCCTAAGTCTCGTCAAACCGCGTTTTACGCTCGGCAAGACCTATTTAGGGATCCGGAACCGTCAAATACCCAAAAAGCTTACTGGCGCGATGGATTTGAAATGTTTCGAGTGGAAGCGGAGCAGTAGTGCGGGAGTTTTCGTAAATGTGGTGTAATTGCTTGAGATTTAGTATGTTAGCTTGATGTCAACACTTCTAAGCGTTAAGTTTTTAGGTATTCTTGTTTTTCTATCTTTAACAACTCGTATTGCGATCTTCGCGGATAGTTGAGGAATCGGTAATATTGGCTGTAACGAATCCTACCCGGAATTATCCGGTTATGCGGTGCAGGAAACATACATTATCCATCAGAGTCAGAAATAAATGCAACAGAACTTTTGGATCTTGCGATTAGGATGTTAATGATGATCCTAATATACAATAACGTCTTTTCTATCTTAATTGACAATATATCCTATTATTATTCCCACATTTTTCCTCATTCCTCTTTGCCTTACCACCATTGTCATTACTCCACCACGATAAGGGATTGTCTTATTGCGATGAGTGATATCGTCATCCCGATCAACAACTGCTGCTTCGCACTCTCTATGGAATTAAATAATTAGGCTTATTTCTGACTGTTGTTTGATGGAGCCATTAGGATTTGACAGTGCCGAAAGCAAAAAGGCCCCGATGTACAGATTTGCCATTTGACTGAATAATTTGCACTTTGTAGTACTTTTTACATTGAAACGACTGTTAAAGAATTTGTCAAAGTAACCGGTATTGAAATAAAGCTCAAAACTTTGTAAGTCAGTTGGTCACTCAACTCTTCAGTCCATGAATCATTCAATTAGCATAACAGTTGTTCAGGCAGCTTATCATGTGAGTCACCCAATAGTTAATTTGTGAATTAATCACTGAGTAGGTTAAGTGAGTTATTCATTCAGTCGGTTATTCAGTTTTCCATTCAACTAATTGATTAGGTATCAGCATAAGGCTTGAAAATTATCCAAATAATTTTCACGCAAGTATAATTTTATATGCAAATTTTGGATGTTATAGTTGGGATGTATTATTGCTGATTTATTTTAAAGAAATGAAGGATGGATAGGATTTATACGTGAATTAATTGGACTGGAAGTCAGTTAATAGGTTTATTGGTATCTGTGCGGTTGCTTCATTCTTTTGCTCTCGGTTCAGTGGCTCATTGTTTAATTGGTTGGTTGATTGGGTAATCGGTATATTTATGTATGTGTTTGACACGACAACCCCTTTTTGTATTTGGATAAGAATATTCCATTATTGTTTGCCTTCATATCGTTAATTGATTCACATAATTTTAGTAAATAATTTGATTATGGAAGGGATTTCTTCAAAGATGTCTTTTTCGTGAATTCTTGTCCGTGATGAGTGAGATGTTGGTAAAATACGAAATAGTCATTAATACACTATGATAACAAAATTTGATTTGTTATTGAGTGCTGTCTAACAAAATTTGATTTATTATTGAGTGCTGTCTTACCTTTTATCTTGTATCATATCACATTTTTTGAATGGATGCCATAAATGCATTCCATATTTTTGCTTCAGAAGGTGTCTCGTTATCATTACCAGCTGGTTTGATCGAGTTTGCGTGATAAAAAAGAAGTGTTGGGTTAACAGAGGACATTGGTGAAGAAAGCTTTATAGAACCGGTAGAAGTTAGTTGGTCTATCAACAATGCGAGAAATTCTTCAAGTTCAGGCTGGGCAATGTGGCAATCAAATTGGCACGAAGGTTTCCAGAAATTTCCAACACTTTTGTTTATATTTTCATTCAAGCACTTTTATGTAGTTTTCATGCAGAACAGTTGGTAGTTATCTGGATATTGTGGAAGAAATTAGATTTTGCACGGAAAGAACAACGTGATTAATGTAGCTACTGAATTGACTGGTTGCTTGTGCATGTGATCTCTAGGGTATTAAGTCTCTGTTTCGAGCATAACTATTGTTGTAAGTTGCAGTTCTGGGAAGTTATTTCTGATGAACATGGTATACAACCTGATGGTATATACAGTGGTGAATCGGATTTGCAGCGTGAGCGTATTAATGTGTACTACAACGAAGCAAGCAGTTAGTCTTTGTATTTTCGGTTGAATAGTTCTAATAGAATCTCATTGAGTATCGAGAATCAAAATAGTGCATAACTTCCTTAACTTTTTGGGGCTTGTTTGGTTAGCAAAATTACAATGGTATTTTGTTTGTTTGACATTTCATTCGTCAGGCGGCCGTTTTGTCCCACGTACCGTTTTGGTTGATCTGGAACCCGGTACCATGGACTCGGTTCGCAACAGTCCTTATGGGAAGCTCTTTCGCCCCGACAATTTTGTTTTTGGTCAAAGCGGTGCTGGCAACAACTGGGCCAAAGGACATTATACGGAAGGCGCAGAGCTGGTCGATAATGTTTTGGATGTTGTGAGAAAAGAAGTTGAAGGATGCGACTGCTTACAGGTTACACTTACTTCCATTGCCAAACTTTGTTTTTACTGTTTCGCTAAATGCATTTATTAGCTAAAAGTAACGTCGAATAAAGGCTGAGTAAAGAAATTATTGATGATTTTAGGGTTTTCAACTCACTCATTCATTGGGAGGCGGCACAGGTTCAGGTATGGGTACCTTGATGATTTCAAAAATTCGTGAAGAGTATCCGGACCGCATCATGAGCACTTTCTCAGTCTTTCCATCTCCAAAGGTTTTTCTTCGAGAATGTGTTTTATATAGTATATGTTATAAATAACTGTACTACCTGTAATGCTGTAATTTAGGCTCGTTTAACCAAAAATTAATGTATTCTTAAAGGACAAACGAACAGTTCGACACTTGGTGGGTTGAACTAAATAGATTTTATGTAGTTTTGTTTCAAAGATTTTCTATATTTAACAACTCGTGAGATTTTGATTACAGGTCTCGGATGTTGTTCTGGAACCATACAATGCTACATTGTCAGTTCATCAATTAGTTGAAAATACAGATGAGACATTCTGTATTGACAACGAAGCGCTGTATGATATTTGCTTCCGAACTTTGAAGTTAACAAATCCCAACTATGGCGATCTCAACCATTTGGGTATGTTATATCATCATTTATTTCGAACTTATTATCCTTATATTGTATTTAAATTTGGTTTGTGCAACAACATATTGCAATATCGTTGAGATAATTTTAATGGTATGATTTGTTATAATTTAGTCTCAATGACAATGTCTGGAGTGACAACCTGTCTTCGTTTTCCTGGCCAACTTAATGCTGATCTCCGTAAATTGGCTGTGAATATGGTTCCGTTCCCACGTCTGCATTTCTTCATACCGGGATTTGCACCACTTTTCGCACCGGGTGCAGCTGCCTATAGCGCTCTCACCGTTGGTGAACTCACGCAACAAGTTGGTTTTTTAATTAATCGTGTCATACATTTGGAGAATTCATGATTTATAATTTCAGGTATCGTTCAAGTTAATTCAGCATCCCTTCTCTTTTCTTTGGTGATAGTCATGTTGGATGCATTTTAGGTTTTCGATGCAAAGAACATGATGGCAGCATGTGATCCACGGCATGGCCGTTACCTAACGGTGGCAGTTATGTTCCGCGGTGTAATGTCGATGCGTGTATGTTTTTTTTCTTAATAAATTCTATATCTTTTTCAAGTTCAGCGCTATTCATCTGATGATATTTGCTTTCTTCATTTATTTGATAATGTTTCACAATATGAATTTAAGGAAGTGGACAATCAGATGTTCAATGTGCAGGATAAGAATTCATCGTATTTCGTGGAATGGATTCCGAACAATGTCAAAACAGCTGTTTGCGATATTCCACCACGCGGTTTGAAAATGAGTGCCACTTTCATTGGTAACTCGACAGCTATCCAGGAGATTTTTAAGCGTATCTCGGAGCAGTTTACTGGTATGTTTTTTTAATTACTTTTAATGACATTTGTGTGCAAGTTCAAATATTAGTGAGTCACAGCACTTAATGTCTTTCATAACATACAGACGCCATACACTAATAAAATATGCTTTATAGCAATGTTCCGTCGTAAGGCTTTCCTTCACTGGTACACTGGTGAAGGAATGGATGAGATGGAATTTACCGAGGCAGAGAGCAACATGAACGATCTGGTCTCCGAATATCAGCAGTACCAGGATGCTACCATAGAGGATGAAGGTGAATATGATGAGGGTGGCAGTCATGAATACCACAACCAGATTGAAGCGGAATATTAGAAGGAAAAATTCGCATTCAGGAAAAATTGCATTCATGCGAATTCTACCTCTAATTATTCCTGCCATATTTGGTTCTGAAAACTTTTCCTATTGATTTATGATTTTATCAGTATATGGGGTAATTCATTGGAACATTATTTTGGGCAAAATTGATAAGTATGAAAATTGGTTGAGTTGTTTGAGATTAGAATTTGTGCTGATTCTGTAAAAATTCTACACTATTGAGCTATATTCTAGGAAATACGCCAAAAATAATTGAATTTTATATCAGTGAAACAAAAGGGTGATGTTTCTTTTAGTAAATAACACCTTTCAATACATGTGAACAATTTTATTCATCCAATACACAATGTTGAATTCCTCCGGTAATTTTTCTAAATAATTTTATAGAATGTAAGGATTGATATGAGGATTCTCAAATTTGGAAATTCCGAAACTATGGGTTTGTTATATCTCTTTTCCCTCTTCTTTCTTCATCCTCACTAGCTTGGCATTTACGAACGCAACTCTCACATTATTTAAATCATCTCCTTACCACACATATGTACCACATATTGAATAATTGCAAACAGTTCAATTCTTGCCATTATATGCCCAGATTTGTATCTGTGTTTGGTATTGATATTTTTGTGTGAATTGGAGCCCGTTCTGGATAAAAATTTTTTTAAACGTGTCTGTTTTGCAGCTATGTCAAGTTGAAGGATAAGGATGTTTCTAGTTGATTACTAAATCATGGAAGAATGGTTAACGTGCTGTTAGCTCTTCGTATACAGTAATAGTGTATAGTTTCTGGTAATATTAGTTTCTGTAGTGGCAAGCAGTTATGGATACAATATGTTGCCAGTGTAGAAGACCGCACAAAATTTATGTTTATAAATATGCCACAATATGCCATTCATAACTCAAAACCAGTTTCTGGCAGTTTATTTTACAGAGGCTATTAGCATACTGAAGAGTGATAAGATTGTTAGCACAGAATGATACTTGCGCATTATGGAGAATTCCAGAAGTTACATGTTATCCCGTAATATGAGTAGTAAACGAGAATTACGAAATGCATTAACTGTGTCACAAAGAATTTCATTCTTGAAATATTAAACTACAATAGCAGGGGTTAAATAGGACATCTCTTTCCAAAAAGATAAAAGTGTAAGAGATATTATGCTATGCTAGCAATTCATTCCATGGATTATCGAACTTCGTGAACAGCCCATTGCTTTTCTCATTCAATTTATTATCCGTGACGATCCCGGCTAATTGTTGTGAACATTCTATGCGCAACATCCCTGTTGTATCATTTTTAATGAACAACATTATTGTATTCATATTTTTAGTAGTGATTTTGCTTATCAATAATCTTACCACTAGTATTAATAAGGCAGCATTATGCGTGCCGTAATCGCCTCAATTTTACATTCTAGTTTGAATCAGCTAGTTGTTAAAATTAACAATATCATTATAGGGTCTTTAGGCGAGATAAAGTACAAATCTTTTTTTAGGATGTTGAATAACGGATTAATTAAACATTTTCCGAGCCGTACTGAATCATCAAATATCTAGGAATGGTGCTGTGGTGATAGAATGATAAACTGGTTTTTTCGCTTAATTTGATAACTGAATGAGTGAATTATATAGTTCAATAAAAATTTCATTATTTCAAAAAATGATCAGAATGAAAGACAGTATAGTTGGTCAAGAAAGAAAAGATAAGATGGAAAATACTGTAAAGAAGAAATTTCAATTTTCAAATCATTTCACGACTATTATAATCGTGGATGTTACAATCTGACAATGGTGTAGTGTTTTAACAGTTTCTTTCATTGAAAATAAATTCTCAGAATTATTAATCATTAATCATATTATTGTTTTTATGGTAACACTGACACTAATACAATAATAAAGAAGAGAAAGAGAGCGAAATTTACATTTGTTAAATAATTAATAAGTTAATAAGGATATGTCTTGAACAGAATAGTTGAACAATTAACAAGTTGTGAACTCTGCACAAAAGGCTACATACATAATCATATATAATAATCGTGCCGTTATTGGACTGTCTGCTAGTTGAATCTATTTCTGTAAAATATCCACCCATTCATGTATAATTAGACAATATCATTGTTATATAAGATGATAATATTTATTTCTTCGTAATAAGATCGACATTAGGATAGTGATATTTGCGATATTATACAAATATTTTTGATATTTCGCTAAAATTAAATCATAGATAAAATAATAACTGAAGAATTGATGTTTACAATGATATGTTATGTGTAAAAAAGGAAAGAATGAAAAATAAACAAACAAACACTTATTTTCATTTAGAGAAACAATGAAATTATATAGAAGGAATGGAATACAACGGATGGCGAAATAAATTTCTCATTTTACTGACATAAGAATTGAATTTAAATGAAATTGATTTCACTATATAAAATTTCCGATAAAATTACTGTGAGTTGAAATTTTTGATAAATATACCTCAGGAATCATATTTTCAAATATCGCGCATCTTTTATTAATTATACTATTTATATAATCATACTACATGATAATAACAATTAGGGGATGATACGAAATTAGTGCAACTACTGAAACGCATTAATTTGATTACATATATAATCGAATATGTTGATCAGTTCCAATTACAAATATGCAGATGCTTCGCGAATATTATTGATTATAAAAAATTGTATATTTAATAATTCCCTTATTATAATTTTTATTTAATGTTTGCCTAATATCAATATTTTTGAAATGATAAATAGTTTTGGGATATTTTGGGTGAGATATTTCAGGGATTTTCTGTGCAACATACACCACAGATATTCTTTGTTAACAATACTAAAATTATCATTATACTATCACTGACAGAAGGCTAAGAAAACGACTATGTGATAAATTATCACAGAAAAAAATATTCAAAAATAACTTGATCAAATTTATCCAGAAGAAAGATAGGTGAGAGGGAGAGAGGGAGAGAGAGCAGCATAGAATAAATGTAATTGGGTAAACTTTTTCCCAATTTAGTATTATGAGTGAGAAATAAAAAGATGATACAATTAGATGATAGATAGATAGGGAATGGAAATAGGGTTGAAGAGACGATGAAGACTGTTAAAATTAGAAATGGGGAAGAATTTTGGATCTTGTTCGAAAAACTGGGTTTACAACACACTGAGTAGATGAGATGAGCGACAATAACGCTTGGGCGGAGGGATAGTGACGTATCAAACGGAACGATGCGACTGTTATGGTTATTTTTATTCATCAAACAAGTTCATTCCAGCTTTACTCCATGTAACGGTATGTATTATATTGGTTGTAATAAATTTCAACATTTAAATTAATTAGGCTAACATTTCATTATCATCAAATTTATGTCTCATTTAATCTATCGGGAAGAATGGTTATGTAAGGTATATAATATATTATATATGGAATATAAATGGGGAATTCAGGAAAATCACCACTTGGTGGTACATGTGATTGGAATATTGATTGTGAGAATAAAGGATCGATATGTTTACGCGGACGTTGTAGATGTCATCCACATTATGCTGAGATTGTGGATGAGAAGAGAGGTAATCCACATTGCAAAAAGTGTAAGTATCAATACTTTTCTTTTATATTTTATACCATTTTTTTTTAAATCACGATTAAATATACTTAATTTAACCATTATTAAATATCTTAATTTAGCTATAATTAGACAATTAGACAATCTAACGATTATAAATCGTTATTCAAATGTATACTACTAGCATCACTTTTATCATTTTTATTTCAAATCTTGAAACAAAAGAAGTAGGAAATGAAAAGAAAGAAGTGAATAGTTTTAGTACCTGCAAAAGTTGGCCAAATGTGTACTACTAAATGTCGCGAGCCGTTGTTTTGTCGAAGTGGACAATGTCAATGTGTTCAACGTGGTACTACAACGTTAATCAACGGTCAATGTGTATCAAGTATGTTTATATTTTGCGTAAATTCAATTTAACTGCATTTATATATTTAAATTATTTATAAATTTATAATATATTGCTGCAAGTTACTAATTTGTAATATCATCAGTTTTAGCGTAATTAATTAGTAACTAACTGATATTAATCCAATATATACTACATGATATAAATGAATGGTAAATAGTACTCCTACTTTATCGCAATCTTAAACATTTTAATCACTTGTAACTATTATTCAGTATATGATAATTTGCTTGCTTAATTAAATTTAAATGAAATTTTATTTCAAAGTTTATATTGTGGATTCTACCCTTTGCTAACTTGCAATATAATTCGGATTACCAATCGTACTAATTAATTATCCCGGTTGACTGATTATTAAATTGCTATTAATCAGAAGAATTACAACATAAGCGTATATTTTTTATGATTAAGTGAGTCGAGTGGGCGATCGTTGCACGCGGCACTACGATTGTTCCGCACCCTTTTCGGCGTGTTTAAATTCGCAATGTGTATGTATTAGTGGTACCATGCAGCAAGGTTCACAATGTATAGCTAAACCAGCCTGTCCACTTGGAGGTTATTTTTAAATCTATTAAACTTTTTTTTCTAATTCATATTGTAATCAGCAATAGTTATAATAACTGCAGGCATTCCTGGTAATGCATGCATCCGTAAAGCAAATCAACATATGGTGGAAAATTTCGTTGATGATGCCGATGATTGTCCACTCGGACAGGTAAACGAAACTTTTTTTATCAATTTAATTTTCATTTCCTTTATTAACAACTAAATAATACGATTATCGGGTAAAATTCGTTCAAGCATAAATACTATTAGTTGGACAAGGTAAACCTGAGGTATTTTCAGGTATGCATAACTATTGGTGAATCACCGATGGGACATTGTTGCCCAAAAGTATGCCCGCTGGGGACGTTACCAGAATTTAATTATTCTTGCGATCCCACCGCAAGTATCCGTTGCCCGTCTGATACACATTTTTGTCATCGTATTTCAGGTATTTTTCTTAAACCTACATTAAACTCTTACTATCATACATTAAATATCTACCATATTTTATCCTATTAAATATTTGAGAAACTTTTTAGATTATTCTTAATAACTGTTATATACTCTTCGTGATTATTGTATATACACGTCCTTATTAATGAAATACGTGACTTTTTTGACTACAATTTTACAAAGAAAGAAAAAACAAAGCATTTATGTAATAATTTTATTTTGAAATTCAAAAGCTTTAAAATAAAATGAAAGTGGCATAAACTGTGGTTTAGATGGTGGATTTTCGCAATCATTGTGTTGCCGCCGGCCATGTAATGCTATGGCACCAAAAGCTTTGTATGTTAATGGTACATGTATGGCACGCGGACAACTCAACTCACAATGTACTGCAAATGAACAGTGTGGTGGTGGCGAAACTATGATATGCAATAGGGTGAGTTCAAGGAATAGATGAGGATATAAACGAAGCCTGAAAAAAGTTATCCTTCTGATCATTCACATTTAAAAAGAAACGAATATTTCATGAATTTATCATCATCTAATGGCATTTCCATGAGAAATATTTTCGTTTAGGGACAGTGTGAATGCTTGGCTGGATTTCATCCACTTGTCGATCCAGTAACACATCCATTGCGCAACCCAAGTCAGACCTGTACACGAGATTGCGAGTCGGAGGTACTTTCCAGAGATACAACCTGCCTGAAACCAGTAGCACTTGAAGCTCACTGTTTCATCCAAAAACAATGCCCGATAAATTCCGGATGCTACAGGCAAGTGCTTTATGAATAAATTAAAATATTAGATATTAGAATTTCAAATAAAAAAAAATGAGATGAGGGAAAGGAAGAGACAGAAACAGTTTAATAATTGCACTGCAAAAAAAAGACATTTCTGAATGATCTTCATGATGTTTCTTCCACTTTTAGAGGTCGTTGTCAGTGTAAGTGTGGTTTTAAAAAGGAGAAACAGCGATGTATCGAGCTACCTCCATCCCCAACGACAACAAGACAACCATCTGGTATAAATCAAAACTGAGTTGTAATGCCTTTGATTTTAATGTCTTTTTCTCAAACGATATTCTTGAAAGATTTTAATTTCAGTGATAGTACCTGGTACTGTGATTGTGCCTGGTGGCGATTTCTTAAGTCTTATTGGAAATTTTTTTGGTGGAACGGAAACGCAAAGCGCTGCCGGCAGATAAGATAGAAGCGCTGGTCATAATAATACATATCCCCGGGTTTACATTAATGTTGTACCATGCTTTGTAAATTGTTGTTGCAAAACCTCTGAAGTCAAAATCTCTAAGCGTAAAAAACTCTTGTTTGATTGCGTAATTCACGAAATGAGATAGCAATCATGTTCCCTAATGGAAAAGATGAGTATAAAAACCATTCAAATTAGGGAAACTTTCTGTTAGGTACTCGAAAAATTATGATCTGTTATACATAGATATTACGCTTATCTATCTTAAGCCAGAACCTCCTATTCCGATCCGTCTCATACCTATCAAGCACGCATACCCCTTTCAACGAAAAGATAATTGGAAAAATACTGCGGAATGAATTGGTGCGACATTGTGCAGTATTTTATTTATCGAATTAGCAACCTACCTACCTATCTACCTGAAAGATATTCATAAAACAAAAGTAAAACACCAAAAATCTCATGTCATAAAACAAAAGTAAAACACCAAAAATCTCATGTTGAACAACATTAAGATGAATCAGTGGGACTTTTCAATATTCGACACATACCGTACCGCTGGCAACATAGGCCGAAATAATAAAGGGAGACTCATGAAGCTAACCGTGAAATCATTTCGTTCCATCACCTGTTATTTAGGCTGTCAGTGATTATTGATTAACAGTGATATAAGTTAAATTAATAAAAAACATTTGTCTGTTAAGAAAAGCACAAAAGACTGGATACTTTATCACTTGCAGCTTCTTAGATAAAAAATTCCTTGACAACCATTGGAATGGCAACTTCTTTGACTTTTTCCGTCCCAACAAGTAGCTCCACCAATTTTAGTGCAAATTCTAATGCAGTTCCTGGGCCACGGCTGGTCACTATATGATCTGTTGTAACCACACGATCTTCAGAATATTTATATCCTGAAACTAAGTAAATGGAATCTGCCTGAAAAGTTCTCACTTGGAAGAAAAAATTAAAGAATTTTAAGCGCTTCAGTTTTCCAGAAAAGCAATAAAAGTGAAAAGATCAGGCTATTCCCAGCAGGACTTTGGCTAAATTGCGGCATATGTTATTGTATAAAATAACTGAAAATACAAAAATCTTCAAAAGACTCATAATTTGTGACAATGTAATCACGGGACTGTGTTTCTGAATAAACTTACCGCCTTCTACAAGCTTCGATTTAACACTTGGATGTGAAGTCAACAATATTCCCGGAGCAATACCGTGACTTTTTAGAGCGATCGGTGCGGCACATATCGCAGCTATGTAACGACCACTTCCGTACTGAGCTTGAAGTATGCTACCCACTTCATCTGACTGAAACTCATACTTTCTTCTGTTAACGCAGAAGTGCTTGATAAAGGCGAATCGGCAAACAGTTCGGATAAAAAACGTCAATAAATTTTTATCCTCCAAAAAAAGTAATGCCTCCAACATTATATTACTGATTCTTAATGATTCTTACTAAACAGAAGGTTGTAAGGATATTCATTATTAGAAGGAAAATTTTGCAGAAATAACACTGCAATCGCAGGCAAAGGAATATTTAGATGATTCATTCCCTCCAAGTTGAATCGAAATCGATATAAATAGTATTTAAAAGTATTTCAAGCCTTTAATTAAAAAAGAGGAGTAAGGATGAGTAATAGTGTAAAATAATTCAAACTTACTGCTGCAAGAGAATTTGCCCCCTGCAAGCCACCTGGCAAAATCACAACATCGAATTTGTTATCCGCCACTTCGAATAAAGCTTTATCAGGCATAAGCATCACCTGCCTCGAACATTTCACTACATTTTTATCCAGAAGACCAGCAATAGTAACCTGTGAAACATGCTGTTCAGACAAACACAAAAACCTAAAGAACCTAGAGTTGAATAAAGCTAAACAGCTAATTAAAGTATAAATACGCGCCATATTCGACATCAAAAAATACAGCATTTGACATAAAATAAATCTCAATTATCGCGCAAAATTATAAAACTATATTAGCTATGTATCTACAAATGTAAACGTTGAATCACATAACAACAAAATCGAGCTTAATTTTGATTAAAACAAATATAACTATCATCCGAAACCTCAATTCCAGCTCGTCTCAAGACATCAACCGGAATAACGGTTTCCATTTCTTCGGCTCCTTCGGCAAGTATAACCATTGCAGTTTTCGATGCCATGTCTAAACAAGTCAAATACAATCTTATGCCAGACACTATGCAAGGTACACATAAATGGAATTTCTAAGAGACCCTTGTACTGTAAACTCAAAAGTTTTAGAACAATAATTTTTCAGAAATCTGTGACTGGATTAATAAAGATTATCTTTACTGCTACGCCCCCACGCCCATTTAAGCATAGCAACAACAAACATATCTTACAGGAAATGTTATAATAATGATGAAATCTCGCCAAACACGTTAAAGTAATAAGAATTAAATGGAACACTAAAAGTATATGTTATCAATGAAAGAAAGACCTTATGTATAGAAGTGGAGAAATCTCACGTAAAATTATTGCTTCACGTATGCACATCTTACTCATTAACTTATTATAACAATATAACAGACTTTATTCACAGCTTAAACTCCAATTATGACGTTTCACGTGAAGCGGTATTTGTAGCTTTCACCCGATAAAAAAGGATAAGACGAATATCTTTTAGTTCTAGTACTCCTCTTTTGTTAGCGGTTGGCATGATAATGTTCAATAATTTTTGCTTTTCTTTTTTATTGTCTCAAAGGTTGTTTGCTACCATTCCGGGCATACTTTAACTGATATTTGAAATTTGATTTCCAAAAACAGTTGGATTTCTGGGTTCTTCATAGATTTATTGAATTTCTAGACTGATTTGATTCATACACTAATAATATTCCGTCCATTAATTGTAATAAATTTTAATGAAGTGAAAAATTCGATGTGAACATCGTTGGCTGTCGTTAGGATGAAAATGATATAAACAACATGAGAAATTATTTAATGAACCTGTAAATTCGTTGACTTGTTTCCATTTATTTGATACGACTTCCCGGACAACTGTTCTACAAATATTAGCTATCCGAGATCTACACGCAAGCAGCGTCATTTAATGTTTTGCTCTTCAAATATGTGCAAGCCAACAGATGTTATATAAAGAATCAAATAGGTCATACCAGTTAGAAAACATATTACCTAACTAATCTAACAATATCTGATTAAGATATTTTTCGACTGTACGAAGATATACCAAACGGTATTTTTCATTTTTATTCTATTTGCTTTTTAAATTTTTTTAATCTTATTCTTTCTACCATGGTCAATAATATTAATTCTTTGAGACCCATGATATATACCTTACCGCTTTATAATGCGATTTTGCGATCCCAAATTACAGTATTGTTAATATTATACGGATTATACTTTAAAACAATTCTTCATACACCTTCATGTTAACTTAATATTCGACAAAATTACATCACCAGACCGCTACATTTATTAGTGCCTTTTTTTTCGGGCTTGTGAAAAATGGCTTGCAGTCAAACATGGTTTTAAATTTTTATTAAACCACTATGAAAAATTATTGAAACCTCTTTCATCATCTCCTACCTTTATTATCTTATCCTTCTATCACTCAACTTTCTTTCCTAAATGTTACAGAGAACAACATATGTTTTACAATGGGATATTAGAATTTATTCTCATTCAGCAAAAGACTAAGCCAGGGGTAACAGGGGAACACAAGATAACAACAACAACAACAAACCGTTATATTAAATCAGGAAAAAAAGCAAAAATAACAGGAAAACATCCTTGAACTTACGATGTATGTAAGATGGAAGCCATGCCATAGTCTTTTTCGCCCGAATGAACCACTGGTTGTTATCTTAATCTTGCTTTTTTCTGGGGAATTTACAACGATTAAAACAATATGCTTTTAATTAATACAAAACAATACCACGTTACAGTGACATCAGCAGCAATCTACAACCATAATTTGATTTACGTTTGTACATGCATTCATCGGAACAATTAAAATTAAGGTATAGCCAAGAAAGCAGAAAGTTTTAAAATATCACAAGTAGGTTGTAAATCAAATTTTTTAGTGCTCAGAAAACTACATCAGTAATACTACAGAAAATATGATTTAAATATGAAAAAAAGGCGAAGAAGTGAAATCTTGAAAATGCATTTAAATAATTAGATAAGCTTATATTGCTCACAGAGCAATTTCAGTGAAACAAGCGATGTAAATTAGAAAGGCATAACCGGGCAGAAATAAACGAGAGATGTGCAACTCAAAAAACTATTCTTTTTAATAAATTCTTAATAGAATTATCGCTTTCACAAGTGTAGAATCAACCTTACAGTAGTAATAATTTCGATAAATTAGTGGGAAATTCGCTCTAACGGACTTCGCTTGAAGCGATTCTTATTCTTCCCAATGATACATTTAGTTTTGGCTAAGTTCAATAAATTGTCAGTCAAATTAAACAGTTCGGTAAACCAATACCAACTTCAGTTAGTGGTCAGCGTCTTTAACACGTCACAATCTAGACTGGACAATCAAAAAATCTTAAGCATATTAACCTCGGTGCGATTAAATTAGAAAAGGATGTGTTGTTTTATTTTTCTCAACTCTTTAAAGAGTACTTCGGGTTTGCTTGATACCTAAAATATGCTTAAAGTAGGCTGCATTGAGTTGCTCGAGTATGACAAATGTCAGCATAGTATGCGGTCCCATACGAAAATAATAAGGTGTAAAACCTTTCCACAACGAGAAAAATCCCTCATTACGTATGACTTTGGACCATACATTCAGCATACCACTATATTCTGGCTTTCCATCTATCACACGCATATTCTGTATTCTGAAAAAGTTTCTAATTTATTATCGTTAAGGAACTTGCTACCAATATTATATAGAAATTCCCTCCACTTTCGTTCATTTCGTAAAATAAACTCATTAGCAAACGCTAACCCTTACTCTAAGACCGGCGCTGCAGTGAAAATGTCTGTTCAGGAGGTATTAAAATATAAATTCAAATGAAAACCAGTAATCAGACTCTCAAAAGTTTGGATAAGTCAAGTTTTTGAGAGAACTGATTAACCTTGTTTTAACAATATCGATCGGCATTGAAGCTATAGTTGTTGCAAGACCGCTTATCATTGAGGCCATGAGTTGCAACATCATACCTTCCTCGAAGAATTTAGTTGACAGTAATGCTTCCTTACTTTGCGAGTAGGTACCTAATTGTGCTGCATTTACTGTCATTGCTCGAAGAATAGTTGGCTTACATCCCTGTAAATGCAAATTTATTACAAGAATTTACTTTCACCTTTTGAGAGAAGTAAAGCTTTATAAAGTCCATGACAAATGTATTTACCCTCCACAGCGTGGAAACTCCTTCTTCCCGGACAACACGCACCAACGCATCCAAGACATTTTTATATCGTCGCTGTTGTTCGCGCGGAAGCCTAAACGATAAATGCCTGATCAACCACAATCTGCTAATAATTCTATTTATAATATAAGAAGGATTTACCGTCCATCAGTGCACATTCGAACAAGAGCTACTTCTGCGGGGGTACCGACAAATGATCCAGCAGCCCCAGCAGTTAAACCAATAACAGCCTTTGTTGCAAAACTAGTTGTTGCTCCGTCTCTTCAAATCATTTTAAATCATAAACAGTTTAGAAATTTGATAAATGAGCTGATTATACAGTCCAGGGGCAGTGAATGGCACGTCGAAAAAGTAATATTGAGATGGAAAAACACTGCAACTAGAATGGACATTAGCTCTTTAATATTTTGGGGAACAAAGCTAGAAACAACCCACAATTAAGATTCAATAGTATTTCGAAGCCGGAGAAAGGTATATCTTCTCTATCTGTATTGAAAAAAACCAACTTCCTAAATTTCTCGAAGAGCCAAGTATAGATGCCGAGACGAGTTGTTGTATAAGTAGCCTGACGTAAAAGACCAGCCGAAAGGCCACTATAGATTGCGAAAAAGCCCTCATTTGTTATAACACTCCTTAGGACGTGTAAACTTGACTCTTTTTTACCGGTTAATCCACTAAGCTGCATGCGATTTTTTAACAAATCCAAAGGTTGCACTAACAAGGTGGCACCCATCCTAAAAAATCAGATCACCACTACTTGAAATATCTTGTGGAATTTGTATGTAAGAACTTATTGTTTATTTATGGTTAAAATTACCAACCCTGCAGCTCCGCCAAACGCAAATTTTACAACATTGGGAATTGTAACTGGTCCCAAGTTATCCTTCGAATTCATAGCTTTTCCGTCAGAGCCACTTGCTGTACCGATACCGTTATTTTTTGGGCTCTTATTATGAATGCCAAATTTTTATTTGATTTTTTCGCTTCACGAGATGTTATATTTTTCTTCCCTTTACATTATTCGACGATTTATATCCAATCAACCGAGCAGTTCCCATAACCTGAAATTAAACAGCTTTTCTCGGTATATACGACATGACTGAAGTAAGCAGTTAAAACGAATAGGATGCACCTAAGAGAATGATGAGAAAAAAAACAAACACTTTTACACAGTACTTGTTTACAAAATACCCAAACGAGACTTCTTGATTAAAAACATTTTTTTGTTTTGATTAAAATTATTCAAAATTACTGTGTGTATAGATAAAGAAGATAATCACGAAGTACTAACGTACTTCAGTAACGATCCCACTTGTAAACCAAAACAACTTCATATTCAGACTAATCAGGGATAACTTACCGGTTTATTTATTGCAACGGAAATAACTATGCTATACTTCCTGAAAATCGTCTTAGACGTTGACATATACTTAATGTTACCTGAGAAAAACACAAGTTAGTGTAATAATATGATTCCAAGATCCTAACTATATTTCACTTACTTCATCTTTACAAAAAATTTTGTTAGGTCATAATATTATATCAATATATCAATTTTAAGTAACAAAAATACAAAAATATACCGGAATGAACGATTACTTACAACCACTCATTATTACACAATAAAACTATTTTTGAAGAAGAAAACGGTAGTTATTGTTGAAACAAATTTTTAATGCTTGCAAATATAAGGATGAAATAAGAAAAAGAAAATAGCTACTACATGCACAGTTTTTTCTGATCGAAGTTACTGGGCACTTGACAGAGATGTGCCACATAAAAACAATTTAAAATATTAATTATGTGAAGTTGCTGTAAATGTTTCCTCATAAACTAATATCAAATTAGCAATAGCTGCAATTAGTTACGAGTTAACCGAATGATAAACGGAAAAATTTGAGATTCAATTACAATAAAGTCCTTTCACTTTCTGCTTCATTGTATTTTTTAACCGGTTAATACAGGAGAGAAGCATAGAAGGTAACATAAAAAAATACTGAAATGAGAGATGAGGACACAAAACACTAAACAGTAATGATGGGTGACACAGAGATCAAATAATATTTTTGACATGAACAGTTATGCCATCAGAAAAGAAGAATAATTAGGCAAATGAGACACTGAAAATGCCACAAGACATTTCTGATTGTATCTGCTGTTTTCTTTTGCAGGAACCATATCGATAATGTTCATTCAAATTTAATAGTCGGAATTAATATATCATGATATTTCTATATCATGACTTTGTTAGATATCTTTATTAGCGATCAAGAAAAAATACTGTGCATCATTTCTTGCTCGCTTATAAAGATATCATAGAAATATCATGATATATTAATTTCGACCATTAAATTTGAATGAACGTTGTCAACATGGTGCTAAATATCTGGTCGAATATGAACATCGCGTAAGAAAATCAAAATTTTAACCTTTATATCTATGATTTTGTATGTTTACCACTATAAAATATTTAACGTGATATAACTTATAAAAGTTTCAAAGTGTTGTAATCTTCATTGATGAAATCAGCTGAGTGTGACGCAATTACCATGTATCTACTAATATTGTCAGCAGAGACTTTTAATGTTACGAATGAACATTTAATGTTACGAATTACTACTGAAAACTTAAATGATTATTAATCAGGTTAAATGGAAAGATTCAGTGGCAATCATGCATGTAAAGCTGAAAAGATAGATGGGTTCCTGTGCCCTAAAAATGTTGATGAATATCGTCGTTACGATTCTTTCCAAAAAACAAAAAAAAAGGGTAGAATACTGTAAACCTGGACTGTGTGTAAAACTACTACCAACTCAATTAGTCAAAGTGATATACAAAAAAATCAAACCAGCCATTTATTAAGGTGAACAGAAAAATGAAAAGAAAGCAGTGATAACTGGAAATGATAGTTGTTTTCATGGTAATTGATCGATGATCTTTTTAGCCAATCAAAACAAAAAATAATCACGTGATTTCTGTAAATAGAACGGCTATGGAGTAATGTTTGGCTTACATTTTCACATACAGCGAAAGTACAAGAAAGTAATGCCATATTCAGCTGGTCTCACGTAACTCACTGATACTTAAACCTCATACGTATCATTAGTAAAATTGGTAAATTTTAAACGATGTTCTCAGCGCATGTTCGTATTGGAGAAGATATGAATAACTATTCCAAACTCTATCATCAGATTTACCATTGTCTGTTCTATGTGTACTAGACATCGTAAACAAAATTCTAGACAAAACTTTTACAATTAAGCTTAGCTGGTCAATATATGGAGTAAGATGTTTCGATTTGTCCATAAGCGACACAATTTTTTCAGTTGTTGTTGAAGGGAAACATATAAAAAAGATATGAAAAAGAGGACTTTACAACTCCTCTAATCGATAATCATAGATGTTCAATAAGACAATAAGCCCAATATCATTCTCAACCATGCCAACAACTTACGAAACATTTGCGATAATCGCAAATATTTGTGGCATGTTGAAGATGAAACATTGCCGGACTAACATCATTATATCATCGATAATACCTGAATGTTAATGATTATTGTTATACCCAGGTAGGGTCTAATTATCTCTTGGAATTCTATAGATGATGTAGGCAGCAACATACTGCACTCAATCAATCAAACCAATTTCCCCTTCGCTCCATTTTTTCAGCATGATGCCGGCGATTATGAACTACCACAATATTGTGATAAAATGCTGAAGTAGAACTTTCTTTATTTTTGCTTTTGTATTCGTCTCTTTTTTCTTTTTTTCGCTTTTGCAAGAATCATACAAGAGCCAACAGATTCAAATGCTAATTAAAATTATTTTCAAATTCTTTGTTTTTCATTTCACTTCAATCTCGATTCTTTCATATTCAAACGCAATTAGTTTTGCGGCAAAAAAGAAATACACAGATGCCAGAGTAAACAAAACTCATGACCATAGATAGTAATGCATAATCACTTTTGCCCGTAATTAAATCCCGTAATTCTGTGATGTTCCCATGATACACTTGATAAAGTGAAGTATTGAATTAAATTAAGGATAATAAAATGACTTGCACCTTTCATTCACGTGAAAAAAAATGCATTTTATTAACCTTTTTTCCTTACAGTCTTTCTTAGTCATCCATACCTCCATGATTATAGCATTTTTTAAATTTATTCTCAATTCCCGAAGATGATTTATAGTTTTTACTTAATCTATATTTCTTCTAATCACTGGTTACCACCATCTCCAACTCCAAACATAAAATATTCCGGAGCAACCTCATCAAATCTAGGTCTCAATTACTTCATTTTGTTGCATCGCCGTCGCATATGTATTGTGCTCAACAGACCGCAAAGATTTACAAGTCTTGTTTGTAATTTAAATAATGGGTGGTATGTATATGTATTTATTTATTTACTGGTTATGTTTTAAGCATAGGCAAGCAGGGAAATTAATTTCGAAATATTTTAATTCTTCCGGATTTGTGAATAATTATTCATTTTTTACTCAAACAGTGGATAACTGGACTGATAATTTTTTGTCGTTTTCCGGAATAATGCTATGTACCACCAAAGATGACATCAATGTAACAAATTTTTTCAACAGTTAATTTTTCTTTTATAGCATGTCGACATTGGACAAAAATATTATAAAGACAGCTGTGTATGACACTGATCGCAAGGTTTCTTTTTAAATATATTTTCAAATATCAAAGGCTTCGATTGTTATGATTAGAAATGCTGATTAATATATTTAGATTGTTAAGTGATTTTAGGATCAGTTAAATGAAGTTCAAGCGTTAGAAAGCATATATTCCGGTACACCAGAATGGTTCTCGTACACTACAGGCAACGATTCACAGATAAGAGGTTGCATAACTGTTATATTATCCAAAATTGAAAACGGCATTGCTGTCCGTGCAGGTTTGAATTTCGGATCATTCAGTTTGTTTCACCGACTTATTTTTACTTGCATGGTTGCATATAGTAATTTATTGCTAGGCGAGGTAATGTTAGATAATTTATTACATGGCCCCAAAATTTGTTTCATTAGCATCTGCAGTGATATTTTTTAGATGAGGAAGTTATTCACCTTAATCATCTTCCACCTTTATTGCTATGCTTTACATTTCCTCAGGATTATCCGTCACATTCCATGCCGTTATTTTCTCTTCGTGCAAGTTGGCTTGATTCAATTAATGTATGTTTCTGTACAAAATTTTCTGTTAGCTACTTCACTTTGTTTAGTTTTTCATGCTTTCTACTTGGCGTTCGAATTTTTAGTTTAAGATTTTTCTGAAACTGATGACTCATGATTTTTTGCTAGAATAAATTTTGGCAACAAATTTTGACTTTCAGAGGCATCGGTTGAGAGAAATTTTAATTGATTCATGGACGAATTATCTTGGCATGCCTATTTTGTTCACATGGATTGAACTGTTAAGAGAAGAAGCTATGAAGATTATACTATCCCAAAAGAATATTGACTTAAATAAAATTGTTTTAGAGGAAAACGAAACTGAAGCAGTAAGCTTTTGGTTCGCTGTCATCATGTCTTTTAATCATCACTATGTTCTATAAGCTGTGCATTGGGTAAATCTTATTTCCAGATGAAAAAAAAGTCGGCTGAACTTCTGAAAACATTTGTTGAATTTAATGATATGGCGACGCAAAATGATTTCGAGAGTGAATGGTATGACTGCGAGGTAATTTCTTTAAATTGTCTGAACTTATTATTTATTTATTCAAAAAATAACGTTATTTTCAATTTTTCGAATTACTAGTTCAGAGTTCATCGTATCACCATTGCTTTTCAGGTATGTTTTAGCTCGAAAAGTGGTAAAGAATGTATTAGATTTATGCCATGTGGCCATGTCTTCTGTATGGAATGTATTTCGGACTATTACCGCCAAAGGCTGCGTGATAATTTGGTACATTTTGACACCATAGATGCTAATGCTAAATGCATTTAAACCGCGTTGTTCAATTAAACAGTTAAGCAACAATACAGAGATTTATACTTGCACTTAATAAACTAGTTAAACCATTTTCTGAAATCTCTCATCATTGCTTTTGTTAGCTAGAAAACTAAATTCTCTTAAGCAAATGCATACCTCGTTTAAAAATACATCTTGCTGTTTTTCATCATTACAAAGAGCCGAAATCTGTAATACAAATGACGTTATTTCTACGAATTTTTTATCTAAGATTCCACAATTACAATGCCTAAGTATTGGGTGCGATAGTCCTGCGACTCAAGCACAGATTCGGCGAGTATTATCTGATACAGAATTCGAAATTTATGAACAACGTTTGCTAGAAGGGGCATTAGATTTGATGTGCGATGTAGTTATATGTCCAAGGATATCGTGCCAGGCTCCTGTTATTGTTGATGGCGGTGAAAATTCTAGGTATTATTTTTTATTCGTACTCCTTGTATTTTACGTAAATTGAGAGTTTTTTTGATGCTAACTTGGTTGGAGATAGTCCATTGTTTATGGGTCAAGAGACGATTTATTGAGTGCCAATATAAACTATAACCTAATGGCATCATTTTTTCATCATAGAGATACGTCGTTCGCCTGCATTACTTTTCATCATTATAGAGGTTACTTCAGTTTGGCAAGCTGTACCCTATGCCATTACTCTTTTTGCATATTGTGCAAAAAAGCTTACCATGGTATAGAACTGTGTTCTTTAACTGAAGGTGAGCATTAAATTGTCCAATTTTCTGGAATTCAAATCTTTTTTCTGTTATAATTATGCTCCAAATTCTTGTAATGATTAAATGAAAAGTGTTTTATTTCTTTTCAGATATTATTTGTCCGCATTTTGCATCTATTTCTTATCAAATGCTTTTCATCTGACTTTCAGAATCAAGAAGAAAAATGCTGAGCCAAGTGGCAACTGCTAGTCCTGCTCAGCTTGAACAAATCTATAAAAGATGTGGTGGCAAAAAGCACCTTGAACAGATGCTTGAGGCATTAAAAAGTGAAGAATGGATAGAATGCAATAGTAAACCTTGTCCATCATGCCAGGCCAAAATTGAAGTGATTATTTTTTTTCATCTTTTTTTGAGAAATCTTTGAAAAAAATTAACGCGCTATACACAATTCTTTCGCATACTTTTCCCTCGTAGAAGATCGCATACTTTTCAGCGTGGGACTAGAGAAGATCGCATACTTTTCAGCATGGGAATATCTCGTTATAAATGAGTGAACTAGAGAATATTTTATTAAATATACTTCATATAAATGAATAGCACATCGTTTTATACTTCTAGATATGTTTAGACAACGAAGAACATATGACTAGACTACTTTATTGCACAACTTTATATGAAATATATTTAACGAAATGATTTAGCAGCTGTGAGCGTAAATTAACTTCCTGCCGTATAATTGTTCATTTCAGCACCGCATCATTTTCCAATAATTTTGTTTATTACATATAATGTATATTGTTCATGATATCCATGTTATTCTAGGTTTAACATTTTTTTTTGTTATAGAAGAACAGTGGTTGCAATAAAATGGTGTGCATAAAATGCGGGCATTATTTTTGTTGGCTTTGTGGTATTTCGTTAGATAAGAATGATGCGTACAGCCATTTCAATCTACCTGGACTAGGGAGTTGTTACAATCGTCTGTTCGAAGGTGTGATTTTTAATATATTTCAGTATTCGGAAGTAATGTATTCGTATGAAAGAGGAAATATACCATAAAATGCACAGTAAATGAAAAGAAAATAATTTTATAACGGAGTAATTTTTTCAGGTGTTGAGGATGATGGTTATGATGTGGAAGATTAATGATTATTTACCTGATGGCATAATTGAAGACAAGTATTAAAACAGTGATTAGAGAATAGTCTTTTCAATTGGGTTTTTAAAATCCATTAAAACACCTCAAGAAGCAGGAATGTATCATCGTTCAATTATATTCTATTAGTCTTAGCTGTTTCTTTATTTTAGAATTTAAGAATTTGTAAGTTTTGTTTTGTACCACTGCGAATTGAATATAAGTTCATATTGCAGTATACTGTAAATATACTGATTATAGCTTGTACCAAATGAGTTCTTTATTATGTTTAGCTATACAATTAATGCTTGTCTGAACAATTTTTTTTTAAATGAAAATCCTGTATGGCGGGAAATTGTCTCATTCCATCGTTTTTGCTGTGATATCTTAGTCGATTATGGCCGAAATGAATGATGTGAAATAAGTTATCATTACTTTTCACAAATTTTGCTTTATTTGAATGACTGCTTAATTATTTAGCTTATCAAGTTATTCTTTACTAAGTGATTGCAAGATAAATGAAATTTGTCCTGTGACTATGTGACCATGATTAAATATTTCAAATTTATTTTTTTTTGAAAAAAATTGTTGAATAACTTCATCTCTTTTATATTGTGAAAAAATTTGCCGAAATAACTTCATCGTATTTGGAAATGGTTTTGTCATATTAACTCATCTTAAAATTGAATCTCATTTCATAGCAGCTCAATTCAGTAATGCCAGTATGTGGTGTGGTTTTTTTTTTCTAGTATGGTACGATCTACCAAAAGAAATTCTTAATAAATTCAAGAAATGGTAGAAAGTATTAATTAAAACCACCTTTGTCGGAAAAGATATGGTGATGATTCTAGATGTATGACTTGGTCTCACCGTGTAGATAGTATCCCTTTGGTGACACTATGAGCTCTTTTCTTAAAATTCAAGTTTTTTATTCTTTTTGATATTTGCTGGAGAAAATTTGAGTGGTCAATTTATTAATAACTTTTGATCTGCATGTGTCAAACAGGAGGCTGGATCGATTGATTCTGTTGGGCTTATTTATTGGAACTATTGGGACTTAAATTAGTGTTGCAAGTGATGTAAGGTTTGTTATGTGTATATCTGAAGTAATGTTGATCGGAGCTTACCATATTATCGTAATTATAGAAAGAAGTATCTGATTAAAATCCGAATGCCTTCACTAAATTGGAAGCACTATACGGCCATATTCGCTTCTGTTTCTGGAATGCCAGTTTTCTGTTATTGGTACTACAGCTTACCACACGTAGTAGATCGATTTGTTAGTTCTTTTCCCGGTTCATATTGAAGTCACATTTGGTTAGCTTATAAAGAGCTCAAGTGATTTCAGACCGAGAAATGGCTGATAGAAGAACCAAAAAAGGATAACCAAGACTTTCGTGAATTCATGAAAGAACTATCAATAATGCAACAAAAAGTCGATCATGAAGATCTTGTGGGAAAAATTGCTGTTGAAGAGGCACGAAGACGCACATTACGCCAGTGATTGAATCATTTTGTAAGTTTAGAATAAAATTACAGCTCATTAGAATGAGAATAAAATTGCAGTTCATTACAAGCGATTAAAAACTGAGGCTTATAAGCATAGATTTTTGAAAAAAGATGTAGAATAATTTTATGTGTATAAGCTCTATAAGTTATTCGTGCATTGAGTAGTGATAAATTAGAAATGTCAGAAATGTGAGACTGGCATACGAAGTTTTAGCATTACTGTGCTTCTAAACCGTTTAATTGTATAAAAAGGAAAAGTGTGTAGATAAAAAAAGGATAAAGTCAGCTGACTTCTACTGAAGCTATTTGGGGTGTCACATTTATTTTTTTAATGTCGTGATATATAAGTTGTATAGAGCTTAGGAATTTTGACATCTTTTATTTTCAGTATTGCAAAGAGCGGTTTCGCATCAAGTCTCATGCTTATCTCTACTATGCTCAATTGCCTTTCATTTTATTTTCATTTCTGAAAAAAATAAAAGAATTAATTTATTTGCAGGAATCAACTGATTGAAATGTATCTTGTCCTCTTTTCTAGGCATTTTGTTCAGCTTCACCATCCATCGTTTCTATACGGCAATACTGGAATTGGGACACCAGTTTCATCTATGAATCTGCTGTGCTGCCTTGAAACGATTGGTCTACCTAGAATTTTTTTCACGTGTTCTTTTGAATTAGATTAACTTTATTTTTTTGTATTGATTGTATTAAGACAAAGGAGAAGTCAAGTGATACGATTAGACCGAAGTTATACAGAAAAATGAGTGTTCCAACTTCCTTAAGCCGTTATACCGTTCATGATTAGTTCAATCAAAAAAAAGATTTTGGAAATCAGCTACTATCCGTAAAATCATTAAGCAAATGGCCTGAGAAAGAGGGAGAATGAGATGGCCATTTGTTAAGCATCAAGTCAAACATCTAATTATAAATGATGAAGGCAATTGTAACATCGATATAGGCCATCGGTAACGTTTAAAAAGTACCTGTGAAGATGTTGTTAATTTTTATACTATGAAAAAAAAAAGCAGAAGGTTGGAAGGATATAGCCAATGATTTTTTGGGTACGACGAAACTTTGGATGCATTTTAACCACACATGCAATAAATTTCACTCTCTTTTTCAATCTTTTTCTACAGCAAACTTATTTGTCCCTTTATTTATTATTTTTTTCCTTTTGCTTTTTTTTATTGAATTATCCTTGTCATAATTATTATTTTGTCAATTAAAATTTCATTTTTTTTCTTCAAGCCAATAGATGATATAGTATGTTGTTCAGAATATTGTTGTTCATTTCATTTCTTTCATTTAAAATATTTTTCCTTTTTTCAATTTCATAAATAAGATGAAAAGGAAAATTACAACAGAAGTAATTTTGAAGTAATAAGCCATATGTTACAACTTTATTTTAGAATATATTACCGAATTAAACGATTATTTCTACTACCATTTCCGAATGTTTATCCAGGTATGGATGTTGAAATCCCGTTGTCATTGACAAATTCGCTATTTTGACGCAAGTGAATTGGTTGAACTCTTCGAATAACAAGTTTTAGCCTAAGTTTTGTTTTTAACTGACACATCTACTTTAGTTGAAAGTAAAAAAATTTTAGGCATACTTTCAATTTAACATAGTTTTTTGATGTATTTCATTCAAGATAAAATAATGCCGCAATAAATAATTGCAAATAATTTGTTGTGTAGATTTATCATCATAATTTTGACTAAGTTGTATGTTGGTAAGAATAAACAATTTAAATAGACAAATATCATAATACTATGGTATTGATAGATTATGTTGATTTTGCATTATGGTATTGATAGATTATGTTAATAACATTATGGTGTTGATAGATTATGTTGATTTTGCACTTCTGTTTCACGCTGATGCAGCTTTACATGTCCTAGTAATACTGTATATTGTGGACTAGTACTGTACATTGCAAGAAAAAATTAATTTGCTAAATCATAAAAATTAATTTGACCATGAGCATTTTCTTTTGCTTCTAGTCAAGCAAATATCCACTATAACTATAGAATACTGTCAAAAAGGCAAATATAACAATATTACAGTAGTACGTCACAAATAAATTTTTTTTCTATCCGTTATTTATTCATATGTATATCGGATGAATACTGTATATTTTGGAATAAATGAAATAACGAATGTTTAATTGATAATGTTATGATAAAATTTCCTGAAAATTATAGTAAAGTTAATAAAAACAATAAAGTAACACATCAATGATACATTTAACTTCCATAACTGCCTATCATAATATCTACTACTTAATTGCCAAAATGTGTCATATTCATGGATACATCCAACGATATGTCATCATGTATGCTCAATTTCTCGAATTTTTAGAAAATTCTGAAAATTAAGAAAAATCATTTCTGCTCATTTAATCGATAATAATTTTTAAATATGCAATTAGACATCTCGTAATGTACGCATTAGAAATTTGTTAAAATTTAAAGAAATGAGTGATGACTCAGATTAAATAGTTACTCGGTAAACAGGCTGATTTCTTAAAAAAATTCGAACATCACGATATCATTATTATTATATTTACGCAACGATGCGGGAGGGAAAAGGAAAGTGAAGATGAAAGGCGCGGACCGATTCATGTGCTATATATGATCATCAGCAAATTGTTGACGAATTGATTAAGCATATTCGTACACGTATGTATAAAAAATATATCATGGTTCTGTCCTGTAAAGCCATCGTTGGGCATGAATCTCAGAACTGAATTCAATAAAATCTAAATGTTCTGGTTTATCTCACAATTTTGAGCTTATCCAATCTATTATGAGGTACTACAAATTTTATTTACAATTTAATAGCAGATTATTTTATTAGTATAAATTGATATTCGTTACATATCACACTTACATATATGAGCAATCAAATCAACATTTCAACAACTTGAACAAACGATAAAAAGTATCTCCAAAAAACTTGACACAATCTAGGAAAATGTAGAATAAGATAGGAATTAGTAATCAGATAATATGGTAAGACAGATATATTTTAAATTTTTAAGAAATTCTGGGAACTATTGGAAATATTACATAGTTGCACTTAAAGAGTTGAGCAGCTATGTTACTCATGGCTGTAATTATCATAGGCTAGATTTATCTTTGTAATGTGCCATAATGATTTATAACGCAACATACAAAACGCTAAAATGAAATTTGTTGGAAAATGTTCAATTTCTTCCTGTTCGCTCCAATGTATCAGTTTCTAACATATAGGCGGGTTTGTAACCAATAACCGAACCATCATCAGCAATTATTTTCAATGCTTCATTCTTACGAGTAGTATCACGCCCTCCAATAGATGTGTAACCTAAATCATACAAAGGACAATATGGTATGCAGATACCACGTAACGCTCGCCACACGTCATCATAGCTCCAATCCAGAATTGGACAAACTCTGCAAAAAATTTGTTTTCAAAATAATTACAGTTAAAAGTTACTATGAGTTTGAATAACTTCCGCGTCATTACAAGCCTCCCATCTAATCTTTGTTCTATTTCAAACTAGAATTACTGCCATGAATTAGCACCTAAATCACAATTGCGAACAAATATATCTCATTCCCCGAAGTATATATATTCAACAACTGCTACGACAAACCGAAAATACTAGCCTCAAGTAACGTGGCCAGTCAGCATCTGTGAATTGACATTTGGATTTCATGGATGATACACTGGGATCAGTAGCTCGGCTGCCCATAAATATACACTTTAATTTCGGTCTCGCATCTTTCAATTGTACGAGACCTTCTTTTATTGGACCTGATGTTTCCAGTACTATAATATTGTATCTGGAATTTTGCAGTTCGATATCATTTCCTTTCTAAATTACTCACATAATTGCTATTCAGCGATAATACTCAATTTACAATCTTGAAAAAATACTACGAAACAGACAACCATCATACTTCAGATCATATACATAGCTCTTTCAGAAGGTACGACTATATATTACAAATCGATAAAAATAACAAGCCGTTTAGTGGTGTCAATGATGAACTGATTCACTTCCGGAAAACTATCACCACACACTATATGAAAGCCAAGTATAGTCTGCCCAGGTCCATATTTCCTGCGATTCATGTCAGTTTCTTTATTAGTATAATAATTACAAATTTATTCAATAATTCTGCGTCATCTGACTTATAGAAATCGAACATGGCTTCAGACCAGAAATGGGGCTTAACCTGCATCTCTTCTCCTTTCCGCAAAAAACTTATGATAGCACCCTTAGAGTATTCTATATCATTCGTAGCTCAATAGAATATCTATCGATAAGCAAAATAAAAATTCTGATCTCGAATGAACTCCTATTTTTGAAAGGACTTACTTGTCAATAGAAGTACGTAGAAGATGTAGGACGAGAGTGCAATCTTTACCACCATTGAAAGATATCGCTATCTCATCTAATCTGCAAACAGTCACACTTCTACTCTTGTGATGATATATTTTAAGAGAAATTTTCGCTTCTCTCCACAAATCGCCATTGCTTAACTTCTACGTTAAACTTTCAAACCCGCCAATATAAATAAATACAAAGCAGATATGGTTATAGCTCTTCCTGCAAAAAGTTCTATACTTGAAGTCTCACCGACAGAACTTACTAACAGATTAAGAGAAATTATTTTGTTGATGCAGCTCATGGCATCATCCAGTCGATCTACAAAGCCATCGTTTAAGCCTCTGGCTAATTCCCTTTCTCGAAAGGCGTTGAATTTCTGCACCGTATCTACCCATGGCTGTTCATCAAAGTATGTCACCTGATCTAAATAGATGACAGTACGCAAAAAGAATAAACATGCTTCAAGATTCTGCAAGCACTCAGGAAATTTTTCCTTTGCATATCAACTCCTGTTGAACAATACATAACAATAATCAATCAATCAATAACCTTTCAAAGAAGCTTTCAAATCCTGTACAACTTTCTCGCCCATATCTGCCCATTCACTCTCGATCAATAATTTTGTTTTGTAATATCTGAAATTACGAAAGAAAGCAAATGTAAAGGGAAATGATATGATATAAGTTATGCAATATCAAAGCAATGCTTCGACTCCCTTGGATATCAAAGCTCTTATCTATTGCACAATTCTATGAAAGTTTTGCCGAAGGCTTCTAGTCTATTGAAGAGTATTCCTAACATCAGCCTTGAAAAATAAGTTAAATTATTAATGGAAAGACAACATATCCACTCTTTTTACAGCAATAATATCAATCACATACCGATTGTTTCTCACAGGATATGAACCAATAGAAACTTTTTTTGAACTATATTTCTTTGCCACCTCCATGATTACATCAGAAAATTGCAATTCCATAGTCTTAATATGAAGAATGGATGAGTAAAACGGCTTGGCTGCATGAGATGGAAATATCGACTTCTGCAAAGCATATATTAACCTCATCACAGGATAATCTTTCAACCGCATTCCAACTCTGTAAGCCGTAAACATCATTTTATAATACACCATCTGATTTATCATTTCGTTAATCGCAAGATATAGATTCTATATTACCCATCTTACTTATCAAAGATGGGTAATATGGAATGAATGCTGCACAGCATTGCGCCAACTTTTCCGGAAGGTACTTTAAACGGAAGAAATCTCTCGAGCTTTCGCTTCTCTTCCTTTCATATTTCTTCTGCTAAGATGAGTGCCTAACAAAGAAAAGTTGACTCTTCTAAATGATAAGAATATAGATAGGATCATTACTACAATAATTTCTATTCATGATGGCAACGATAAGAAAAACAATAGTCCTTCTATCTTTTAATCTAACCAGATAAAAGAATTACTGTTTCTCTCATCGCATCATTGTCTATTGACATTAGTAGAAACACCCACAATATTATGACCGCATGTCATATATCTGAAATGAATAAGAAATAAATTAAGCAAGAAAAAAAATCAAAACAGGAGAAGGAGAAAAATATAAGTGGCAATTTTTTGGTAAACTGGATGATATAATATCTCCTCCACGCTTTTGAATCATGTAAATAAATAAAAAAATTCAAATACATTTAAAGCAAAGATATTCAACACGGTGAATTTTTAAAAAAGTATCGGAATTTAACAAAAGAAATACGCCATTGAGAGAGCACAAAAAATCGATGTTACACAAACGAAGATTCCACATTCTTTTCATTTCTATGTGATTCACAGCAGTTGGATTCTCATTTTCTGTTTTTTTCCTTGTTCATTCCTTTATTTAATGTATTTCCCTTCTTTAATTTATTTTAGAATTTTGATCATTTAATTCTTCTAAATGATAGGAATCAATAGGATCATTACTGCAATAATTTCTATTGACGGTGGTACGATAAGAAAAACAATAGCCCTATCTTTTTAGTCATCTACAGCATAGCCGTTACTCTGATAATGATCAAAGTATAAAACTCTTTACTATTGAACTTAATTATTATTTTATGTGACATAAATTATTTAAGCTGAGTTGTTAATTTTCAAATTAAAGTTGTTTACAATACTGAATTGCAATAGAAATCTATTACGCATTCTACAAAAAACATTAGCTATACATTTTGATGTAAAGCACAAGTGTTTACACACGAAAGAAAAACATTTGAGAAATTTCGTTTTTAGCTTACTTCATATTCTTTGAATGCTTCACTACAGAATTCCGGGATACCTGGAAATGCGTAGATATTTCGCATCTGTACCAATGGAAAAACTGTTCCTTTACTCCATAACAACCGAGCACTTTTTGGTATCTGTTAAGAGTTATTGGTACCTATTTAGAGTTACATCTTAATTGAACTTAATCAGAGTTACTAGTATTTTCATCAAGAGATTGTTAATTAATAGAAGTTTAGCTCTAGTGATCGTTAAAATGATTCATTATGACGAAAATTTATCTACAGATAAATCGAAAGCAACATTTCTGACTTTAAAATATCTCAAACCTTCATTTACAAAAAGTCCTCAATAGAAGAACTTACAGTACACATCCGTTTCAAACCACCATCAGGTATGATTTTATTCATATTGCGCATAAAATGTTCAATCAATTCTCTCATATCCTCTCTTATCATCAATTCATCATTAAATGCAATTGCCAATCCTGACAATAACTTTTTTTTATTAAATACATTCACCCAAAAATTTCAGAAAAGATTTTAAATGCTGCATTTTTATTTTCAGCACCGGTATCCACTATATTCTAATAATTTCAGAGTATTGATTTCTACACGTTTCATTCTGTTGAGTATAATAACGTCGCCTGACACAAATCACGAACGTTTCAGGTTGTTGCGAATCAAAAAAATTGTTTTCAATGAGTAAATCATAACAAAGAGCCAAACTACGTAAACTGAATAACGGGATACCAGTATAAGTGCGATCATCGTGCGTAGGTCCAATACCACCACAACTGAAGACAATATCGTAACGTTCACTAAACTCTTTAACTTCACACGCAATATTATCGATATTATCAGATACTATTGATATCTGTAATAGAATATCACCTACCCTTTCTGTAATAGAACATTAGCTACACTCTCTATAGTGAACCGAATATTTTTAAATACTTAATTTGAAGATTTAAGGCAAAATCACAAATAAATCATAGTTATACAGATCCTGATTGTTTACTTTTTCCTGGAATTTTATTTTTCTGAAAAATAATTAAATCACAGAAATTTTGATTTTCTGTAACAGTAATATTTATCCTAAAAGAAATTGCTAAATATGTAACGCCAAAAAATACTGCAAAGTTCTATGCATCGAAGTCGGCTTTACATGAACCATTAGCAAACAGAACCTATTAAAAATCATCTGTTTGAAGTTAACAAATACTAATTAATATAACAGTTTTTGAAGTTCAAAAAATTTCCTTATTCACTATGACAACCAATGTGACAATGAACAAATAATATGTGAATAAAGAAATGAGTAATAAAATAAACAAAAATGTAAATGAAAAACTAAACCAAACAAAACCAGAATAAATAAACTGATGAAGAGATAGACAAACATGAATAAATAAACATTTTATAAAAACAATAATCGGTATCCTCATAAGATCACCGGAAATTCCCCCATTTATGGATTTCTATTTTAAAATTAACTCAACAGTATTGAGTTTAATTTAGACAATGAAAACTTGGTATTACATCACTATTACCGTACCTTTTTCAGCAGAATTCCTCGACCATATAACTCTTTGCAGAAGAAGTTTGAATTCACATCAGTTGTCATACCTTTCAAAATTTCATCACCAATTACTGAATTTATTATATAAGTAAATCGCGCATTATATTTCTTGGGTAAGAAAGCGAAGAGACATCATTAAATCATATAAAAAAAATATATACCGATATCTTATTTAAAGGAAAGGGTATGCAATATGTGCAAATTTCATACAGTTCATTTTCGCCAGCTAATAACAGACGGATGAATGAAGTGGAACGAGAAACTGAAGAATGATTTCTAAACCTACGATCAACAAATCCAAGGATGTAAATCTTTTTACAAAAAATTTTTCCACCATATTACTCAACTCCTAATTATAGGAATCTATTCTCTTTTTTGTTTAGAATTCTTTAATAGCAATTAAGTCTTCATTTCATTATTTTACAAACTTTTATATATCACGAAATTATAAGGCAATGTTTTTTCCTACTTATTGCGTCTTGTACACTGAAAACATTTTTCGAAACTTTTTAAATATTCCCTCTAACGGTTATGTCACATCTCATTTTATGTATAAATTTCTTTGGAAAATTATTGAAAGAAAACTGAATCATTTTAACGGTAATTTTAAAACAATAATTTTAAAAAATTTTTTTAAAACAGTAACTTTTAAATAAAGTTAATCTAAAAATGAACGTTTATTTCATTGAAGTAAATTTTGAAAATGAAAAGAGTAAAATATTCATAATAATTACTGATAATCCCAGCTGTTTTATGTTGTGCATTACTAATTGCACCAGACGAATATTCGCTATTTGCTCCTCTTTTACCACTATAACGACATCGATTATCTACTAAATATGATAATGAATCGCTCATACTAATTAGTCGTTTAAGTCGACACCACATTGCATAAAGCAACAACACTGAAATTAAACGAATTTCTAACTGTAGTTAACAGGTAATAATTCATTCCAATATGATCATATTACCATTTATGACATTGATAATTAACCCATTCCATGGGTCACTAATACTATTGCAGCTTGATTACGACTGATTTGATTTGGATAAATGATCAAAATAAAAATACAGAATCGAATTAGTCATTAGAAGACAAGCCAATACTGCGTTAGCATCCTGATTACTATTCTAGCACTGCCAATACATCGATTACAAATTTATGTTTTAAAAGTTATATCATCTCTCTCACTTTACTTATGTGTGGTGAAACAATGCAAATCAAAAGACCAAATTATCGCTTACCAAGAGTAGCCACACGTAATCTTCTTCCCAGGTAATAATCATTTGAACAAATGCATCTATCGACGTTCTAAAAGATAAATTAATTCCCACGTACAAAGTAGTTCCTATGAAACGTTCCCATCTCCATATGGCTAAACATGTATCTTGGTTTAGCCCTAATCACGATTCAGGAAAAGATAAATGCAAGTAATATTACCTCAAAATTCTACCATTACCTTCATACCAGTACATCAATTATAACTAATTCAAAATTCTTGTCTATGAACTTGTACAAAATATAATCAAACTAATGAATCAAGTAAAGAGACAACCAATTTCGAAGCAGAATTCTCGGAAAGAATTATTCTTATCCGACAACTGCTATGAAACTGAAGATAATAAGAAACTTTTCCATCTTCATATGGTTTAACAATACATTTCTCATTTGCCAAAAAATTTTATCGAAACAAATGAATGGCATAACAAAATGTACAACAGCATGTGGAAAATAAATGACATAGGTCACTGCTGTATCCGATTCTTCAAATTCTTCAAAATCTAATATTATCTCGTGAATGATCTGTAAGCACGGGAAAATGGAAATTAGAATTAATGCAAAGAATTATTGCTCTTAAGCAGTCCTCCCAACTTAGGTAGACCATTCTAAATCTGTAAAAAAAGAACAATGATTGTTTTTTTAAAGATAACTAGATTTCACTAATAATTGAAGCTTAATACTAGATACCTCGTATAAAACTGAATATATTCGAGATCTGATATTACGTTTTCTTTGTCATATTAAAATTTAACAATACTTTGAAAAACAAGATAAAAATGAAAGCAGAATCAATGAATGAAATATAAAATGTACATCTATATAACTACAAAAATGTAATCGTAAGTGATAAATTTATCATTTTATCGACTATGCGGTCGATAATCTGAATCGGATGAATCTGTATCGCCTAGATAAACAATTCGTAAACGTTTACGACGCTGAGATCCTGAAACTAATTCTCTACTTCCACTCGGTCCACTGCCATCTGCTGACAAATCATATCCTAAATGAAATTTGGATAGTGAATAAAGGAAAATAATTAGAAACATTAATTGTCGCATACATATATGCACATTTTTTCCTTTAACTAATCTAACAGTCTAAGCATCACTTATAATTGCCTATTCAAGAGATTAGATGCAATACTCAAAAAAGATGGAAGAAATTATTTTAGGATCTAATTATTGCAAAAAAAAGGTATTATCAAAGGATAATTTAATTACTTTGAAAGCGTAACATATGAGCAGCATTTGAGCCAAGTTAAAAAAAATGACTACATACAAACAAGTCCTTTTGTTTTCAATTATATATCAAGAGGAATGATCCTAAGCATTTACTTCTATCGAATGCTCGACTGCTGCTTGCAACTGTACTTGATGTTAAACTGATGTTTCCTTCCCGAGCACGAAGCCGTGTTTGCCGTCTGCTAAGCACGCTCGAATTATATTTTATTTCATACAGTTCGAGCTAGAATCAAAAAAGAATTTATAGCTCAACTCTCCACAACTGAGCTGGACATGCAGCAAGAAAGAAAAAAAAGAATTAAACGCACATCACTACGTTTCGGTTTCTCCCATTCAACAACTCCTATTTCTTGCAAACGCTGAACTTCAAGATACGATTTCCGAGGCCCTCGCTGGTTAAAGCACATCAATACACCAGACATATCAAAATGTAAGATAGTATTCTGAACAATATTGAATAATATTAGTTTCATTAGAAAATTCTGAAACTTGCAATAGTTTAGAAATAAAAAACAATTCCACCAATCAGAGCTGGTAATTTTGACTGCCACTGTATTCAATCAATTCCAGACTCGTAAAAATAAAGGAACAAGTTTCGAATAAACAAACTTAACCTCTCTTATCGGTTCACGCATCATCGCAATTTTCAAAATAATACCAGTAGCATCATCCAATAAAAAGATCACAGTGCACATATCAACTTCATCCAGGTATATATTGCGGCGAGTCATTGCATCGAACGGTCTTCAAAAAAACTTCCTGATTCTTTTCACATGATACTTTACTCAGAAACATTGTCTTAATTGACAATATTAGGATCACCGATGATTACAACCAGAAACAAGAATTAGAAACTCTTCACACTATTTCAGTACTTTCAGTATTCCGATTTATCCCCTATGTTAAGAACAACCTAGTAAGGACAAAGAGATATAAGATGGGATCTGAAGAAATTACTAACTGTATTTCTGGTGAAAAACAAAAATCAAGAAACTAACCGGCTTGGATCATCAAAAACTGGCGAATGAAGGTCGCATTCCGCAATAATAGCAATAATCTGGCTTTCAATATCGACATCCACTCCTTTGATGACCTCAACCACACTAATGGGATATGTTGTAAGATGGGCAAAGGATACAAACCTTCATAGCTAATAATGCTTAGTGATCTTGATGAAACAAGCGGAAAGACTATTAACGATTGATTACACAACTCTCTGAGTGGAAAAAATATTGACGAATACATTCTAAGCTTTCATTTGACAATAGTGAAGCCATGAATTCATTACTTAAAATCCGGTTAGAATCTAAAATCCGTCTAACAATGCAAGTATGTGTTTTTAACGAAAAGGTCAAAGTGACGGCATACAAAACAAGCGAAAAGGATAATATAGTATCATCATTTATCATCATTTCTAAGATGTTGATTGCGAGGAACAAACATACCAGCCGAAAGTCTTGCTCGAAATCTGATGTTGGCTTAATATGGCGTCCAAAGCTTGATTTAATTTTTACGTTGCTGAAAATGGGCAATTTCATAAAAACAGCACTTCATCGACATGAGCATTTGGACAGAATTTCGATCATAGATATTCATGTTCATATAATTTTAAATTATAAAAGTGGGAAGACTGGCGCATGACTAGTTGAAATGATGCAATATTAGTTCTAATGAAGATTTATTAACCGAACTTTCGCTACATATTTTTCCTCACTACTATTCATCGCACGATACAATTCTATTATCTGCTATAAAGAATAAACTGTAACCTTTCAAGCTTCTCATGAAAAAAGCTATCCTTCACCCATAAATTGGTTCGCCAGACTTCTTGAAATGACATTTTATCATCAAAAGATCTGCAAAGAAAAAAGGATAGATAGAACAAATGATAATATGTGATTTATTAGTTCTTAAAAAGTCAAAGGATGGCGGCAGCATGTGCCTTCTGCGCATATAATCACATCCTGAGCTGAAACAGCGAGAATATTTAGTTTTAAGAATTTGAAAAATTTTTTGATAGTTTTTGGGGGACAATAATTACCGTTGCATCTTATACGATACAATTGTTGGCCCATCAAAACGAAGCAGTCGTCCCGACTCATCTGAATGGAACATCAAACTAGCCCCTTCTACTTGCAGTGATGTATTCTTTGGTGGCTGAAGCGGAAATGGTAGTGAGGCCTATAATTATGCTTATTTAATATACAAAAAAAGAATTAAAATCACACAATATTAAAAACCTGAAAAAAATTTCTTAAACGATATACCTTTTCAAAATCAAGATGAATCTGCATTCTTTTTCCTCACTTCAGTCTCTTTTATGAAGAAAAATTTTCTATTTTATATATTCTATGTTGCATCACGTTCCTCAAAACTGCTGATAATCAAGAAATTAATTTAATGATAAACTGACCGGTTCTGTCATTTTCGCAGCATCAACCAACATGTACGATTTTTTAGAAGAATATGATATACCCAACAAATGATATGGTACACCGCTATATTCTAGCGTTGACCAGTTACCTTTAATGTTCATACAAGGAGGATGGTCTAATGGCAAAAAAGAAAACTATTCATTTGTTTACACAGTTGACTGGAGTCAACGATATTTTGTTAAAAATCTTCTAAAATTCAACGACGATTACCTGCAACTCTTGCACATTTGACCGGTTCTGATATAATTAAATTAGGAATAGGCAAAACTATTTTCCCATCAAACCGTAATTCAGGATCATACAATCCTTCTTCAGTCTAAAAATAATTTTTCTCACTATAACAAATCTCCGTTCTCAACCTTTCAGTTTCTAAAAATAAATTAAAATAAAAATTTCATGCAGCATTATAATCTTTATAATGAGTAATAAAACAGTGTAAAATTTCATTCATAAAAATACCTACCTGATTTTGAAAATCGACCAAATTATACAGCACCGTTTCATATGGCTTTTTTTTGAAAACAATTACCATATCAGATATTACGCTTACATTTGTAACATTTCCAAAAACCTTAAAGAATAAAAGCATATCAATTATGTGATCCTTGGCTAAGCAAAAAAAAAAAACGCCCTTACCTCCTTAGTAATGCGGAAGATGCCTTTAAATTTAAGTGGATAAACATCAAAGACGCCGATAACACAATCTGTTCCACTGGTATTGCTGCTTCTTACACCGCTCTGAATCAACAAGCTATATCAAATAGTTTGTTTTATCGTGTAAATCTCAAACTTTCATAATGGCTAATGAATCTGATACCTGTGACAACATATGTCCAAATAAGCAAAACGTTCGACCAAGTTCATTGGGTGCTAGGCAGCTATAAAATTTACATTTTTAGGATAAAGTCAATAATGGTCTTAAATTCTTTCTTACTTACATCACTTGAACGATGCTTAACATTGTCTGATATTCATCTTCATAATTTAAAGCAACTGCTGGATCTAAATGAAAATTTCCAATGAACATCTGAATGCATGTGGTATGAATTTAAATCATATAAATAAAACATATGCTTGCATACATACATATATGAGCAGAGATATGCTGTTCATACAAGCGCTTGATCAATGAATACAAAAAGTAATTTCTCTGGAAGAAAGCAGAAAAGGAGCAAACCTGAATTTACAGAAGTCTGACGGTAGTATAAATTCAGCCTCCACTGACTGACGTAGAGGATCAATGCATAGCAAACGATTCTGTGTTAAAATTAATACCCAAAACGGTGAAGAGTTTGATGTTCCCTCCTGCAATTTGTATCTATATTAATGATTGCGGCACATACAACAATCTAAATTGTTACAATATTCGGTTTCCTTACTTTTCATCTAAATGTTGCCAGATATGCTATACTCATAAAACATGCTACAAATAATAGGGAAAAATTAATAACTGTAATGTCATAAAAAATTACTTGTATGGAGAGCAATTTCTCGCTGAATGAATGAACACATACTCACTATAGTTCAAACTAACTAAGGTTCAAAATACTTTTAGATTTTGACTTTGCAAACAGAGTAATAAAGAAGTTCGCAATTGCGAACTTAAAGAAATATCCAAAAATCTCCAGAACTACTTATCATACTTTGGAAATATATGTAAACATAAATAAGTCTTTGGAACTACTGGTGAACGTGATATAAATGTAAACCTGTAAGTCAACGACGAGTTCAACCCAAAGTGTAGACAGAATCTTCTCCGTTTCGTCTAGCATATCCAACCGGCATAATGGCTCCAAAATATCAATGTTGTAGATTTTGCGTGCTTTGTGTGCAACCATTAAACCCCTGAATTTGATGAAGATATGAACTAAAAGATCTTATTATATTAATAAGCCATTCAAAAAGCAGAAAGGCTTTCATTTTTTAACTCCTCTTCCTATTTATTAGTAATACTGAAAACCTTTTTATAACTGGTCACGTAATTCTCCACTGATGATTTCCTCTAAACTTCTTTTTCTTGCTAACATACTGCTTAAGAATCAAAATATGAAGCTCACCCGTCGACGTTAAGAAAACCTTTTGCATCGTGCTTTTCACATAAGACATATCTCCGATTATTCTGCAAAATAAAATCAAAATAAATATCAGGCCAGCTATGAATCAATTAAACAGATTAAAAGCAGACAGCTTAGAAGAATTTAACGCCATTGAATTCCAGCAAAAGCAACAAAGTTGTTTATCGATTAACAGAATTGTTTATAGCTTCTTTCGAAGTTGAATGCCATGAACAGCAAGTTCCTTTACGATCACATAAAACTACTATATCAGTGCAAAATAATGTGGTCTATAGTTAAGCATGTTAGACTAAAGATAATCTTATCAATTCTACAAATATCAAATCCTATGCTGCCAATAATTCGAAAAAAAAACCAAATAAAACATACCGATATAATAAGTGATCGTAAAGCATTTCTACCGAAACTGCACTGAGTTCGTTGAAGTCCTAATTCACGTCGAACGATTAACCGCGCTACCGAGGGATGTTTCAGTACTTTTGCAGCATTCCTTTCACTTTCGATATCCAAACATGATAATAATCGACGGGAGAGCTTCAATATTACCATCGTTCAGCGTTTATAATATTACCCAAATGTGAGAAACAAAATTTTTCGCTTAAAAATAAATCATCGACATGAGGAAAAAAGGAAAAAAAAAATTCGAGAAGTTTAGATCATCCCACCCGAGTTGTCAATGCAAAAATTAAGTTCAAACCTGATATTTCAGAATTTTCGATTCATAATTCTTCCACTTATAACCGCAGAAATTGTATTTCAATGAATCACAGAAATGAAATCTACCTCGTTGTAACCATCATCATCATTTGGTCGATGCGTGTTCCTAGATTCCGCATTCATTAAACGATTTAGCAACCGGCTTCCAAGCGATGATGTCCCCATAACTTCAAGTAACTTCCCCACTCCGTCGTTATTCCTTCAAATGAAAATTAGTGTTTAATGTCCGAATTTCAAGTTTCATTTAAAGTGCAAATGTATTAAATTTCTAAATTATCGATTTACCTCAACGAATTATCTTCTTCCACCTTTCCCTCACTCGCATACCCTATGCAAAACCTGGGTAACCCCGACCTCGCCGCCCACGCACTCGCACTTCTCCCTCCGCCTTTCTATGTCCGTGTGAGGAGGACGCGGTCCGCGGCACGTAGAATGAAATAAAAGGATCTCAAGTGTACACCGTGTCTTTCTGGTGGATGAGAAGAGATATTTCCGTTTTGATAAAGGATGATTCCGGTTAAACAAGCGAGACATTTACTGCATCATGACAACTTGAAACCAATGTCTTGTCATTTTTTCATCACTAATAAATTGTGAGTTTAAATTTTGAAAAATTACTTTCTTTAAAAAAAATTCACTTATCTTCCAGGAAGAAGAATGTAATTAAATTGTAATTTGAAGTTACTCAAGTTTAAAATTCATTTTTGAATTGCTTTATCCATTGAAGATTGCTACAAATGAAACCAATAAAGTGTTTATTAGCAATATCTTTCCATGATTTTTATGCTATCAAAATGTGATTGGTGGCTAAACAAAGTCAATAGAAAGAGACTGATAATTTATTATATCATTTAAAATTTTATGAATATAAAAAGGAAGCTTAAATTGAATAATAAATAATAAACAAAAGAAAATACTTTACTATATCATCCGATTACTTTTTATCTGATATCTGATGATATAGTATTGTAAACCATTGCTGAGAAAATCACTTGAAATTGTAATGCTTTCTCGAAAATATCAAAATTAAATAATTAATTATACATTTGTATATGTTTTATAATAATGGCAAAGTTCTCAAGCAATTTTGTTTTTGTTCATCAAATTTCTTTTCAAAGATTAATAAAGATTTGAGTAGAAGAGAAAACAAATCGTTAGAATAACTGAAATAATTAAAAAATCAATTAAGCATGCCATTTAATTGCAACTGTGAATTTCTAGAAAAGGTTAAACTTACATGAATTGTTAAAGCTTCAACTCCTAATTATAAAATTGATACAAACAATGGGCAAATAACTAAACATATATTTTATATTTATTTTTATTTATATTCATTTTTATTTATTTTATTATGTATAAATATATATATCATATTATATAGCTATTTATTATATAGATATACATCATATAGATATAGATATTTAAAAAAAATTAAAAATATATAAATATAAATAAAAATATGTATATTATATAAAAATACGTATAAATATGTATATCTAAATAATATCCATATCTAAAATATAAAAATATAAAATATAAAATAAAATATATAAATAAAAATTATATTTAGTAAAAATAAATGAAAATAAATGTAAATAAAAAACATAAATAAAAATATGTATACCTATATAATATGATATATATGTATATAATAAATGTAAATATCATATAGATATTTATTATTGTATTTATATATGATATTTTTTATATTTATATAATATCTATATGATATATGATATAGATATTATTTAGATATACATATTTTAGGTATAGAGAGTATTTAGATATACATATTTTAGATATATTATATTTTAAAATATATGAAATATATATATATATATTGGATATATTTCAGATATATCTAAAATATGTCTAAATAAGGTTAGAAATTATATCATATTAAGTAATGATATTTGAATATGATAATATCTGTTTTTTATCAATATTTTTATCATATTGTTAATTGAGTTAATTAGTTTTTTTTCGCTTTTTTCAAAGAGGACGAATATTTTTTGCAAATTTATTAGATTAAAAAATTATAAGTTTTGGTAAAAGAAGTAGAAAAGAAAGAAAGGAAAAGATTATTAAATCAATGATTAATTCTTTAGTATCTTTATAATTAAAGATTACGGAAATATTAAAGGTATAGTTTACTACATGGAACGAATTTGAATATTAAAAACAAAATTTGAACAAATAAATAATCTAAATTGTATTTTTTGGCTAATAATTCCAATAGCTGTTGTTTATTTTTATCATTCACTGATTTCAGTCATTGTTGCCAGTTGCAATCAATCATTTCCACGGCTACTTTTTGTTGCTGCAAATATTAAATTTTAAAGTTTTATTGGCAGTTCAATTATTTTTGATTGTATTAGAAATGAAATGGAAGCATTAAATGCTACTTTTAACTTAGCAATACATATTACTGTAAAATTTTAGGATAATAATGAAAGAGATACTAAGAGATTGCTTTCGTTTTAATTCATTCTCTTGACTATGTAATGTAATTGAACTGGAAGATGTATTAGTGATATTACGCATATTTATCTCATCCAATCTTTTCGATATTGCTAATATATGTGTTTGCATTTGGCTGCATTCTTCCTGTAAATTTCATTCATTTATTTATTTTTTTCGTTGAGAATTCAACAAGATATATTGCAACCATTTCGCTAATATTTCCTATCATTCAATTTCACAGTTTCTTTCTTACCTGAATAAAATCAAACTTATATTAATAATAATGATATAAGCTGTCACATAATATAACATAACATAATGAATAAGTAAGCAAATGAATAAGTTAATGAGTAAATAAATATATTGCTAAATAATAAGCAAATAATTAGAAGGTATATATTTGAACAAAAAAGTAAATAAATCAATGAATAAAATATATTTGCATCTTCAATAAGCTTAATCGATAAGTCAGCTATCAAATAATGGATTCTTCGATCAACAGAGTAACTGCTATTTTACTTAAGATGATTAATTGATTAATTGATCATATCGGGACAGATACCCGAACTTGCATATTTCGTTGCTTGCAACGCTCCGTAGCAAAGATCATCTCTACTTCACGATCTTTTATCGCATCAAATATGTTCAACAATCGTTGATTTACTTTTAACCATTCAGTCATCTTTTTTTCCATATCCAAATTTTCTTCTTCAAGCAATTTTAGTTGACCTTCCTGAAATAATTACAAATTTACGGCAACATTTTAATTAGTTGTATATTATTATTTTACAAAAACAAATATATTTATTGCAGACAAAAGCATGAACCTTTTATGTTCCATACATTTTAAATATTAGCCAACAATTGGATAGGTGAAAAAGGTAGTAAAATAAGCCAAGTGAATAAATTACTTTGTGAACTTTTTGAATGGTACCATTTTGCCATGTATCAATTATTTTTCGCTTATGCGTAATAAGACGATGTGTGTATTCAATTTGTTTCTCAATTACCTTCACTTGTTGAGCATTTTCTAACAATCGTTTATCAGCGAGAATTTTCTACAATCTTAGAAAATGTGTTCACTAAACATAGTAACTGCTTATGCCAATGGTTTGAATGAATCTAAACAATGAATCGAATAATGAATCTTAAGATTTGAATGAATCTGAAAGTTTGAATGAATCTAAAGAATAAGCCGAAACTTTTATTTTGAATTTATGTAGAAATTCAATAATAGATATCATTGAAATCTTTAAAAATTATCTTTAAAAATTTTGCTAACAATATAAGTAAGGTAAATTATAAAAATATAAGTAAGATTATACAGCTGAGAACTAAAACGATCAGGAAGTGAGTGATCAATTAAAAGTATAGTCTTGAATCTTGCCTAAACTATTCTTCTAACAAAACCAATACGTAAGCTCGAAAAAGTACCAATTTGTTAATTTTTAAAAAGTATCGATTTGTCTAGTGGTTTAAAGAATATTGCTGTGTTATTTTATTTTTCTAAAACAAAAAATCTTCCCTCTTGTTGTCAACTTTTTTCAGTGGAATTTTAACATTCCGAAATATTTTCAGAAAATAAAATTTCAATTATTTCTAGGAAAAAAAATCCTAGCAGTTTCTACCTGTCCATTTTCACTTAGCCATAATTGTGACCAATTTTCCGCTTCAAATGCTATTTCATCATCAGATCGGATCGAATTTTTCGCGAAGATCGTTTTCTGTCGAATTTCTTCCATTAACTGAATTAATTGAAATTCGTTGCAACTCGAATAAAATGCATATAATTAAAATCATTTTCGTATATTTTTGAATAATAAAAGATTGGAAAGAAATAGTGACCTTATTCGATTGCCGAATCAAACTTTTGTTCTCTTTTTGAGCGATATAACGCGAATTCTTCAAATTTGTTAATTTTCCCTTCAACAGTGTTGCTACTTTTTCCAGTTCGCATACTTAAGCATGCAAATTTTGAAATTTGAAATTATCAAAAAACGGAAAATCATAATTTAATAGTATTATACATCGAAAATATTCTATTTCATCGGTAAAATGTAGCAAAATACCAAAGAATTTAAAACAAATACTTCTAGTATTTTTGTAGAATTCGATGATTTGAGATTTTCAGAAGGATTGTAACGATAACGTTGATAAGTATACCTTGATGTATAAAGACATAAATGTTTTCCATTTTTAAAATGACAACTACAAGCGAATTTTTACCATAATGCTTTGAATCAATGCAACATGTTGAACATGAACAATGTCCTGATTCACCAAACATTCGATTGAAAAATGAATTCCTTAAGCACGGAACGACCTGACTGAAGTATTATAAATTCATTATGTTTAAAAAGAGTTTAATTTTATCATTATAATTACAATGAGTTTGAAAGATTTTTATGTTATACTTTTGATTTCAAATAAAAGCTGAATAATTTATGAAAATTCAACAAACATTTTATTATCATCTTTCAGTTTAATGAAAAAAATTTACTTCACGAAATATCAAATAAAAGCGACCGCTCTAAGACGTCCAACAGTGTAATATTGAACATCTGCAATATAAATTAATCCTAGTAGAATCTCCTTGTAACTTCGATTTCGATGACAGTTCATATTACGCGTACCAATTAGAATTAACTTTCACTGCAGAACCATTTATGAGTGATAATACATTTGATGTGCTATATTGCTTTTTAGGAGCATAAGAAATATAATTGTGCCGTAGGAAACAAAGTAAATCGGTTAAGTGATTTATGATAAATATTGGATCACATATATGGGAGGGAAATACAAAATTTCCACATATTACCACAATTGGTTTTGGGAATCATTTTTAGTCTATTTTATGTGCTTTTGTGAATTCATGTTATTTAACCACAAAAGGATACTTTTCAAAATATATGGTGCAAACAAGACGTACAGATTATTCGTTTATAAATATTTGCAAACATATTTATAAAGAAGCCATTCACAAAGAAGCTGAGATGAGTAATGATGGAATACACGACAGTAAATGCAGGAAAGATATGTAGAACGGGTATGTCAAATCACATTAAATTTAAACAGAAAAGTTATGTGACAATATTAATGTCTCACAATATAGAAATGCGTGAATCTGTCTTCAGTATATTAAATAAACTTTTATCTTCATTTTTTAATTCATCCTTTTTTATCTACGACTACACTTGTAAGACAAATTGGCTGCACAATTTCAATATATAACGAATATGTTTAACTGGAAACACTTTCGGGAGTTTTACCAATCATGCTAACATGTTTGTGTTCTTGATTATATGCTTCGATGAATTTCTGTGAACTACCTGCTGCTATCTCATCTCCACTCATCAGTTTTGCTGGTACGGAAACCGATAAAATTTCCGGCATCATCCACGGCTTCAACCATCCTACTGAAATTCAAATCAGTGAGATTTTTTTATCATTTTTTTACTTCTAAGATATGATCAATTATGAGACAAAAAATAAATAGTATTGAATCATAGCAAAACAAATATTTCTCTCAGATATTTCAGTCAGCTGCCTACAACTAAACTATCAAAACGATCTTAAGCTTAAAAAAACTGGGTGAAACCGAACGGTTTTATTATGAACTCTACAGACAGCGATATTTTTTGCAATTATAAAAGATGAAATATTGAGTGAAGGGCCAGTTTTAACAATATGATTATATATAATAATTGAATAGATTAACAACAAACCAAGTGGACTCTGGCCTTTAAGGTAGTGAACGCTTGCATGATAAAAAAGAACACCGTCAATTTCGAAATCAAAATCTCGATGCATCATTTCCTCCATGGAATTATGCTCACAACGGCAATGTGGAAGACATATAAAACGGTACTGAAATATATTTGAAGTCAAATTATCGACAACTAGAATACAATACCTTTCATACATGAAGCTACAAAGCTTCATGTATGATAAAAAATCAATTCCAAATGTAAAAAAAAATCAATTCCAAATAACTACAAAAGAAGGTCTAGAACCAAAAATAAGTTCAGAAACTGAGAACTAACAGGTATTTGCTTTGAAACTTCTCTAAAATTTTCATTCTCAGTGATATGCGAATTCATCATAAACAGTCGGCAATCAAAATCCGAATCAGCAACCGCAAGACTATTCCAAGCAATCATATCCAGACAATAGAATGTTGGCGATTTAGCATCAAAAACACAATCCAGAAGAGTGTATTTACCTAAGCGAAATTATATGACGATAGAATTATTTGATAAAATCTAATCTACTTCCTTCATATTTATCAACTCACCACGACAAGGATGATTTCCGCCAGGAAGATAGGAATGAAACTGAGTTATGAGAAATCCAGATTTCGAATAAGCACTTGTTACTCCCTGCAACAATTCACTAAATATAATACATAGAACTTTGCACGGTAGAATTTTAATTGGCAAGTTGTGTGAAAAAAATAACTCTGAAAAGACTGACTTTAAAAAATTATAAAGTAACTCAAGCCATTTAAGATTTATTAAACAAGTCATATATCATATCAGATCAGTTACAAAAAAGTAACACTGATTGTCTTCAGATACCCGAAAATCGTTCTTTAGTACAATAATCAAAATAATAACGTAGATAAGGAATGCAATTAGCGTACTCGAAAATTCACTTTCGATACGAAAAATACCGTGTAAATAACAAGATAATCATACTGTACGTGAAGAAACTAAAATATGATAAGAAGATTTTTAACCATATTCGGTGTGAACTATCACTTCATAATGAATAATTCTGATACTATCGCATCGAATTTTCAACTACTCTTCACAAAATTCACAAAATTCAAATTCACGATGCTTCTGCTTTTATAATAAATAATATAATTACATACATTAGAAGCGACCACGAGACATCGTCTACCAACCGGACACGGTATACAAATCCATTCCTTGGATAAGCTCTCCGGGATATCGACTAACCATTCACTAAGCATCAGTTCATCGGCATAATGATTGCAATTCCTTTTTCGATTTATCTTCTTACTGTTTTTACTAAACACTGCTGTATCCATTTCTTCTTTCTCTTTGTCATTCCCATTTTCATCAAATTCATTCATTGCCAATTTTCGCGCATGATTCGCATAATCAAAACGTGCTCTGTAAACGTTATATCACTATTTCCAGGAAGTCAAAAATTTAATAATCATATAAGTCCCAAATTTTTACGACACCCCAAATTATTTCGGTAAAAGTGATATACTCTTTTCTAAATATGAAGAATGGTGCCTTAGTCCGAAGCGCAACCTTTATTCCCACCTCGAATTCAGGACCCATTTTCTACATTCAGAGATATAAAAGGTATACTCTTTCTGGCGTCGAAGGAATTCTTGTCGTCGTCTCTCTTGGCTTACTTCCGCCCGTCCAACGTATTTGTACTGAGAAAATCGAGGATGCTCTCGCACCGTACTGTTTGGTGCAACAGTTACTGAACTACCTGCCAATAAATGTACCAAATCGTCTAAATTGTCCATTTTCCTGGAAAAGGAAATCTCTAACTTCGTCACAACAGGTATTCCTTTGGTCGTAGCGTATATTTTATTTAAGTTGGGTTGAAGACATTGAGACACATATATTGCGCATATTTGATCTTTGTCCAAGCAATCAATAATACGTAATTATCAATTGATTGTGTTAAGCGATCGTTCATATGCTTTTTACTCCAGATATTCCATCAATATTCATAATACAACTTAACAAACGACAAAAATTGATAAAATCATTTATTGAAAACTTATTATATACAATTTAACGGTTCAACAACAATAACAACTAAAGGAAGGAATCAATAAAACTTTAGACGTAATACAGATTGAGCGAATGAGTAGATGTGAGTTCGAAAATAATGCAATCTAATTGTTTACACCTTTATATTTTATCAGTTTTCTCCCATTAAATAGTACAAGAAAATTTACAAACTATTTGCTTACAAAAAAGCAGAATGCATGCCACAATCAACCAGAGCTAAAATCTAATTCGCGGTATTCTCCTCGTCCTCAGTGACGCAATGTTGGCGCACGTCTCGAACAATACCATGACCAAGCATCTTGAAATCATCCATTATGGCTCTTGTATTAACGAGCAACTTATTATCCGGTCCTTCCAAGCGATGTAAACAGCTAGATATCTGTAAAGAGATTATATTATGGCAATCAGCTGTAAAAACTTCATGAAAGAAAGTGTTATGCAACCAAGAACAACCTAAAAAATTTTCATGTTTAACATATTTCAACATCTTAATAATATTATGATAAGCAAAAACAATACAGAGCAAATGATCTTGGCAATCCCTCATAAAAAACATAAGTAACATACACTTGCATCCCGTGGTACTAATGCAGCTGGTTTCCACACCACGCCGATAATATCACCTACGTATTTGTTGTAGAAAAAGAGAGCAACTGAAGAGAAACACTGTCGTAGTCGTTTAACATATTTCCTAACTGAATCATAGTCAACTACTGGTAATGGTCCGTTTATTAATTTGCTACGAACTACTTTTCTCCTGGCCATATGTCGTCCTTTGATATGTATGTCAACATTGGAGAAAGTGGAAACGTTGGTTGTGAACATTCCCTGCAACCAATCAATAAGATCAATCAGTCACTTCAAAAAGAAGACGTAATATTTACATAATTTATGATGACGGCAGTTATCATTATAGGGAGCAGGAAGTCCAAAAATAATGATGAGTAAAATTATTCATTATAACAATAATGACATTGAGAATATAAAGAATAAATAGAAACCTTTAAATTCAACGGTACTAAATTACTGATATGTTGCTCAATTAGTGCTGCTGATGCTTTAGCAAGAGCAATCATCCGTTTCAAGATCAACGGTTGTGGTTCCTCTCTTGTCCATCTGGAAAGAAAATCATGAACAAATAAATCATAGAGTGTGATCAACTTATACTGATAGAAATTGATAGTACAAAGCATGCAACAAGAGAGGTATTTAACAGGTAACGACTTACCGACAACCACTCCTATCAACCGCTGTACATATTACCATTACTGGTAACACCGGTCTCATTTTGATGAATTCTTTTTCCATTTCATCAATATCCTCCTCTGAAAAAAGTTAAAAAATTTCGCATTTTTTCAAGAGATTTCTGAAAACACTTCATAAATATATTTGCGGTGAAAGTCCCTAAAATGAATAAAAATGCAATAAACCTGTCCATTCGTTATTAAAATCAACAAGTAACGGTTTCATAAGCCAATTATGCGTAGAAAGCAATATTAGGAAATGAAAGAAACCAACGAACGCCATTCTGAAAAGGCAAACTCAACATGAAGTCTTAAAAATTGGAACCTAATTATACTAACTTTTTTAGAAGGTCTCCAGTTATTTCAGTCAACAATACTAGCACTTCGCTAATAACTATAAAGCAAAAAAAAGGATGAAATGTAAAGCAAATGAATAGAACCTTGGTGGTTGAAGTGAGAATGGTTTAAGAAATACAGAAGCAACGATAGTTTCCAAAATCACTTCATTTAAATAGTCAGACAACGCATGGGATGACAACCAATACATTGCCAAACGACATGCATCTGGGAACGCTTCGAACTGCTGACTTGCACTGGAAAAACATTTGTCAAATTAAACATGCAACAGTATCATCCGCAAAATTCAAAATATTCTACTTTCAAAAAAAAAATCACCGAAAGGAATTTAATTGAGAAGCGAATTACTTATGAAAAACAATGTTCTAAATTTTCTCCATCCTGAACATCCAAAGTTATTCAAAGTAAAATCGCTTAAATCTGAAATTACCAGACTTACCTGTGCAACAGTGCAGTGAGTTGAGGCTTCAGCACTACCTCGAGCTCCTTCGACTTTGATGCTGCACTGTCCTTTAGAATGCCCGTTTTGCCACCGTTTAATTTTCTGATTATATGCACTTCCTTCGGACAGGCTATTACCAGACGAAATACCACAGTGTCCTGCAAATATAGAAGCAATCAACAGTTAAGAGAAGTTGGAGATTGCGAAGCCTCTTTCTCGTTTTAATTATATTAATGATGAAATTAACTTACAAAATGAACAATTAAATAATCATCGAAGGGAATAGCTTGCATTGAATGTTTCGTCTTCAATATTTTTGACAGTTCGATGTAAAAGGCAGTTTTCAGCCGAGCAATAGCTCCAAGTTCATCACCCCATTTTCCACTTTGCTCCATTGTTATTTGCACTATATAGAGAATTAATTTAAAAAACGATAAAAAATTGAACTAATATGCCAATTTCTGTCCTTTCGGAGAAGTAATGCGTTAAAAAGAATTAATGTCCCGAAATTAAATGAAAATACTATTTACTGATAGAAAATACAGACCTTCTATGGTGGGCAAATAAGGAGGTGAGATATGTGATAACGGAAATGCTATAGAATCTTTCACGACGGAACTGTATCTTTCGACTACTGCATTAGTAGAAAGAGGCGGGTAAGGCTGCAAAGCGTTTTTGCAAAAAACATAACACAAAATTACTTATACTCAGCTAGAGTGAAATGGGCGATAAGTGTGAACACAACACAATGTGAAATTATTCGAGCCATAACATGTTAAAAATAGAGTACGTAAAAAATAAATAAACTGCAGGCTTAAATTTAAAATTCAATGCACAGGATATCTTGTCGATAAGTTAATTAAAAATGATTGAAATTTCAAGCAAATGAAAAGTGATTGAAATTTATCTCAAACTTTTAAGGAATATCGATATAAAACTACTTCAGGCCAGAAAAACACTGAAATTTCGGTAGAGTAAAGTCGGTATACATACCAACTCCAACACGAGTTGTAAATAAATTCTAATGAAATGAAAAAAAAGGATTTTACCAGTAGTAAAAAAATAAATGAATAATACCGCAGTTCGTCTTAGATAAGCGGATACAGGATGGATATTTGTGATAAGAAGGGGCAAATCTTGCAACATTCGAAGTGTTTTGGATAATTTATCGTAAGCTCGTCCGATTGTACTGTATCTGTCTACCGCATTGGGCAAGATCTCTTCCATCTTTAATGTTCGCTCTTCCACATGACATGCGTCTAATTTCAAGTGCCTAAAGTGATGTACAATATATTTCATCATTATCAGAAAAAATAAAAGATTTTTTTTCCATAACGACAACTTCAAGAAGTATCCCTCCAAGAAGGGTATACACTATTGGCAGAAATTATAACATGACCAAAAAGCATATGAAAATTTTGCCTCTGCAGAATATGCTGACAAAGGAGCACAGTGACATTACTGGAACCCCAGACAACTGCTTCACAGATCGCATTATCCGGAAATTTGCGTAATTCACAGATATCACCCCAGAATTGACGGAAATGCACCGCATCTGATGATTTAGCTGGTGGACCACGTGTCAATAAATTATTCCATTTCGTCGAAAGTCGAAATCCAATTAGCAGCCCTATCTCCTCGTCCATAGTACATTTCTCTCTTTCCATATATACGTCCCACTGCAATTAAGGAATATGCTATAATTCAAAAATGATTTTTAATATTTTATTCGACAACCATTAAAACTGATGAACCCACCAGTCTCACTTGTTGATTTGGTGTAAATACATCGAAATTTACAATTCTATCCGATAAAGCTTCTTTCAGCAGTGGAATTAGCTTGCGTTTGAACATACGCAATAAGTCGTTACAAGCACTTAAGCACTCTGCACTGCACATTTTTTGAAAAGTATTTTGCAAATAATGCTGCGGTAATTGTATCCTTAAAAAAAAAATTCTTTAAATGTCCTTATAAAATGTTAAGCTCGAAAGCAGTGAATATAAAAACAGATTTTCTCGAATACCTGATATATTGGTCGAAAGCTGTAATAAAAGGATGTCTTTTCACAAAAAGATGATGAAATTCACTGAAGGTATTAATCTTGGTTATGGCATCAGTCGCAGCAGCACGAATCTGCTCCATAGCCGTAACACTCAAAGATGCAGCCAAATTTAGATATCCTGTATGATCGAGAAATACAAAGTCGAAATATGACAAGAACTGTGAATATAACGCATCATTATTACATAAGCCCAAACGAGACTCTTTCCAATTTGTTGATACTGAAATTTATCATTTTATAAACTCAAGTTAATCTGTTCAAAATTAATTCATATAGATGATCCTTACTTATTTCAAGAGACGATCAAACAGTAAACTCACTTATGGAGGAGAAAAATCCTACGATAATGTTGAAAACAGACGCCTGAGCAAAAGAAGCTTCTTGAATGTTAATATATATAAGCCAAGCTGCCAATAGCAAATCCGAAAAGCCATCAACTCTCTAGAATTTTAAAGATGAGATTTTGAGAAGGAAAACAAATTCATTTTCTGTCAGGAATAATTTAACACATTCGCTTGATATCGAATATAAATGATTTTGGAATTACAGCTAATTTCATAGTTCAAAAAAGGTAAAAAATGAAAAAAAGTCAACTCTGTTATGGAACACAGATGCCCTTAAATTATAGCAGATAAAATAATAGCCTTTAAAACAAATATTGCTTCTTTATGGTATGAAGCGAAAGTGAAGTAGCAAAGGTAGAAAAGTAAAAGAATACCTGGATGAAATCCCTTTGAAGCATCCATGAACGTATCATAACAAAAGCTTTTAAAAAATTCGGTTTTTGACAGAAAAATGCTTCGTACCTAGATTCAATTTCTTCGCGTAACATATCAATTAATATTTTTGAGTTATAGACCGGTGTAGGTGTGTCGATACCTGCAGTAGTTCCCATTTATTTTTTTGGGGAGATCAAATGAAAGCAACTAAATCAATGACTGGACACCTTGCGTCTCAAACAATGGGTTTTACATCCCAACTAAACACATCTCTTATTTTACTTTATTGTCTATTCGTTTCACTTTTGCTCTCCCTTCTAAGTCTGATCAAAAATGAATTTCAAAAGCAAACTGCACTTACTGACCGAGAGATCCAAAATGAGCAGAACAGAAAGAGGGTCTCAAGTTATTATTTTCTGGACGAAATCGAGAAATTTTTGTGAATTCTCGCGGTGGTGCAAAGTGAATTCGCAAGAATCCATTACTTTCAAGTCCTGGAATGAAATGCCTCACAACTAGTGACGATGAAAAGAAGTTACATGGGAATTATCTTCCAAAAAAAAGAAAAGTTCCTTTTCTTTTCTTGGCATAAAAGTACTAATCAGAGTTAATAATAGGAAAAAGATACCGTCTTCGTTCAAGACAAACAATAATGGTTTCAATGTATCGAAGTGATCCAATCCAAATTTTACCGACATCCCTGTTTTCATCAAAATCCGTGCTACTTGGCAAATATAGTGAGCACGTTTAACAAAATATGTAAAATTGAGGTAATCGCGCGATCCAAAATAATTCTGAAATATACAAAAACATAAAAGCAATTTTTTAAATTACTGGAAAAAACATTGAAATAAAAGTCATGAAAAAACACACAGCAAAAAGAAATATGAACCTGCGGTATAATAACGATAAGATCCAAAACGGGCTCCATTTTTGTCTGATAGCCGGCGTGCCAACTGCCCAAAGTGTTAATTCTAACTGGATGGATCCAACGACAGTCACATGACGATTTGATATTACTTAATTGCACATCAAACGGTAAGAATAGCGGAAAACGGATTTTGTCTAAATGCAATTTCTGCAAATCGTTTACCTGAAATGTTCAAAAATGAGACACATGCAAATAATGCAACAGATTACTCTTACTCTTGTAAGATTGAATTTAAATTCAGTATTATCCAATAAAAAAAATTTACCACGAATAACAAAGCTTTGTAATGCTTAACAAAAAAGATCACCCGTTACTTGCTGGATCGCACTTACTTCATCTTCCATAAATGGGCTATTATTATAAGGTAATTAACCTTATGAGCATATTTTGCTTCTTTCGCTGCATAAATGGCATTCTTCACGGACTCGGCTAATGTTTCCAGTTTACATCTTTCTGCACTGGGCAACTTGATCTCCTCAACGTAATCATCAATCTGTACACATATTAATCGCCGTTTCCCACGTTTCTGATCAATTTGTTCCAACGCAACATCTCCCTTACGTTTCATTTTTTTTTAAGGAAAAGATATGAACTGATGAAAATGACTGTTTGTATTGTTCGCTATCTCCGACAAATCTCTTACGCACCTAAAACTAACTGTTAATGTTAACTTGAAAAACACCGAGGTGACCAATCAAAGATGGACGACTGCCTGACAACATATTAACATAATTTATCATCAATAAATGGCCAACGAAGAATTCGACTGTATATCAAATCAACACGACGATTTATAAATGTCAGTTGAAATGAAGAAAACCAGTGCAATCAAATATGAGCACAAACACTCTATTCTGAATCAGGAAAATTACGATTTTACGAAAACTATAAACTTTTAAGCTGGATAAGTAAGAATGAGCGTGGAACCCTCTAAAATAAAACTATTTCTTCATTGAAATATTGCAGTGGATCTGCAGATACCGCTTAACAAATATAAGATCATTTCATAGCATAAGCTTTTTATTCAATTCTTCATAAATTCACAACGTATACGAAGTAATCAAAAAAGAAATTGTTGCAATAGTTGGTGCGAAACTTACGAGCACTACACCCGAAGTTTTATCCTTGCCAAAAATTCAATTCAGGAAAACATAAGTAAGGAAATATGATCAAACGACGCGGCATTTGTACGAAATTCAAAATTACAAAATCGAAAAACGTATGCTTGCAAAAAGTATACGAGAGAATATTTCGACGTCAACGCCACAACTTCTTGAGAAATACGCAATAAAATCAAGTGAAGAGAACAGATTTAGAGGGATGCCACATAGAAGATAATAATAGAGAAGTTGGGTATCACAGAACACACGGAAGCAATGTATAATCTAAGATATAAGGAAGACGCCCACATATACAACAATGCAATAAGAATGAGCAAATAACTACTCTCCTCATATATCACCGAATAACACGCATAATTATAGTGTAAACTACAATACAAAAATTAAGAAAAACCTTAAGGAACACTTTCAAATATCTCTGGAGCTTAGTACGATCAACAATTGAATGTCTTAAAGACAGCACAGAATCAAAGTTTAATCCTTATCCGTATGCAGTTTTTTCACTGATATTTACGATAGGCTCGGAAGGATACACTGATACCTGCTATAAATATGCGGATCAATGTCAACGATTCGAGATCGAACAATGGCATTTTGTATATACTGCTCCAACGAAATTAGTTTTACTTGGGAGAAACTTGACAAGTTGGTAACCAAATAACACCACTCGCATTACGCATATCACTAGCAACTTCATCCGAAGAAATAAGTATAAGGTTCATGAAAAATTGAGTATGCGCTACAAAGTATAACCTAAAGCCTTAGCAGTTCAAATACAATTAAATTTTTTCATTCTGTAATCATATATGATGCTGCGAAGAAGAGTTACACCAAGGATAAATTATGAGCCCTGAAGTAAACGAGAAGCATCGTCTGATGACTGCCGACTATGTGTAGCGCTTGGGCGTCGGAAAAATCGTGTATTCATTGATGTCACCCTTGGCAGTGATGAATTCACAAATAAGGCGAGTAGCACCAGTAAAGATCCGAAAAAAAATGGCGGTCCTGGGATTAACTTCTGGAATAATCTTCATTTATTTCGTGACATTTTTTTAAGCGCTGCGAAAGAGAAGCAAAGGCAGGCCTCCTGGAATTCCGTAGCATTCGTAGAGAATTTATATCTTATGGAACCTCAGTAACACTCACCCAGTTAAATGTGGGCTTCTCAATGGAAGTTGCATTTCGACGCGGTGAAATGATTGGCTGAACTCGTATTCGAGGTGCTGGAAAAGGGGGTATTCCAATATGACCCGTACCATCGTTATCCACATTTAAATCCATGTCAAACAAGTAAAATATAAAACCGAATAGGGCTGGACCCAAACCTAAATGATATTTGTCAACGAACGCCGAAAAAGAATGAAGTGTTTAAAACGTCACTACTTTAAAGAATGAAGTGTTTAAAACATCACTACTTTCCGGTCTAACGTTTTCATTTCCTCTTAATTCTACGTTCCCGTAATTATGATCTCATTCAAAAAGCCATATGTTTTTGTAAACTTAGAATAATGAACCAACTCACTTCAATTTCTGTACATTCCTAAGCCTTTTTTGGAATCTTGAAGAAAACCATTCTTGAAGAATAAAGAAAACCGGTTATGAAATTCTATTTCTGAAGGATTTTATTTCAAAACAACAACCTTGACATAATCCACGGACACCGGTAATAACACCCTGTACAGTCCCTTGCTTATCACGATCGGTATGTATGCTAACAAATGCGCTAATTGACGGATAAATCAATTGACTCATCGCTACTAACACACCTGCAGCCCACATCATCCAATATTTCGTACCGAAACCATACCTGAACAATCAATTAAAACGCCCAAAATATTAGTAATATATAACCAAAGACTGAAATGTATATAAAGCTTGGGTATGAGACTCTCCGGAAATAATTCATGTTCCTCGAACTAACCATAATAATTGAGCAAATTGAAATGATAGGCCAAGAGTTATTGTGTATTTCGTACCAACAGTACTAGTAAGAAGAAAAAGTATGCCGGTTTGAGTGACAACAGATAATATACCAACAATTCCTGCAAAATGAATTAATATGTGCTGTGACAATATTATCAATCCATTCAATACTCTAAAATTTTAAATGATTTAAAATGTCTGAAGCTTTCCGGGGAAAGTTAGCCACAGTTAGGATTATCGACCGCCGGACACTGACACGTCAAATCACGCACTGCTGATCCTATGCATTACTACCAGGACGCGAATAGTCAGAATACTGCATATTAGCTAGGTAATGACGTATATGGCAACAAAGTTTTGTCATGAATTCTTAGCTTTTGAGAGTAAAACAATCATTATCATGTTCAGTTTTACCCAAAATAAAAAAGTAAGAGAGACGGGATAACTATTACGGTGATCACTAACCGATGAAAACGGCTACTGCTTCCGGAGTGAAACCAACCACAAGTTTTAAATATACGAAAAAACATGAAAATTGACCAGCTTCAGGAAGATAACTTAAAAAGATAATAGCAGCCAATTGAAGCACCAAACGATCTTCCCAAACAATTCGTAATGTTGCAAATGGATCAGCTTTCTGCCAACGAAATGCATCTACTACTCTACGGTTACGGGAAGGTAATGATTCTGGCACTACCAGCAAAATAAATAGTACATCCAGACTTGCAATTACTGTGGCCTGCAATTATTAATTATGAGCGGACCACTCTCTCGTTTTCCTCCTCGATTTTTAATATATTGCATTAATCAGAGACAGTTTATGAACAAATTATAATCATTTACCGGCCCCACATGTTAGACAGTATTAAACTGAAACGATAAACATACAAGTAAAACGACGCTATCATCATCCCAAGACTCTGAAATCCATGCGCCGAGTGCTGGTGACGTAATTAAAGATCCTGCAAATGTGGCAGAAATGAGGCCATATGCAGTTGAACGATCGGCTTTATCTGTGACATCAGCTACATATGCAAGTGCAACACTGAATGTTATCGAAAATAGACCACTAATTGAGAATAGAGTAAAATACCACCTGAAACAGCGCTTTTAATTTCACGACTACACATCGATGCGTTCCCTTTGAAAGCTTATCTTCTTATGATGAATTTGTGATACAAAAAAAAGAAAAGTTTGACCTGCACTATCCTTTTGATCCTCATTTTTTTACTATAAAATACAAAAAAGTAGATAATCACCAACCATGGGCTAATTTTAAGGCATGGTATAGGCAGGCATGTAAAAAATACAGTAAGCAGCAAAAATGATTTGCGTCCCCACTTGTCCGATATCGCACCAAGCAGTGGGGCACTTAAAAATGATAGCAGACCTTTAATGCCAAGAATGACACCATTCATTAAAAATTTATTCGTAGGAAAGCTATCAGCCAACACCTGCAAAATTTTATAGCGTTATTTTAAAATGATAATTGTTCCTGTTAGACCAACAGTTATCGTACCAGATAACGGATCCAACGCAGACTCGTAGATCATAATTTATTTATATATGTATGGTTTACTGCACCACCAACAAATCATTCAATATTTTATCACTTATAAAGTACTCAAGTTCCTAATATCTTTTCTATACAAGAGATTGAATGATTCACAAGTACGTCAACGATCATGTGAAAAAATGTTGCATCCATTGCGAATCCCTATCTTGCTTCGATAGTACAGAGGCAACTATTGGAATGAACACAAAAGACGAAAGAAAAGGACGCCAATAAATAAATAAAAACAAACATTAATGACCGGTACAGTAAGTAATCCCCAGGCAAAATACTCGAGGAAAATGACGACAACTGCATGGTGAACGCTGGCTTCACAGCAGCCCATAGTGGTTTCATCATGTGCTCGACGTAGCCTTCTGCTAAACAATACCTCGAAAATACGGGCACTTCTTACCATTCGCCTTTACTCCGCCTAAAATAGAAGTATCGAATTCTCACAATCCTTCTGGGCTAATGATTTCTAACCTGCAATTAAAAACTTTCCCACTATTGAAAACTTATTTTCAATATTACACCGTGTTTTTATAGCGTACTATTCACTGTCTTCTTACAAGAACATTCGTATCCAACACCCGAACATAAATCCGATCTGAAAACTGGACGTTGTGTACAATAAGTATACATTCCGGAAAACTTTAGGTGTAAAAAAATCTTCGCTCCGACTCACCGAACGCTTATCATGAAAGCCAATCAAACTAGGACATTGGTGGAAACGAGATAATATCTAAACACACTTCCACAAAGAAAAACCACCATCCTACAAAATCTCGTATGAAACACCAGATTGGAAGAATTGATCTATTTTGGCTGATATTCTGTGATACATCTAATAATACCGCTGAAATCGGAATAAAAAAAGGAATAAGAAAAAAATAAGGAACCTTGCGAGATAATATATCCTTGTCAGGTGAGTTAGCTATTTGTTTTCCGCGGTGAATGTCAGAATTAATAATCGCTACTCGGCAAAAGAAGTCTATCGGAGGTTCACTTCCTGAATCCATTCCACATATACTTATTGTGCCATGAAAATCGTATAAACTGTCAGTGAGAGATCGAAACAAACATCACTTGAATGATAACGGCACATTATTCCTACCTCAACCGCAAATTACTAGGACAAGCAGACCATCCGAAAGGGAAAACTAAATGTACAGGAATGCGGAACGTAATTTCTCCGTTAATTTTAAATGCAATGGTTACTGCCGCTTTTCATACTTATTCACACATGGAGAAAGTCTCCAATAAGAAACAATGAAGATATATTTTCATCTTGATTTTTCTTCCTATTTTCTTGTACTATTCTCTTTCTCTCTTTTGTGAATCGTTGCAGATTGTAAATGTGCAGAAGAAAAATGAAGCTCTGTGCATGGTTTCCATCAAAAATCTTGGGTACTGGTGATAGCATCTCATGATCAAAATCGTTAAAGCATGCCATAGTTTAACTCAACTACATAAAAGCAAGTGATAAAAATATATTTATTAAGTATGCTTAAGTTCTCTAATTAAATACAAAACGTTGCCAGTTATGAATGACAATTTACTGAAATATTTTAAACAAGTATCACTCAATTTATATGCTTTACTACGTTGCGATTCCAAGTGAATAAATTATCCCAACGTTTTCTATGTCGGAAAGTGAAGTGTTCATGCCTACAGAATACAAGTGTTACATAAGTCTCGCCCTGAAGAAACAAGCCCATACCGGTTTCCCGTGATCACGCATCTCACGACAAGTTATTATTGCATGATAAAGCAGTGCCCCCATGAAAATCAGCGTTTCAGGTCAAGTGGTACTTTTGAACTTTTTCAGTATCAGACACTGAGAAAGTTCCAAAAGTTGACTTGAAACGATAGTTTAGTAGTGATTAAGCAAGAGAAGAGAGTAGATTATGCTTTCAATTATTTTCTCAATATTGTTGTTTTTTCCTGTTTGACCTTATTAAAAGTGACTCATGATTTCATTAAGAAAGTTAACTTCATCTGAGCAAGAGAATGTTATACAAAAGTTAACCTATCATCAAAGGTTAAGCATTCTTCCTGAAGAATTAATACCACTCGTCATGCATAGCGCACGAAATAACAAGACAATTGTGATGATTGCTTTAAAAAGGAGATTTTCTTGGTGGAAATCGACTTCAAAACTTAGAGAGTGAATACAGAAAAGAATTTTACACCACTGATGACCACGTACGTACAAAAAGTCCATTCATATAAGCAGAAACAAGTCATGCATATAGAGGAGAAATACTGTAATAACTATAAATTAATAATCCTAATCTGTAAAATAAAATGACCCTATTTCTTTCAAGAAAATTTTAGTCTTAACTGTCATTGAAAGTTTCGCTTGACCTTTAACTTCCTGAACTGAATATATGAAAGAAATAATTTAAAATATACGAGCTATCTTTTTACTCATTTGTTATTTACTTATTCGTCATCTTTACACTGATATGGGGTAGCGCCAATTTGAAATTTAGAAAACCATACCGGTGGTCTAAATTGTGTTCCCACAACTACTACCGGTTAATTCTCTAGCAGATGGATGATTCGTCGTCAGAGAACACATTGCGAATGTCCACAAATTATCAATTAAATGATGATATTAATTAAATAAGATTAGAAATCTCAGGAAGCAATATGTTAATATACCAAAATTATAATCAAATAAGAAGAGTTACTGATATTATCACATATCACTAGAATGATACAATTTAGGAGGAAAATTTCTCATATCTCCCATAACATTATAAAATGAAAAATCTCAATAAAAGACTAAAAGAAAACTTATTTGCCATTACTTCCGAAGGAAATTAAAAGGGAAATTTGTACCGGCGAAATGATTAACTTCTAAAAATTAATGCCTAACACATAAATATAAAACTGTTAATTATTCTTTATATTATATTTACTAATTTACTGATTTATATAATAAACGAAATACCCGCGATATTATTCTCAACATCGAGAAAATTCCAAATATGCGGGAAACACATATTGAAAGGAGTACAAAAAGGTTAATTATTATCGGTATTCTATTTCATTCAGTCTTTTTCTTGCATTGTTTAGTTCGAATTATAAGATCATTCATCTTCTTTATTTTACTATATGCTTTTTAAGTGTCCAATGCGAATAGAGTATCAGTATAAGGAAGTGTGCCTTATACTTAAACATTAAAGTTACCGTATTTCATGAGTAGAACTATTCTTGAAATGTGATTAAAACTTGTAATGATTTGTAATTATTTTTGCTTCTGAATAATGATACGAACCAATTAAGATTCCAAAAATTTTGATCTAAAACAATCCGTTAACAATCATGCAAATCGTTCATTTGTTTGTCATAAAAATAAAACATTTAAATTTGGATGGGATATTTTCGGTAATTTCGATATTTCTGTCGAAGAAATTATTATATTTTTCCCAAAAGTTTTTACTTAATTCCTGATCAAAACTAATTTGTCCCTGAAATTTTCAATCGTTTTATATTAGAAGTTGGAAATGTTAAAATGGATAATCTCCATAATTCTTGCATGTATCAATCTCTTTTAAGTTAATTAATTTTATAATTCAATTTATAAAGGTGAACGGTTAATACCGATATAGCGCATTGGTACTATTGTCAGCTAAGCTGTTTGATCGTGCAATTAATTTTCAATTAAATTTAGGATAAAACAAAAATTCATATTTCGATAGGTAGTGAAAAGCGAATTAATCATGAGTCATACCTTTTTATCTTTGGATGAGTTAGAACGATGGCTGGCCTATGTTCCTGTGTATGGTAAGTTACAGCAATCTCACCGACTGTGTAAAGAATAGACAAAGATTGAAATACAGTAGTAATATTTAATATGTGAAATTATCGGCATGTGAAATCTCGAATGGATATTTCAAGACATTATCTTAAGTCAATATCAAATGCATCTATACTCCGGGACGTAGAATTTTCGTAATGAGATAGCAAAGAAGGCTCGAAGGTACGACCTGGCTGAACGTTCGGTTGGAAGCTTGGTCGGACAGCGAAGTTCCTCAAATTCGTCCCATTGAATGGTAGTTCTGTGAAAGTCGCGGGTTACTGATGGTCGTTAGATCACTTAGGACTTCAGTTTCTGAGTTATCTGAGGTTTTTGAATTTTCGAATGATTTGAAACTGATGATTTTCGGATAATAGTGTTGACTTCTGGGGAGATTAATGAGTTACGTGATATTTCAGAACTGCCAGGTATGACTAACTGTGTAAAGGGAGAAGAACTTGTATTCGCGGCAACTTATACATTCCATCCTATTCGGGTGATTCGCATCTCAAGTAAAATATTTCTCTCTGTTTCTTTTTCTTTGTTTTTGGATTAAATAATTTCTTGACAGTTCTGGTTTATCTTTATTTTTGCTTAGTCAGCTAAGAAACTGCGCATGCGTAAAAGTGGTATGTGGAAAATGTGGAACCAGAATATTTTTGGTAGTAGCTTTTTCAGTCCTATGTTTATGAAATATATTATTAAGTAGATGAAGAACTGCATACATTATCGAATGAGGAGATTGAACCTGCAGTTGGATCGTATGATTTTCGGGATATACCAGATATGGTCGATCGTTTCATCATATGGCTAGTTCCTGTTATCTTTTTTATTGTGTACTTAGAGCAACCGATATTCTGGTGATTTTTATCCGACTAATATGAGTTGAAGTTCTTTGGAGGAGATAGTTCATACTTTTTTTGAAGACTAGATGAAAAAAGAGTCGAACAGCAGGCCAAATTAAGATATTGCAGGCGATCGAATCGATCATCGTTACTGTTAGAAGAACGAAGCGTTGAACGGTGTTTTGATTTTTCTTCGTTATGCCTTAACTTTAGTCCAGCTAATGTTATACCTGGAACGCAATTCTGTTTCGCACATGACAACCTGATATTGCTAGTACCGACGCAGAATGCCCTTCATCGATTTACTTTCGAGATTGGGGTTGCGAAAAAGAACGAGGTTATATTTTTGGATTGCATTCGGTTGTTCCTTTATGCGCCTTGTTTCTGTTTCAGACAAACCAGAAAAGTATTAAAAATTTCTGTAGTAAGAGCAGAAAGGAGGAGAAAGGAAGGAGAAATTATGAATTTTGTAGTTTAACTGAAATAAAGTGACAAATTCAAGATTCTGTGATAATAACAGAAGTTTTGATTATCTGCAGATTCAAGGCGTCCTGAAGCTATCTGCAGATCAAACCTTTCTGTACAATCATGATAGCTACGAACTAACGTCATCAAGAAGTGCCTGTCGTGCAAGTGTCGTACATACGACAACTAGTGGTACATCTGCCTTATATTCTTTGGGTAATGGACAAATTGTTCTTGTACAGATGCGCCATGTACCAGGAAGTAAAGGCCAAGGTTTCTTCTAGACCGAATCATTTTTGAATCTTTTTACTTTATTCTCCTAATCTAATTAGTATTTAGTTTTTTTCATATCATAATTATTGTCGTTGAGCAATTACTGTCGTAATTACTGAATCAAAGAAATTGTTTGAGGTTATGAAAAAGTAATAAGAGGCGATGGATTACTGCAACGAGTTATGATGGCAACCCATCAGCTGAGCTTAGTTGTTAGCTTGGCATCATGTGTGGTTCATCGTGACATTCTCTTTTATGTACTTTTCGACGATAAAAGGCTACATGTTTATATGGTTTATTTACTTTTTAATACTCAAAAAATATGGTCTCTATATGTGAGCACAATATTGAGCAGTAGCAAAAAACGTTGAAATTGGTGTTTCATTGGAAATATAGCGATGAATAGGTTTTTCGACCAGGAAAGGGAAGGATATTAGTTACAATCTACCAAAATGCATTATAAATCAGATGTAGTGTTGAAATTAACACTATTGGCTAGAAGTAATCTGCTTATAGCATATGAATTCCAGAATGGTAGAAAAGAATACGATAGGAATTTATATGATATAATGATACATAATAGCGATGGAGGCGATGGAGATCAAGGTACTATTTAAATTTGCCTTTAAATGATGAATTATATCCATGAAAACTTTTGTACTCAATTACTCTTCTGTTTTTTTTCAGTCACTGTAGAAATGATAAAGACTTGCTATAACGCAGATTCATTTTATGTGATCGTGCTTTTTCAAGTTGTTGACCATTGCATGGTTCGTTGTTTTTTGGTGAAAATTAAAGTTTAATAGGATAATGTAACACCAAAATTATTATGGGAAGTCGTAAGGATACCAAATAGTTGTACTCTTTCTCACCAGTAACGTAAAACTATGTTTTTTGGGTTAGGTTGATGCTCCTTAAACGTCATCTTTAGACTATTTAAGCATTCAGTTCTCACACATCTGTAGAAGTATAAGTTGAAATAGTATAAGGAGGTCAAAGAGAGTCATCGAAGTTAAAAAGTCATATTGTAAATATTTGCGAATTACTTCATTTGTATATGGACATAAAATAATTATTTTAGTTCATGTTGGGGAAAATTGATCCATATCTGTTACCAGAGCATGCTGGATATTTCTCGTTTATTAATACTTTCCAAACAGAAGTACGTAAGTTTGCTGGAATTATGTTTTTTCTAGTAAAGTCATTCGATTTTTCTCTTTTATCTTATTAGTGATTGTCAACAAAATTACAGAGCGGAGTAGTGGATTTCACTTGTGCAGTGCAAGAAGATATTCTGGATATTATTTGTTTATGTAAAGTTTCGGATGGAATTCGCTATTGTTTACGCACTGCTTCAGTTGATTGGTCAGTTTCATTAATATCTTCGAAACTTTCAAACAATTTCTTCTCATCTACACAGATTTACTTCGAGAATTCTTTGTTGCTCATTTACTTCCCTCTTCCTAACCAAACACATGCTGATGAACATAATTTCGACAGCCTATAGAAAAGTAATTGAACAGTCATGTCTTATGCGAGATTTCAGTTTGAATGGTACATTAACAATTCCTTGGAAAGGAGTAAATGAAGTCCACGATGGTGATGTGGAGGTGAGCGTGTTGCAAGCTAAACCAAAGCAGTCAGTTGATGCACAGAAATCATATATCTTTGATCCCAACAGATATTCCTTTGGCGTTGTTTTGCGTTCTCTTCAGGTATTCTCTTCGAATTTGAATAGTAATAGAAAAGAAAATAATTGTCGTTTTTTTTTCATGTTTGATATCCTATTCAATAATTGATTTATCCATAAGTCAAACGAATTTATCACTATGTTTTGAGTTCGGCATAGTAATACGTAGCAATAATTTTTAGTTAGTTTGCAAGAAAGGAACCTTCAATTGGGAACTTTTGGGAAGACGATACGATTGGCGGATGTTAAAGGAAGCAGCAGAGAAGTATTGTAGCTCAGTAGAGGTACTTCAGTCTTTATTAAATTTTGTAGGAAAGAATGTGCTGTAAATCCAGAAATTAATTGATAATCCATGTTTATTGTTGGGCACCAATTAGTACTTTATGAGGAGGAATATATAAAATATTTTGTACAAAGCATTTTATATCATATGGATGTCCGGAAAAGGAATTATATACTGTTGTTGCAGTTCGATCAGCATTATGTTACTCGAGAGGATCGTTCACTTTTGGCTACAATACCACCCGATCAGGCAGGACAAGATCGATTCTGGACAACGCTCACAAGGATATGCAATGAATTAATGCAAAATGAATGCCTTTCTTTAGGTCTGTGGCACTCTGTTTCTCTTGGCTTGTATGGTACGATACAACAGGTATGGTTATCATTTTCTGTGTGTTTTTTAATTTTATCACACTACTATTCTTTATTTGTCAGATGCAACTATGTCAGATGCAACTACGTCACTTCATAATTATTGTCATGGATTAACTCATTCTAGTGTTTTGTTATTACAGGGACGTTTCACAGTATGTCGTCCTGGTGATGAGCAGCTTCGCTGGTTCGAACGTTTGATTGGTAACGATGAAAAGAATGTGAAACTGTGTTGGGATATCGTTACAAAATTTGCTGCAGGGGGACTGGTATGCTATATCTCTTCTGCAGTATGATTTTGTGCCTTGAGTTCCATTAGTATTTTTTCATGAAGTCCTTGCAATATTCAAATTTGTAAATATTTTTTCTTTCGTTCATCATAAAATGTATTGAATTAAATCCTTTATATAGGTTGCCAGTGCAGTAAGCATAGAAGAAAGTGAACAATTCGTGAATACATTTTCAACCGTTTCGCATATTTTCGAGGATGCAATCCGAAAATTTACTGAGTTAAGACCTGTCGACGAGTTTGACGTAGACAGTATGTTATTTGTTAACATCAGAATTTTTGGGCCTATTCAGTCGTCTCGTAAGGCTTGTAGCATTCTGCTAGTATTTAATAGTTTAATTACATGAAGTTCTTATAAGCTTGTGATAACAGGTTAATATGTGCTTGTCTTACTTCGATAAAAATAGCAACTTTATTTTATCAGGTCATCTCACGGAAATTTTGTTTCAGTAGCAGCTGAAACACCATTTCATGGGTGGTTTACAATTGGCCTTTTGGCGACTCACTTTACACGTTTAATTGATGACAGATTAGCTCTTAGCCAATGCTTTATCGCTCTAATGGAATTAGTAAAAACTGTTTATTCTTCTCAAGATGTGAGTGACTTTTCATTATTCTTTCTTTCAAGTTATTTAGCAAGATTTAGATATGTAAAGGATCAAGCTTATAAGCGAAGTAACAATAATACTTATGTTCAGGAGACGATACCACTGGATGCTAGGTGGGGGCTTACAGTTAATACTCACGAAAAATCACTTCATGATATGAATCGACAATTTAGCATCTTATCACAGACAATGAAGCTACGAATTTCTATGTAAGTTTTTATCTTTCTGATCTTTTTGTCTTTTTATGTTTATCTTTTTATGTTTTTATCTTTCTTATATTTCTGAAATAAGAATAAGCTTAAATGGATAGTTCGATGTGAAAGATGAAATTCGAGATGCAATAGGGGATTTGAATAATATGAATGGTTAATTGCAGTGACAACTATAACGAAATAAGTCTAGCAGATGGTTTCTTCTCAACTGCTGGTCTCCCAACCGTACTTAGTTATGTACAGGATAAGGTTCATCATTTTTCTTTGATGTAATTGTTTTTCATCAAATGCTTTGATTTGGATCCTTAATTGTTGGGTAGAATGACAAGACAAGTAAATTGGCGAGAGATGCTCCGGAAAGTTTAAAATTTTTTTAATCTAAGCATTTTGGGAATGTGAAGTTTCTGGTGAGATTTATTACTTATTTTTTAAGGAATTAGTGGGTGAAGAAGACGATACGGAAGAGGATGACGAAGAGACACTGGAGGACAGAACTGACAATTGTGCTGAAAAATTTTCTCATGTATCACCTCTTAGGCAGTCAGCATCAGCATATTCACAGTTTCTTAATAGAATTGTAAATGACGCTGTGGTTGTTCTTTGGCCAGAAAATACGGCTATGGTATTGGCCAGATTTTTGGCTAACTATCGTCAATATTCTGCGCTGCAGGTTGTGTTTTTTTTTGTTTTTATTTACTCAAATATTTTGAAAAAATGAACATGTGAATCGACTAGCTTTATCTTTTGCAGACATATTGTCAGTTGAATGAACCTTATATAACAGAACTGTGCGCTGCTTTTCGTTTTTTCGAAGGCTATGCACTTGCTGGTCTAGGACATCCTGAAAAGGTACTTTTTGGCCATGAAGGTTTCCACTATTTGGTTTGAATTTTGACTGCCGTTGAATAGTAGTTGTTATTTGCAGGCTTTGCAGTCATTCTTGGATGCAATAGAAGGTATCAATCGGCAAGATGAAGCTCTTAATAGAATGCTTTCTCCTGATGGTAATGTTTCGGATGAGCCATATAGCGAATTGCAATATCTACTGAAGGTAACATTGAATACCACTGTGGCAATCCAGTAAAATAAATTAATGTCTATCACATGACTTCTTCTGGTTGAACAAGTGGTTGAACAACATTTTTTAGTTAGCTGTTCGGAACTAAGTTAAATGTTTTAGGTTATGGCTGTCATGGAGATGCACGGTTTTCACGAGCAGCTAGTTTATTTGTCAAGACGTGTCTTGAAAGAAGCACTGCAAACCAGGAACGTAAATACTACAGTTTTGGTAATATGTTATTTTTAGAATCTTGAACAAAGTTAGAACTCTTACTTCAACGTGGAATTTTTACATTCTTCCATTATTTTAGCCCGGATTGTATATGTCTGTTTTTAAATTCGAGCTTATCACGGGACGATATGAAGACGCCCTCAATACCCTTCTCTCTAATCCAGTTCCGGAAAATCGTCGGATATGTTTGAGAGAACTTTTAGCCAAATTGATAGAGCAGAGGAAAAATGCAGTGCTTGTCGGTTTAAATTATGGAAATATGGAAGAGCAGGTCTGTATGTTGTATATTTTTTCTGATGAGAAAAGTCGCCAGAGCTGGGATTTTTCAGGAGTTTTTCTAGAAGAGATAAAAGGAAATATAGGGGAAAGAAAGATTTTTCATTATTAATATTCTATAGAGAGCAACTTACAGTTTTGACTCTGAGTCGAAACAAATAATAAACTTAGGAAGCATTATTGCTCTTTCAACTTGTTAACAGCAGGCATTTGATGATAGTTTACAATATGTTTGGTCATTTCTAATTGTTTTAAGGTGATCAATATATTGAAAGCAAATGCTCGGACTTCAGATATCAGTAAAGAAGGCTACTTTTACGAACTGATCTACTCATTTCATCTCAAGCGAGATCTCTATCAGCGAGGTAAAATTATTAGGCAAGGGTATGACTGATGATAGTTGACATTACGTATCTCTTTTAGGAGACTACTGCAGAATCAAGTGGAAACACCTCTTGTACAGCACTGAAAGCCCTATAGTGTTGATAGCAAATATTGTTTTTGGTTTATGAAATTGACTTCCCCTGTAACTGTCTATACTTTATATCTGACAAATTTTGTGAAGGTCATTTCTACTTGCAGTAACTTAATTTTTGCAGCGGCACTGACAATGTTCGAATATTCGTGTCGTTTACAGTCGGAATTGCAGAATCGAAACGTATTATCTCGTCGTTGTCGTGCTCTTAGCACTGTTGTCAGTTTGCTTTCGTTGCTACCAGAAACTGACCAATTCCTCGCACTCCCGGCATCATTGGTATGTTTTGGTAGCTTAGATTTAGTCCTTATATTCAGTTAATCATATAAAAAGTATTTATAGAAAAGTCAGGATCCATTTTAAGAAAAAACTGTTTAAAGTGAAAGTTCCGGAATTTATCAGTAATTCTGATCTCAAACATTTTATTAAGGTAAATGATAATCCAACGAAACAAGTAGAAAAAATAGATGAACAAGTGCAAAACAAGGTTGAGTGCAAAATGGGTAAAAACGCTCTCAAAATCTGGACGCTAAATGATATTTCGAAGGTTTCTTTTCATGCGAAATTCCTTAATTCATGTGTGTAAGAGAGTTACGGAAACTATTTGCAGGCATTATAAAGGCTGTGATGCAGTGAAAAAGGAATAAATTGCTTTTATTGATTCTAGAGGGCACTATTATCATCAGCTCGATTGCTATTATTCGACGCGAATTACAACCCGAGAGAGAAGAAGTCGATCCCGCCGCCTGTCAAACTTGACGAAATTTTCGAGCAACTTATTGACAAGAAACTCTTTGATCACGCTTGGGAAGTGAACAAGTAAAGATTTGCTGTTCCATCATTTTTCTAGCTGTGGGACATATATCTTTCGGATTAAATCGGTTTTGTCTTTCAGGCTTTTCGATTTGAAGCCATATTCACTCTTGAAAGCGGTTACTGTGGAGTGTATTCATCTGGATGCAAAGCCACCGAAAGGTGAACCATACTGGGTGGCCAAAAATAGGAAATTTGTGAAGAAAATACCCAGGTCCCTTCTACTACTCAAACATTGAAATATTGCATTATTTGTCTTATAGTTTTGCTGAATCAGGTAGTTGACTTGGAAATCATTTTTAGATTACGAGAACGACACTGGGCAATTTTACTAGGGTATGTGGAAGTAGCCTTGAAAAGGTGTCCGGATGATTTCAAAATATTATGGACAGTAACCTATGCGTTTCTTGAACGTCAGTGGCATATACCTCCATGGTTATCAAATTGTTACGAGGTGTCGTATTTTAAATTCTATATGTGGAGTAAGAGTTGCATCAATAGATGTTTATGTCGTATTCTAATATTTGCTGCGTTCTGCACATATTCCGATGCCAAATTTATCATATTTCAGGAGCGGTGTGCAGCGCAGTATGCCTACCTGCTGATAATGTTTGATCATCTCCATCTAGCCTGTGAAACACTTAAGAAGAAGATAATTTTGGAAACGGGGAAAATAACATCTCGAAAGTCGCAATCTTCAATACCAACTACAGAAATTGATTGGCTGCTATGGCTAATTAGTAAAAAAGATGATGAGACTTTAAGAGAAGTAAGCTGTATATTTCCTTGATTCTGTGCTCTCCTTAATTTTTTAATTTCTTGAACTCCGTTAAATTCTTTAACCACGTTGTCAGCAATATTAATTACATATTATCTGAATTAAGATTTAAACTGTTATAATCTTGGTCAGTGCTTTCAACGAAGTTAACGAACCTTAACAGTGCATTGTATCGAAATTCGGTATAAATATAGAATCTGTTAATTTGAACGTGATGGCACTATATAAAAGTCTATATCCACTGACTGGAAAAGATGGAGCAAGCGACAATACTTTTGTTAGAAAATGATTCATAACTATTATGTAACACTGCGCAAATATATTGTTAACATCGCTTTTTTATTTTAGGATGCAAAACAGTTAAAGGACTGCGTAGAACGTTACTTTGAGCGCATTGCATCCTTTTCAAAGCGGTAAATATTCCTTAATGATCAATCCTGAATATATGTGACCTTTTTGAATATTCCATTTGTGATCTCCATTCCAAACTAGTTCGCAAAATCTTATGTTAAATCTTGTTGTTTAAGCAATGATACTATACTATCTGATTTTTTATAAGCCACGTGGAAAACTTAAATGTTATAAGAGGTGAAACGAAGTAATTCTCAGATTTCCTGTACTGTTGCTTCCATGTGCCTTTATGTGTCGTGTAAATAAATTTTACTGCCACGCTACGTATATGGTTTTTTCCCGACATTACAGTAGTGGAAAGAGAGGGATAAGGGTATTTCTTGACTTTTCAATTCTACTTTGCAAGAACCTCTGCATTTCAATTGCGATGTTCTTGTGAAAGTCTTTTCTTGCCCCTCTCCAGACTTCACGCAAACAAATACTCACCTTTTCACCATCTGCTTAATTCTGTGTATATGGTTTATGTTTGAAGACCATGTTTTTAATACTCATAACAAAGGATAGCAAGAAAATGTCTTGGTTGATCTTGCCAAGCAGCTAATCCTATCCGATCAATGCGTTCTCCACCGAATCTTGTGTAAGGCAGTAGTTCATTAATGCTTTCCCGGGAATTAACTGGCATAAAAAAACATTCCGCAATTAGCTTTACGTTGCTTACAGATGAAATGTTTTGAAGATATATTTAGCCCATGTAAGCGTTGCATGTTATCTTTTATACTGTTCGCACTACTACTAGTACTTGATTTTCATTGGGGTGTGTTAAATAAGAACGTCTGAAATATTGAAGACCATGTCTTTAATACCCATAACAAAGGATACAAAAAAAAACGACTTGCCAGCAGTACTGCCAACAGAACACAACAAACGCTGACTCATAAAAACATAAGGGAGTCGCATCACAACACATCCCAGTTTAAAGCATAGTTTATACACCTCAGACGTAGTAGTATGCACAGATCATAATGATTATGACCGTACTGGGTACTACTAAAGTACCACAGACTGCAATACAGCGTAGAATAATTAGGAGAAGAAGGTAAACTTGGTAGCATTATGGAGAACTGATGAAAAATGAGGACACTCGGCAATCAGTACAGGAAAATAAGAGGATAAGCCGGGAAATATGTAAATGTGTGCTTTCCAACAAAAAATAAATACTCTTTCTTTCTACTCCTCAGGTGCTGTTACTTCTTGTAATTTCACTTTTTCTGTAGTTAGAGGCACCGTAATAGTTTCTTCCACCAAGTCTTCATTGTCTGCTTTCAATATATCTAAGCCACCTGCAATCACATCATTCTGGCTTGTTTCTATCAAAGTAACAGCATAAGAAGACTGTTATGAAAAAGTTTTCTTAAAAAAAAAACATAGAAGGCATCATGTCTAGATTTCTACAGTTCGAATCTCCAAAACTTTTCCCACAAGTTCCGCAATAAAACAAACTATGAGCACGTAAATCGTTTTGAAAGAAAAACCTCTCAGTTGTAGGCGTAACTCAGCTTCTTCTGCCAATTTCTTCGTGCATAAATTACGAATCTGGATAAAATCTGCCATAATTTTCTTGCGTTTTTCACTCACTTCCTGAACATATGAACATCACATTTGACAAGTTCAAAAAAGAAATGGAAGTTGCAAACTAAGATAACAAAGTGAACAGAAAATGCAAACCTTGGTTGCCCTACCACGTTCCATTTTATCCTCTTCCTCGAATTTAGCTGATGTAGTTTTCAAATTCTTCCTTATCATCTGCAACGCAATTATCGTTCATGCTACTTTACAGTGCTAATAAGAACAAAGAATCATCGGAACATCACCAATAAGTTATTCTGTTAGTATTAATAGTGCAATAACTTCCAGTAGTGATGCCAATGCAACTTAAATCTTTACCACACATCCCGAAGGAATTTAGGACACATCGTATGTGAAATGTTTCTACAAATTGAGATAGTATAATCAAAGACAGTCTTTGCGACGTTACTTGACACTCAACCGTCCAATGGAAGTTGATCCAAACTTTTTTTTCATTAAAGTAGAAGAAACCAAGGTCACCTTAATAGTTTCATCAGGTAATTTAACTGGTAAACGTGGTCGCCATTTGAACTGCATTAACCGGTCCAATGGCTTTCTGTACAATTCTCTTCCTTGGAAAGTATAAATACGATAACCTGTATCACCTTTTCCACCACCAATCGTACATGCTGCTGTAAAATACCGTCCTGTAGGATCCCAACTTCCCTGAAATTTAAGATTGAAATTATGAAGGGCTGTAGCTCCTCTTTACCACTTCATCGAATATATTTTAGTTCAACGAGAAACTCTTACTACTTCCTCAACCTGCAAAGAAAGCTCAGCCTTTTATATACCAACTTTATTGAAGCCTGGATATTCGACTAAATTTGTGCGGGTCGGTCGAGTTCCGTTGCTATCAATAAACATTATGTTCCCGGATGCTGTAGCGGCCGAAAAAACAACAAGCCAACCACCGGCTGGTGCCCAAAGAACATCACTGAAGCGTTCCATCGGTTCAAATTTCGATATCAGTTGGGGAGCATGTTTGGTCGTATCCAAGTAATAAATAAGCGGAGTCGATTTATGCTGTGACCCAACGAGTACACAGAATTTATCACCTGAAGTAAAGATCTTTCAGCATTAGTCAGCAGTTCTATATACATGTCAAGATAGAAATAACTGCACTTTGACGTCATATACATCGTATTTTAAAATAGGATGTATATAATGCGTTAAATCGTAATCTCTCTTTTAACTGACATATGTACTATAAGCACCAAATTTTGGATTTTTAACAGTTGAAGGAACAAAAAAAATGCTTAACCTGATGGTTCCCAGTCAAATGCTATAAATGATTCCGAGAGAGGCATCGAAAGCACTGAAATGTCTTTCCCACGTGCATCGAAAATTTCAATATGTGAAGTCGGATTCTATAAACAGTATAGAATTATATACAAGTGATCCATTTAAATTATTTCCGATACATATAAGCTGTTTTACTTTCATAGAAATACAAGATTTCTAGAAACAACTTCAAAACTCAACACTCCTACCAAATTTTGTTATCTTTTGAAATTATAACATCTCATTGTTCAATTATTAGTCTAAACGATTTAATAAAGATATGTGTTTAAAAGTATCATAATGGATTTTAAACGCTTAAGTTGAAATTCTCAGATTAAACTAAATGTTGAGAAAAACGATATTATAGCCATATTGCCTACCGTATACTTAATTTCCTCTATGGATCCACTCGCAGATGTTTTGATATTCTTCTTCTGATAGCGTTCTGTGTGTGCAGCTAGTCGATCGCCATTCTTATTCCAAAACAATTCGGCCTCCGATACAGAAAATATTCGTTGCGCACGAAGCTTCTTTTTTGATGGAATTTCCATTAAACCAATTTCCGCTGGTGCATTATCTGATGTCTTAAATTCTTTTTCTTAGAAACAAACCGTTATAAACCAAAAACAACAATAAATCAGTACAGAATTACTGGATGCTCCCAATGGAAGAAAATAAACACTTACACGTTCGTCACAATAATATGCAAGAATAGGGCGCGTTGGTGACCAGCGGAAAGTCCGTAAACCCTCAATTATTATATGCTTCTTGTCTAATAAGGTGAAATTCGTCGTTTCATACACATTGATTCCATTACCACCCGGTTTCGGACATGCTACAAATCCATTCGCTTCTGGACAAGCCAGATATGTTTCATCCGGTTCTAAAGCTCGAGTGTCTGCTGACCACCTATAAAAAATCAAATATTACCTTTCTATATATTATACGTGACATCTCTTTCATTCTATGATAGTTAAGATCAATCAGTTTCATAGAGTGTAATGGCATCGGTCAACCGAATGCCTTTTATGAAAAGTAGTGAAACGGTTTAAAATATTAAAGCTTATTTCAATACTTCGTGACGTGCGTTTCATAGCGTATATGCGCCAAATGTATCAAATAGTTCCACTAAAAACAAAGTTAGTTGAATAAAGGAAACACTACATGGTAGAATTTCATATAGAAAGTATTGCTATTAACAAAATATACTGGAAATATGGCCAGCAAGGTAATTCATTGGATCCTTCTTGGGTAAGCAACGAAAAACCACGTCTCATTTCTCCGGTCGTAGTTTCAAATATGCGTAAAGAATTAGTATCATCAGCCCACCGATTTTCCGGCAATGAGTACGTAACAAGAAATCTATTAAAAAATTTTCATTTATTGCTCATCAATTTCAAAAATGCAATCATCCTTTCTTATACTAGAGCTGCAAAAATTTAGATTACGTTCAGATTCTCACTAACAGAAATGAAATGCAAACACCGGTATTAAATAACATTTCTTCTTAAACAAAAAGTCAAATCATCACTTGATTAAAATTTCCTTCGATCGCTATGCAATAATGTGCTTACTTCTTTAAATCCAAATGCAAAACACTTTCAAAACACACCTTTCACACGGCGAAAAATCGAGCATTACAACATTTTCATGTGAATAACGAGCAAAACGTTCGAAATTCGTTCCTGCCCATAACGCGATACCCATACGATGAACACTTACAAAAAAAGTGCCATTGGGAGACCACCTAAATACTGTCTCGGTCCAATACTGCAAAGAACTTTGCTGTAATTAATAACATCAAATATTTCGATTATATCGTTTCAGTACCAATTATTTCAGTAATTTAATCCAATAATCAAATAAAACCTAGGTTTCTGCATTTTCTGACAAAGGGTTAAGCAAGTAAAATTATCTAAAACATACGTGTCGTTCCGTAACGGGCATTGGATCTTGTCCTTTCCGATACTCGTAAACTCCAACAAACGGAGATGTCGAACTATATTTAGAACCCTGTGCATCACGTTCATAATGAACAGCAAACTGATCGTAACATTTCTCATTTTGTAACCAAGACCATAAATCACCCTGAAGAAGCATTCCATAATGTCAAAAATTCTAACCTAAAACGAAATAACGTCAAATATTATACAAAAATAAATTAGGAAAAATCATAAAAATGATACAATATTGTTGTATAGTCGCGCTTCCGGTGGCTTCCAATTTTCATCCGGTTTTTCGAATTTATTCAAATCATTAAACAGATTAGCCGAAAATGTGTGATTTTTATCCAGCAGATAACCATGCAATATTGCTGTAGCATTCTCTGCTATCTCACTGCCAGGATATTCCACAAAGCAATAGCCCTGTAATGTACCACAGTATTGTGAGGTAATTAAAAGCCGGTCAATAGAACTTGGCTTCAAATCATTTAACAGTTTTCTATTTGATCTTCTCAACATTCTATATTCATCAGTCCATCTAACACCAATCATAACTTGCTATATTTTTGTACTGATTTTGAGTAGAAAATGAATATGAATTGAGAATTAATTCAAATACCACATTTTTTTATTGCTAATCTACTAAGATGAGAATTAAAATGAATCATTCAAAAATTGTCAGTATTTTCTTTCTTACAAGAATGATAATTCTAATACACTAAGCATGTATTTATACCACCACTCGAAGGACATCGATCATTCAGGATAACATATCATTTTGTTATTACAAAAACCTTGATCGCTTGCATCAGGATTTCACATGACTTTTATCAACATTGAAAATTAATTGCTACTAATTTTTCTTGCCCAACCAACTTAATATCGCTATGCAAATATTTGCATTGCAACGTACCTTTGTAGAGCCATTATCATCAACTGGATAGAAATCATTGAACTCTGCATGGATCCGGCCAAAAATTTTTCCGAGTACACTCTTCAGTTTCAATAAACGATTTTCACCGACAATCGGTATGCCGGAAACTATTATGCAGCAATGATCGTATTCACTTAAGGACGGCTTTTTCCTCAATACATCTCCAACTAATTCTGGAAATTTCCAAAATATATTTAAATCTTTATTTATATCAAATATTAAAGCGAAATCCAGAATACTTTCCCGCAATGCATACAATGAAAAGGGTTAGTTGGGCATTTGATTTAATGCTAATCTCTTCATATCGACTAGGCAATCGTTCGAATAATATTCAAGCTACAAAAAAATAAATAAAGGAGACTTCCATCCAACCTATTTTAAACAAGCATTTTCTTATAAATCCGTCTTTCATAAACAGAACAATTATATTATACCTTCATCAGTTGCGCTTTCTTTAAAACCATATTCGCTATCTGAAAACGATGGTTCCTCTGGGACATTCTCATCGAATATTGGATCTGCTGCCACCATTTCCTTTCAATTCCCACCACTCTTTTCTGAAAATTATTATTTTATATAGATTGTTCCGAATTACAGATTATTTTGACAACTGTGTAAATAAGTTGATAAGTACGAATCAATTATGCAAATCAGGAATATAGCTTAGGAACGATCCTGAAGCCAACACGGTAAGTAATTTAAGTTATTTTACTAGTTTTTGCAAATTAGCAGGCAAAATTTATGACGCAAAGATGTTATCGAGGTTTAGACTATTGTGTCAACTATTTGTCATAACCACACTTATTATCAATCATGCATGTTGCATATTATCCATGAATGCTGTTAATTATCATTTACAACTATATTAAACTGCAGATTATTTGGTACTGCTTATATATCAACTCATTAATTGAAATCCCTTTTTCTTATTTATTGAAATTTCCCAATCTTGTGGGAGACTTCAATTAATGAAAAATTCCACAAATAATCTAGCATTTAATATTTACCATTTACTTGAAGAATAAATAATTAGTGCATTGTGCATTGTTAAAAGTTGCTTAATGATTCTGAGTTACCGATCAAATCAAAGCATTAAAAGTATACAATTACTAAATGATATTCGCTAGTTTCAAATTATTGCAGTCCAGATCACTTATCGATATATTAACATTTCCATGAGTTATGCAAAAATTCACTGCATGCTTATCAAATTTAATTACTTACCACACTTATCAAGCAATAAAATATATAGTAATTAGTTGACAATCATTTACCACTCTCTTTTCATCGTAGTAACGACTTGCGTAATGTTCGTTACTATCACTTAATCATTTATGCAGTTATTACTCAATCGCTCAAATCCCTTTGCCTATTTACCCATAAAGCACCATTATAACCCACAACGTCCCAGACAACTCGCTGCGCTCACCCACACACCAATCAACTTACGCATTAGTTTTTCACGAGCATCCCGTTATGCCATCTAACCGGATCAAAGTTCAAACAAACATCTTTTCATTAATTTAGTTTCATTTTTTAATTACTGAATTATAACGGATTATAGTCATTTTGATTTTGATATAGCTCAAAATGAAAAAATTAAATGCTCTCTGAGTAATGAAATAATACATACACATGCTGTACGAAACACAACTAATGAAAGACTTGCAAAGTTACTCACTCCCGACTGTAAAAACTCTTACGATATCTTGCGATGACGACCTAAGAAACCTGAAAGCATTAAAAAAATAAATATACTTTGTAATGTAATTTAAATTACGTTACATAAATAACGATGATAGAAATTAAAAAAGCTACCACCCACCACCTAACGAAATAGCCAAAGGGGAAGCTAGTCGTTCCAACAGTTATATACGGACAATAAGGATACTGTTAAATATTGCTTGTGGTGACGAGTAATTGCCAATTGGTTGGTGCATGTGAAGTATTATTGCTCATTTTCTGGCTTCTGCCAAATGATGCATTTTTCAAAACTTGGTTTTTTTTTTCACTTTTTAATTTGTCAATGTACTTTAAATTGGAGTTTCCGGGTACGTCATGAAGATTGGCTACGTTGTTATTTGGTTTTGCTTTTTAAAATTCAAATTTTTGGATTTTCTCTGTAAAAATGTAACGTTACATTTACCTCACAATTATATAACATCGTTTTAAAAAAAAAGCTGAATTGTTGTTTACGTCATTAATTTCTCCAAGTTGATCCGAAATAAAATATTTTGGATGTGATGAAGTTTAGGATAAATGCTTCAGTTCTGACATAAATTTTTGTGATTGAGAGTACTAAAGTGAAGTATATATATATAGAAATATTAGTTCTCGATAACCAAGACGATTAATAACTTAAGCAGGCGACAGTTGGTACTGCTCGTATATACTTTTTTTCTGATTTACTTATTCATTAGTTAGTATTATAATACTGATTTCAGCTATGCTGTTGTAGCGAATGTTCATTAATATATTCCTCAGATTTGCTCGATAATTATCTGGATATATCAGATAACGGGTAATGAGCCAATGGATATCTCATTCTTCATTCTACCGTTGTACCTTTTTCTCCAGCTAGTGCTGGTGTCAGCTGGGCGAGATTTCTACAAAATTTTAAAAGTGCCGCGCGATGCAAGTCTGAATCAAATTAAGAAAGCATACCGAATGCTGGCCAAAGAATTACACCCCGATAAGCAAAGCAATGATCCGCTGGCAGAGGAAAAATTCCAGGACTTAGGTGCTGCTTATGAGGTTAATGTAGTTTTTAGCCTTAATTCTAATCCTTGTTTTTGTCGAAAGTAATTAGATTATTGTTCAATTACTGTACTGTTATCATTGTTTATAATGATGAATATTGCATTGAAGTGTGGGATAGATATTCTCCAGTAGGTTTTTTATAGGTTTTGAGTAATGAAGAGAAGAGGAAAATCTACGATCGCCATGGTGAAGAGGGTTTAAAAAATGCCGGTGGTGGTGATAGTGGTAGTTTTCATGATCCGTTTTCCTCATTCTTTGGCGATTTTTTTCACGGCAACAAACAGCATGAAGAAGGAACACTTCGTGGTGCTGATGTGGTTATGGATTTATGGGTTACACTGGAAGAAATATATAGTGGAAATTTTGTGGAAGTAAAAAGGTTTCGGAAATATTAATGCATTTTTCCTTTTTTTTCTTTGATAGCATCAATAAGAATTCAATTTTCATATTTTCAAAGTAATTGGTGGGAATAATTTGATGATGAAGTTTATAAGCTTCAGCCAATTAATACGTTCCTAACTGACTTTATTAGGTCCTATTTGATTATAGGTCTTAAGTGAGTTAATACCTAAATGACTTTATTCTTGATTAGGTGTACCAATACGACGAAAACTTCAAGAACTTGCGTTGTTTAGATAGTCATGCTGAAGTTTATTGAAGTATACTAGATTGATTAATATAGGAAAAGGATATGGGCTAAATTGTCGTAAATGTGTTGAACCATTTTAAGGACTTGCGTGAAGAATTCATGTCATTTTAGGATAAAATCATCATACAAACAGACATCGGGTACAAGAAAATGTAACTGTCGTCATGAAATGCGTACTGAACAATTGGGTGCTGGTAGATTCCAAATGTTTCAAGTGAAAGTATGTGATGAATGCCCAAATGTTGTGTTGGTGCAAGAAATGCGGTCAATCGAGGTATGTTATCCCATACTGGAACACACTTTCTCAGTGATCATTAGTTGAGAAAACTGATTGTTATGTTAATATGGAAAGCGCTGCTACACATTTATTTCAGCTTTAATAATTACCAAGTGTATCGTTTTTCATATACAATCCGTTCTTTAAATCAATATTTGGTATTTTTTTCTAAAATATTTTAGGTTGAGATTGAAGTGGGAGTAGATGAAGGACAAACACAAACATTCTCAGGCGAAGGCGAGCCACATATTGAAGGTGAACCGGGCGATCTGAAATTTGTAATCAAAATCGAGAAGCACCCAATATTTGAACGGCGCGGTTTGGATCTATACACGAACGTCACTATATCATTAGAGGATGCATTAAAGGGGTTCAAAATGGAAATAACCCATCTTGATGGGCACAAAGTTGAAGTGAGTTGCATTATTTCAAGGTATTTTATGTTTCATATTAGAATATTAGATGCTTCGCTCTGAGATAAATTATCTAACATCCTCCTTTCATTGTTTATCACAATAGATTCCGTTATTAATAAAATTCTATCACTTGGACCATCCATAAGGCTTCAACCTTTATGGAGAAAGCGAAAAATATGTGAGTGATTGAAGTCTGTTTTCTGTCACAGATAATCCGTCATTTGTTTGGATTACAATTTCTCTGTCCTTATTTATAATAGAATTTTGAATATTACTCGTTATCACTCGTAGACATTTTGCTTTCGAACAAAATTTTGGAATTGTACTATGTTCTGAGTTTTCACTAGAAAAAAATGAACTTGAAAAGAATTATAGAGAACATTTTAAATTAATTCGTCTTCATGAAAGACGAATAAATTTATACAGTTTTATAAGCGCAGATACATTACAACTTATTTTGCAGGTTGTCCGCGAAAAGATAACCTGGCCAGGAGCACGAATTCGAAAAAAAGATGAAGGATTGCCTTCGTATTCCAATAATAATAAGAAAGGAATTCTCTATATAACCGTCGATATCGAGTTTCCTCGCGGAGAATTAACACCTGAGCAGAAAGAAGTTGTTGGAACACTGTTGAAGCAGGATTCTTTTCAACCTAAAGTATGCTTTTATGTCATCCGAGTCTCGACAACATCTTTTTTCAAGTAACTTACAAGTGAAGCTATTGTTTCAGTGAAGATTGGGAGACTTTGCCTAACAAGAACTGTTTGCAGTCTCCTCTACTTCAATTTGCTCGAGATTTGTAATTCCATCAGATATATTAACGAAAATATTATTCTGGTCCCAAATTTCAGGTTTACAATGGGTTGCAGATGTCATAACGGTGGTCAGTATTTATATATTTGATATAATCAGGTCATTTCGTTTTATTTTAGTAAGATTAATTTATTGAAATGTTATCCTATTCTTGCCGTTGTTTTCTATTTGTTGGCTGTATCTCCATTTGAAATGATTGTTGTTGCGGTCAAATAAATTGTAGTATTTTGACTTGCGTCACACTTCGATACATCAATGTTCTTCTACATCAATGCTTATTTTATATTTCTGGAAATAAGTGGAAAAAATAAAGCAGATCTGGAAGGTTGGCTGGTGTGATCAAAGGTTGCTGCTTAAGAGTACTTATTTAGGTCGATCCGTTATCCGACTTTTGCTGTCGAGAATGAAGCTTCTTCCCTCATCCGTACGGTAGTGTCAATCGTTTCTTCTCAGTCTAACATGGCAATGAACAACCTCGAACCATTTTACATCACGTGCAGTTTAATCGTGCATTTCCAGTGATCCCTTTGCGGTTTAGAGCATGCAGTCCATGTCGTGCCATATTTTGCTTAGACGTTACGATATAATAGGTCCTTAACATCCGCATGACAGAACTGGGGGGTTAGAATTCTTCTGCTTTTCATGGCTGTCATACGAATCGTACTTGGTCTTTTATAGTTCGTACTTCTTAAATATTCCAATAATGTTAATTTGCTATTAAAGCTGTCAGAAGCTAAATTAACTTGTTCCCACCTATGAAAACGAACATCATGAGCAACAGCAACAAAAAAAAGCATAGCTATAAATTTTGACTATTCCATTAGTTTAGATAATATTCAGCTTCATTTCATCACATCAGGATAATATATTTTCAGGGGATCAATGAACAGCCCATGTAAACATATTGGTAGAAGTCAGCGAACATTGTCGAAAACCCTGAATAGTGTTGTTTATGCGGTTATCTTTCCTAATAATGCTAAAGCACGGGAAGTTCACGTGAGTTTTAATTAACTTCACTGACTGGTTGGTTGAAGGATACAATGAAATATATTTGATATTTAGCAAAGTCCGATATGAAAAGCAATACACAATTATATAAATACTTCTCCATACATGCCAATTGCATGGTCATCATCATGTGAAGGATAAACAGCTTCGGGAATTTTCATTTCACCTTGAAAAAAACGACTTTTAAATTAAATGATACAAATATTAGGTCAACTGCATGCTGTGAAATTCTGTAAAAAATCTAATCGATATATTAATACTCCATCTTACATATATATATATATATATATATATAGATGTATGTGTTGGGTAAACAGAACGAGCGTTCAATTTATCGAGGATATGTATTGTTCGGTTAGGGATATCAGTGTAGTACCGCAAGTACATTACTGTTTCAACTCAGCTCTAACTACTTATTAGTATTTTAATCGTTTTGAACACATTTGTAACTTTGAGATTTATAAACGTGGCAACAACAAATCTCTTTTACTAAGAACAATTCTAATGCTTTATCCATCACTTGTACATTAATTTTGGGAGCAACCATTTTCAGGCTAGATATATTAGGTGCATTCAGTGCAAAACGCGATTGAATGCATTGATGTGTGCATGCTGCCAGTGTTCAACTTTTGCATGTTTAACACATATACATGATCATCTGGCAACCAAAGAACATCTCTTCGGTAAGGTAATTTTCTTACTCTGCTACAGGTAATAATTGTGAAATCAAATTCCATCCAACTAATAATTATTTCTCATTTTGCAGCAGTTTCTGTGGAAACAGGTTTTATTTATTGCTATCAATGTGGTGATTTTGTATACGACCATCAGATGGAGGATGCCCGACGAGATGCCGAAAATGGTTGTCGACGATCGCTGAACTTAAGTACCCGAAGTATTTGGTATCCAGGTGCAGCTGTTGTGGATGTTTGTCATGATGATCCTACTCGAATGGTTCGCTTTTCGAGGAGTAGTATCCGAGGTAATTTCAGTATCTAATTAGTTTCTGCTATTATCCAGTGATATCGAAGCTATTAACTGTCATAATTATGAATGCAACTGTGTCATAAATATAAAATGAACTAGATAAAATGTCTAAATTGTCTAGATTTGTAGCTAATTGAAACTCTAAAATTTTCGGTACTTTGTACATTTGCGTTGTTGCCATTGCAGGTTTACGTGGACTGGTGAATTTGGGAAATACATGTTTCATGAACTGTATTATACAAGCTATCGTACATACACCACATCTAAAGGATTATTTCCTCACTGATCAGCACCACTGTGCTTCATCGTCATCTCATAGCAAAGCTCAATGTCTGATGTGTGAGCTTGCCAACACTTTTCAGGTAACTCTGTGTTTAACGATAAATTTTGTTACTGCTTATCATCCACAATCCTAGATTGGTGATAATTTTATTGGACAAACACGAGTTGCTTTGAAATGGATTGAACTTGGTTCTTTTTTGCTAAACATTTGTTGCGACGCTACAGTGGTAACTAAACAATTTATTCCTTCTTTGTAGGAAGGATCCTCGAAATCTTCCTTCATTTCTTTCTTTGTTGGTTCCTCAACTGATGACGTTATCCTGTAGATCCATTTGCTTAATAATCGACTGTAGTTGCAACTATTTTGTTTTCGTCAGTTTATCACCTATGCTTGGCTAATATGGATTTTACTTGTTCAAAAATGAATGTTTCTAGGAGTTTTACAAAGGCGATGTTACACCTTACAAACCGAATAGATTTCTGAATCTCGTCTGGACACATGCTAGGCATTTAGCTGGCTACGAACAACAGGACGCACATGAATTCTTTATCGCTGCTCTTGACGTACTTCATCGACATTCCGGAAGTTAGTTTTTCTTTTTTTTTCAATTTCGTTGATTCCATTAGTCCACTATTGGTTCTTAATAGCTATTATTACAGGCAGTTCACTTCCCTCTATGCCAAATGAATGTAATTGTATTATTGATTGGATCTTCACCGGAAAATTACAATCTGATCTCACATGCTCAATCTGTGGGTACGGTTATTAATTAATTTTAAAAGCAGAAGTTGTTTGAGGAGAGATGACCTAATGAACTGTAAGAAAGGAGATGATAAAATACGGGGGCCGTTTGAGGTCGATTAGCTCAATAAAAATTTTCAGGTGTGTTTCAACAACTGTTGACCCATTTTGGGATATATCGCTTGATGTGGCGCAAGAAGTGTTACGTTCACCCAACAGCAGCTCCGGTTCACCACAGCAAATTACTTTAGAAGATTGCTTACATAGGTTATTTTTTTTTCAAAAGTTGGAAAAACAGATTTATGCAGCAGTAGCTCCAACCCTTCCTACTTAAACAAAGGCGAAAATCAAAGCAAAAAGTCTGTTGTGAATCGAAATTGATGTGGGCCGTGAATCTAGCGATTTACTTTAAGGTATATAATGCCCGAGCATTTGGGAAGCAATGCGAAGACGAAATGTGCTCGTTGTGAGACATACGAAGAATCAACGAAGCAGCTCACTCTAAAAACTCTTCCAATGGTTGCCTGCTTTCATTTAAAACGTTTTGAACATAGTCGCAAAGACCGGAAGAAAATGGATACTAAAATCAAATATCCACAATTCATCGATATGACACCGTTCACGGCCTCATTTCGCGAGCGTTCCGCCAGTACTCCAGAGAGCAAAACTAGTATAGTCACTGACTTGCTCACAACGAATCGAAACAAGTATGGCTTTATTGCCAAAACAATATAAATGGATTTTATCATTCTGGATTATCAACATGTTATGCGGGGCGAATATAGGGAGAAGAGATAACTTTTGCGTGGTGAGTGAAATGGAAGCAAGATAGTTCATTCTTAGAGTTTTAGTTGAGTCGAAAATGCTACTAACTACATTGATAGCAGTTCAGCCCAACTTGGCAATTTGTTCGAAGTAGCCAATCTACATGAACTAAAAAGTTGCTGGCATAATTCGGTGAATGGAATTTTCTAAGGAGTTGAACGGGTAATTCTGGTTTCCTATATCACACAGTAGACACTAGTCGCTGGTCAGTTTATGTATGTTATGAATTATTTCAGATACGAACTGTTTGCAGTTGTGAATCACTTGGGAACGATGGAAAGTGGACATTACACGTGCTACATTCGGCACCAACGTAACCAGTGGTTTCAGTGTGATGACCAAAAAGTTACGAAAGTACCGACAGAACGAGTCCTCTCTTCCCAAGGCTATTTATTGTTTTACCATAAGTGTCATGCTGATTATTATTAAGAAGCCATAATGGACTAATTTCCAGTTTGTGTATAGATATTTTTTTGTTTTAGTTCCTATTTAAATCGGCCATTCAGTTTTAAAACTTTTCAAGTGAAGGGAAAGATCATAGGAAGAAATTAATCGGAAAAAGCGTAGTTAAGGATCAATCATGACATGGTTGGCTTTCCCTGAATGGACAGAGCATTTGTACCATTTCCATCGTCTATTCTTATATTAAGGTTAGGTATATTATTCAGGTTAGGTATGACATTAAAATATATTTCTAATTTAGGTAATGAAAAAAGAATTCAATATGCCATGCACATCTTTCAGAGTTTGTTTCATGTTCATAGCACCAAGCACTATTTCAACTTTCATGATTATTTTGTCTTTCGGGGATAAATAATTGCGACAAATGAAGTGCACATATTTTCGTTTGATATAACAAAACAACCTGTTCAAATCCTTCATCTAACTTGTCACATAATAAGAACAAAGTGTATAATATGTACTTCCATTCTTTTTCCATCAAGGAAAAAGAATCCGCTATAACAATGAAATCCAAGATCTTATTGCCAAAAAGAAAAATTATGATTAACTAATTTAATCTAAGAATTAAACAGTAATAATCACTTTAATTTTTACTCATAAAAACATGAATTTGAAATAATAAATCCTTTTAAGAAAACGAGAGAAAAAGAGAAACCATTTTAACATTGTGTGAAAGCACCAAAATAAAAAGCGAGAAAGCACTACTTCAATTCTGTATAAAATTACAACGAATCAAATCAATTTAAAACGACCTAAAAAAAGGAAAACTATTCAGTGGTATAAAATGTTTCACCAATATTATTAATCTCTCATTGTAATGGAGGTATGACTGAATTCGGAGTAACTCATATTCCAGTGAATTCATGACGACGATTCCATGTAATTTAGCCACCTTTTTCCGTAATAATATTATGAAGCTGAAAAGAGAAGAACTGGAATAATGATAATGATCATTGATTCCCCTCCATCGGATGAATTTCTGGCTACCATATGAAAATCTTCAAATCGATTTCCTTTTTTTTTGATGAATATTCTCTGATATGCAAACATTTATTTCTTATTTATTTTTTGTTTCTGCAGGACTTTCCGTTATCATTTGAAGTATGAGATGGCAATAATTACGAGACATCAATAATCACTAAACATACTGGCAATGACTTATCTTTTTGAAAACATTAGAAAACTACATAACTAGCAGAAATTTCATATTCATTAACGACAATATTAACAATAACTTTGGCATTGTATTCGACGTTTAGAGTTTATAGGATGAAAAGAAAGAAAAAAGCAAGATTTTTAATGTTATTGGAAAATTTAAGAGATTAAAAATTCAATTAGTTTTCGCTCTCTTTTTTCTTTTGCGAAAAGAATTCATTTCTCGATTTGATATATCATCCTGATTAGAAAAAAATTGGATTTGAATGGAAGAGAAAAAAACTTATGTTAAGCAAAGAATTCGAAATAAGCTATTCTTCTACTATGTATAACTTAGCTTTTCGCCCTTTTTGGCCCAAAAAGAAATCCAACGATGTTAGCAGCCTTTCTAATTTCTAATTACAACGGTTTCGTCGTCGGATAATTTTTTGCTTGATATTTCAACAACAGTGATATCCAGTTAGTATGAGTGATACATAAAAAAAACGAATTTAATGAAGGGGAAAAAATAACTATCCATCAATATGGTCACTATTGAACCAAAATTTCTAAAGAACTCGTAGAACTGATAGAATCACGATCAGCTTCACGAAATTTTCGTGATGATTCAAGAACTGATTCTGTAGCATTAGCATTACTATTGCCACTACTACTACATTCTGCAGCACTTCTGGTAGCAATAAAATGGGAATGATTGTGTTGCTGGTGATCCATAAGTCGTCGTCTACGTAATGCTTGAAGTGCACGGGATGCCGTGGAAACATGAGCACGTTTGTGTGCCTTATCCAAAGAACTAATGTTATCAGATCGCACTACATCTACTGGAGCATTCGGTGAAGATCTGTCACTCTCGCTACTAGTTGATGATGAAGAGCAAGAGGGAATTACAGATGGAACTGATGTAACCACCGATTTGCGACCAACAATGTTAGCTCTAGCAACATTATCAATAGTAATAGCTCTGCTATGTTTCACCTGACAGGTTCCTCTTCGAAGATAATGGCTAATACGTGTCAAAAACTTATGGCCCATTGTCATTCGATGACTTTTGCTCTGATTACAAGTAGTGAAGGATGATGTAAGCGGAGCCGATAAATGATCGCATGAGTTGAATATCAAGTTTTCGGCTGAATAGTGGTCTATCTGAGACGTTGTTGGCATTGCTGAATCTATGAATACTGAAGTCGAACCATGCACAAGGCTATTGCTGTAAAAGAGTGGATTTGATGCTGAATTTGATGTATCCGATGAATGTGTAAATGATAATTTCTGCAACTCCGTTGATGGCGATGGCAAATCCTGTAACAATGGGAATTAAACGCTTTTGTGGTAATGTTTTTGAAAGATTATTTTTGGCATAGCAAATAAATAAATAACGAATAAAATAAAGCAAACAGTAAGTTTTTTGACTCATTTCATTAATTCTGAAGAAACTATTTTATTGACATTATTATAATGTAAATGACATACTTCATTTACTTTTTCAGGAATGCTTAAAGCTTTCCTAGATTTTAGTCCATCCAGAACTCTCGGTCGATCCAGTAAATGAGGGCATGTTGGCTCCATTACCCGCTTACCATTCTCGTTAATTTTTGAGGATGATTGACTGCAATCACTATCCCAAAAATTTTGTGATGATACCCTGTGAGTTAATGTATCACAGCTGATCGATTTTCCCACTTTGGCAATAATCTCGGTGTTATTACATCCCTAAACATATACCAACTGAGGTACTTTTATCCTGGTAAATTCGCGAAAAACGATTTCTTCCAGCTAATTTATTAAACAATCCTGAAGTTACTTTTAAAAGATATCTTGAAAGGTCATTATAATCACCTTTAATTATAATTTTGGATTTCCTGTAAAATTTTCTTGGATTTCCCTAAATAAAAGGTTACTCTTGATTATAATTTTGGACTTCCTGTAAAATTTTCTTGGGTTTCCCCAATAATTTTCACATAGATTTTGTGGACGGTCTACCTCTTCTCAAAATCCATACCATCCTCTTCCTATGTTCTTCCCTATAGAAGGATGTGTTCAGGATCGACGATCTTTGTGAATGACAAGAAGGAATCATCAAAAACAGAAAAATGTCAAGATCTGAACAAAGATAAAGTAACTCCATGCTTCTAGCGTAACTAATAGACCGAGTACCTTAAAATTACTTCTACTGCACGTACGTCATTAGGGGAGTCGGAATTCGAAATAGAGGATAAGGTGAAGAAAGATGTCGAAATTGCAGTACTGCCGTCATTTCGACATACTTCTTCATGCTGACTGAATTTAGACGATAAACTCAAATCATTCTTCTCTCGTAATCGCGCTTCATATTCCAGTAACTGGCCCATAAAATTGAAGTTGGGCGAAATGGATGGCCTGCGCTCCTTCACATATCTATAATGGGTTAATGTTCACTTAAACTGAAAAACCTTTTTTAGACTAGAAAAATTTGCTTTCTAGAAAATACAAGTATTTCAGATGCTCTATATGAACGTGTACATAACCATGTCAAATCGGTCCGAACGGCGCTATCACACACGTTGTACAATATAACATGCATGTCTTGTATGCCGCGAAAACATGCATGCAACCATTCGTAAATCCGGAAAACACCGTTGCGCACAACACATGTTTGCACGATATACGTGTTTTATATTTCGTATAAAGTACATAAGACCACAACATATCCGTATACTGACAAATCCAGAAGATATTGTTGTACATGACATATGTATGCATGATATGATTTACGCACATTCATGTAACGTATAAATATATACATAACCATAATAAAGCGTAAATCCAAGTTTGCTTGAACAAATGATCATTAGTGGCCACCCTGAAGTAACAAGTTCAGGATGACAAGTACCCAAAATGATTCAGATATGATATTGCACTAACCTATACGCTTGTTCGGATGTCCAGTTATTTCGCCTCATCATATAAGCGATAGCCAATGTTGGACTTCGAGAAATGCCAGCAAGACAATGCACTAAAGCTACCGAACCACGTTCACACACCTTATCTGCAAATGAAACACATTCTGTAATAAGAAGAAACCGGGTTAGCATTTCACTGATTAATAATGATAAACGAAAATTACCGAGAAATTTAAAAGCATCTTCGAAATGGGGTAGAAGTTTCGCCTGATAGGTATCGTTTACTGGTATGCGCATAAAATGACCTTCCTGTTTCAATGTATCCGGTTCGGGGCAATTTACACTAAGATTTATTACATATTTGATGCCATATTTCTGCAATCATAAGAGTATGATTAAAAATATCCAGAGAGAAAAAGAAAAAGAATCAAGAGAAATGATAAATATTACTGATAACAATCTGGAATCCATAGCATCCTGTTGTGAACCGAGATATAAGAAAGGAAGGATTTGCGTTGGACCATCATTAGTAGTTGAAAGACACGGATTGGATATGCTTGTTAATATATGATTTCCCATTACATTTTTTTCCATGTTTTCTCGTCTTTTCGTAGAACTCTCACATAATTCCGGAAAACGACTACGGAAATCATCAAATCCATCTAAAGAAATACATAACTATCACGATTAATCACTAAATAGTAGTTTAGTCACTTTCTTCTAGCTTTTTTACATCAACTGCTTGCTAGCAATTAATCATTTAAAACTAATCTTGAATAATTCAGATGATAATGATAATGTTGATGATGATGATGGCATAAACCATAGCTTTCTCTCTCTCTCTCTCTTTCCTACTACTACCACTACCAGTGGAAAAATCAATATTCGTCAGATAATAATGGATATAGGAGGAAAATTCATATTACCCAAATAAAAATGAATTTAGGAATATTACTAAAAGTAACAATTCCTGAAGTTATCACAAAAATATGAAATAAAGGATTGGTCTAAAATTCCATGCAAAATTAGTTTTATAAATCATAACTTCGTTACACTTCAGAGTTTTATATCAATTCCTTATAAACTTGTTGAAAATACAAATCAAAAAATGAATATATCGATTGCATTAAAATTTTTAAAAAACTACGATAGAAAAAAATTCGTTTTTTTTCATTTTAGAAATACTTACAATTTGTAGAAGTGGATGGTTGATCTGGAGCCGTTTGCCTGATAGTACATGACCGATGCATTCCGGTATTCAGACTAGCAAAAAGCAGGAATGGGAATAATAGTAATTGGTGAACAGGAAATGGGTAAATGAATGCCACTTTTGATGGGAATTAAATTAAGGAGCAAAAGTTATTTGATATAACTACCCTTTCGCCAACTTGATAATTCAACATAAAATGCAAACTCTTTGTTTTTACTCTTATTAAATTCCACACAAAAAGAAAAGCGGGAAATCGAGGAAAATTTGAAATGGAAATAAGAATGAATGAATAAAAAAGAAAGTGAATTAGTTTTAGAAAAGATAAGGTGGAGAAAATATTAAAGCTAGGCTACACACAAGTGATATCCTCGCCATGGCATTGCTGTCATTGCCGTTGTTATCGTCATTGCTGTTATGACCCTAGGCTTAGACTCGCAAAGCGTATAGGCCCGTTCCGCTCAATATTCATACTATGAAATGGCTATGTGCAAAAATGTAAACCAACAATATCAATCCATTCCTTTTTGTCACATAACAATGCCTATTATTACAATCCTTTCTATATATAGATATTTATATTCTGTTCGAAATAAAAATATCATCAAACTAACAACGTATAGAAATACCGGAAACGGAGGGGAGGAGCAAAAAAAATGAAAACATTGACTGCCAGTAACCGGAATGGAACAGAATGGGTTACATGACCTTGAAAATTTTGCTGACCCAGAAAATACAAAAACCGATATCAGTCTTCTATGACACATACATACGTAAACAAATTCGCAGCTTTTGTTAATTCACTAAAGCGATGCTTCATAACATTTCTCTCTCCCTCTCTGTCACCCCGTTACTCTCCCATTTTTCTTTCTTGTCTTCCTAGTTATTCGTTTTAGGAAGCCTAGTCTCTTTCAATTCTCTTCCTTTTTTCTAGAAAATCCAGTTTCCTACTTTACTTTTTATAATCATAGAAAGAAGCCTAGTCATTTCTACTTTCTTTCTGGCTATCCACACAACACAAATATAACAAAGCTTCTTTCTCTCTCCCTCCTTCTCTTCCTTCCTTAACATCCCAAATAAGGCATTTCTTACAGCAACAACAATAATCAGTATAACATTATTAACTAAATGACTTCTTACCTTCCTATTATCTTATTTCTCTTCAATATTAAGTTAAACAAATTAAGTAAAAAAAATAATAAGAGTAATTTTTAGTGTGATAATAGAAAGGGGTGAAGAACGATACGAGATCGGGAAAAATAAACAAACATTATTGGACGGATAGATAGATGGGACAGGAATGTCGCTGTCATCATCAGCATGATTGGAAAGATAACGAATGACACAGCTTCCACTACCATTACTAATATTAATACTACATAAATATCACTGTCATCGTCATCGACATCATCACTAACATTATCGCCATCATATATAGGTAATCCCATTACGTCTTTCTTATTCTACCATTAATGACAATGATAACGTTAACAATAACAACAACAATAATAAATAATAAATAATATACAATAAATAGTAATGGCAATAATAATAAATAAATAGAAATAATAAGTAATAAATAGTAAATAATAAATAATAATAAATAATGATAGTAATAATAATAGTAATAGCAATAATAATAATAATAAACTTATTTAAATAAGTTCTAAATTGAAGCTATCCGAGAGGCAAAATTGAAATGGTACACAACCAATCACAACAACAACTATATATGTAGTAAATACACACACATACACATACATACACTCATACCCATACATGCAACCTACACATACATGCATACATTCCAAACATACATATACACATACACATGGAAATGCTCGAGGTAACCAGGTGCTTACTCATCATCCATTGCCACTGTTGCAGTGGTATGGCAACAGACGATGATGAGTCATCGATTATATATTTATTCATTGGGAAAGAGACGCATCACAGTCATCAGTGATCATCTCTCTCTCTCTCCTTCTTTCTTTCCTTCTTTTCCCCTTCTTAGCTCTCTTTCTTTCTTGATATATTTCAAATAAATCCTTCTTAATCTAACTATAATAAAGGTATTTTATTAACTAATTACAATGAGTTATAGGAAAAATATTTAATTTTTTTACATAATATAAAAGAGATTATTTAAATAATACAAATTAGCAAAGATCATATTTAGATTCTTTTTACAAATAAATGATAAAACAAAACATAATATTCTATTATGTTGTAATCTCGTTCTACAACACCTTATTGAATCATATAAAATGATCCATTAATCAATGATAATCTTTGATAAATATCTATTGATTATTGAACTGGAAACATTTCTTGTAAATTATTTCGTTTATTAGAATATTTCATCAAATCAAATTATTTCTTCACTTTTAACATCAATATATTCATCAATGAAATTATTCATATATATGATCTAACTTAGCAAAAATCTCATTTCACATTCCACCCATTCTCACTTCATTAATTACCCACCTGATCACCTGATCATTTGATAATAACAAAAAAACAATCCATTAAATAGATTTTTTATTAGGTGAAATTTAAAAAGCAATCTGTACACATAGAAACAGATATGTGTGTGAAAGTAAGAGTTATTATTGGTATTTGAAAAATTTCATTCCTCTTTTGCTCATTTTTCTCATTTCCTTCCATGCATAATCATTTGAGAGATAGAATAATAAGAGAAGAAAAGATATAATTTTATAAATTCAACTTAACTATCAGTATTTTCCTTTTTTTACTAATGAAAGAAAATCAATAATCATATTGCTACTTTATGTATTTCATAGAGATTTATAAGAAGTTGAATTCAATCAACAGAAATCGCTCTAATCATATTTATAGATATTAATTTATTCGTATAATATAACGATGAGTCATAGTGAAAAAAAGAAATTAACGTTACCTGATGACGTAAGCATTTCAATTAGCTAATTTTGAATAAAAGAAAAAGGAAATGAAAGAGAAAAAGTGTGGAAATTTCAAGAATAAAAATTAAAATTAATTAATAAAATTAGAAAAGAAATGACAAAAAGAAGGAAAAGAAAGAAGAGATGGAAAATAATATTATGAAAAAGAAAGGGAGGACAAATTCGACAAAACTACATTTATATTGTGTGTGTGTGAAGAATGAGACGATAAAGAAAAAGACATGGAAAAGAATGAATATTAAAATTAAAAGAAAGAAACGTAGAGGGAAGAAGATAAGTTTCTTATAGTAATGATGAGATAATAATGTCCGATTATGTATATATCATTTAACTTATACAAGTTACCACTCTCATGATAAGTAGTAATGTCCGGTTATATGTACCATTTAACTTATTTAAGTTACCACCCATCATAATGGGTAGTAATGTCCATAATAATGTCCATAATGAAATCAAACTTATAGCTATTATGAACTTATAGGTATTTAAATGAAATTTAAAAGAGAAATGTTAAATGCTAAAAGAGGGCTTAATGAAGCTAACATTTTTTTCTTTTAAAAAATAGTTATCATTTTCTATTCAATAAATTATTTACTGAAAATGGAAATGAGAAAAGACTTCTCCTTCTTGTTTACAGCAATTCATACACTTTTAGCTTATTTCATTATCAATTCCGATGAGTCATACATAATTAGCACATTGATGAAAGTCAATAATCCAATGGAATGAATTTTATTTCATATTCTTTTCTACGATAAAAAAATGTACATGTGAAAGTTGCCATAGCATTTTTCTCATAAGAAATCATATAATATAATGATGAAGATCAAAAGAAACGTACCACGTAAAAGAACTTTATGAAAACGTTTCGATGACGTAAATTTTTCTTGTAATGTTTGAAGTAATTTTTTCGACGAATCATCGGAACACTTTTCACCGTTAAAACATTTCCGTTTTATGCCAGACAATACAGTGGAATAATTATTATTAGTTAATGATTTATCTCTAACAGTTTGATGATCATTTTTCGAGTACAATACCAAATCGACCAACGTTGAATTACACTTCTCTTCATCAATTTGCGATAACATCACACTATTACAAACCTGTAATTTACCATTTAAGGAAAAGAAGAAAGAAAGAGAAATATCATCGTTAATTTTTATAAAAGAATTAATACAATGAAATTATTGACGTTTTAACGTTTAAACGTCTAACGTCCATAACATTATGTTTTACTTTGATAAAATTATTCTTTAAATTACTATTATATTTTATCCTAAAAAAGAAAAATGAATTTGGAAATAACAGTATTACAGTGTAAAGTATAGTATAGCATTTGTAATCACAGTGAATCATAAATAATTATTCTAATTCAGTTATTAAAGATAACACATTACGATATAGTTATGACTTATACAGTATAATATAAATGTTAC